TCTAGATCATTACATTACTTTTAAGAACAAAAAAAAATAAGTTCGTTCAATTTTTGTAATTATTTCTACATTTTAAAATATGACGTTATTACTTCGTGGTTGATAAGATTTTGTGTATTTATGTAGTCTGTGGATTTTATAGTCTGAATATTAGTTCCTAATATTTTGTGTTCTTTTTTAAATTTCATTTTATTAAGTTACAACTATTTTTAAGGTAAAGTCTATAGCTGGGTATAGAGAGAAAATGTTTAATTTATTTATATGTAATAACTGTACTATAAATAAAATAAAATTAGGATTGAAGGAACGAATTTAAATTTTATTTTATTGAATTATTTTAACGTTCAGGAAAAGATTTTAAGTTTATTCACTATTAATTTTATTATTATTAATTAATTAATAGTAAATAAATTATTATTTCCAGACTCTTACACTGTTTATGATGTTTAACTACATAATAACTGTTTGATTTATATAAATTTGGTCATATAATTACGATTTCGTACACTTTGGTTTAACTACTTTAAATTGTGTCTTAAATAAATATAATTTTGTCTAAATGAACCATCTACTTTATTTACTTAATATTTTGCAATATAATGACGTTATGAGATATTCTTTGCAACAGTTCAAGACCTTCAACTAATAGGTACTTACTATATGGTATTAACAAATCGAACAATAAACCTATAATCATAGAGTATTCGTAAGTCAAACTTTAAAAGTTATTTTCTCAAAACTATTGTGATGTGGGTTGATACATTTTGGCATAACTCTGTTTAATTGTCCTTCTAATACTTTATGTTTTCAATTTCTCTTAAGTAACTTAGTTCACTTATTTGGTTTTTTTTCATAGTCTTTTAAGCGGGCGGAGTAAATATTTATGTTTTCACTGTCACTTAAAATTATATTATTATCTTCTATCAGTTTGAACAAAAACTTTGAATTCGTAATTAGTGGAATTTTCATATGTCTTTTCAGGATAAACTCTTTTGTAATTTGGTTTAAAATAAGGAATATCGTTATAACTTTCTTCATCACTATTTCTTTCTTCGTATTTTCTTCATAATATACTTAAAATAAAATTAATCTCTGTAAAAACTGTAGGAGGAAGCGGGACAGTGTGACACAGGGGGCACATTCATACTCGCTCTATGGAATCTATGAATACTACTAATTTAATTAGTAATGAATGATCATTCAAATCATTCGAATACGAAAATTAGTAGGTTACTAATTGGACATTCGAATGACAGGATTACGGATTACTAACGTGTCGAATATTGAAATCATTTACAATCGCGCATCCATCGCTATACTTGGATACCTACAAATGTAGTGTTGTCCCCATCAAATTTGGACAAGATTATTATTTTTTATCGAATTCAAGTTATTCGAATGCTCAATAAAAAACTTTTAATAAAGGTTTTAATTACATAGTCGAAAATAACACGCATTATAAAAATAAACAACACGATCATTACTTAATTTTCTATGAGTCACCCAACTTCCACCACTTTCGATTTTGTTGCTGTCTGATGTCGCCATATACACCAGTGCTGCCTGTCAGTCTGTATACAAGCCGAGCGCGCCCTGCCCCTCACTAGTCTACTTATGGCGGGCGGTGTGTGAGCGTCATTGTTTTCTTGTGTTAATTTGTCTATGCAGTAATTGTTCGTATCTTATGACTTCAGATCATTAAACAGTGTTAAATTTTGTGTATTAAAATGTCAGGGGATAATATTGAAAAATTATACCAAAACTACGGTATTTTAGCTGATGCAAAAGATGACATATCGCAGGTACGTTTTCTAACCTCTACTTCTTTTTCATTTATGTATTGCATGTTCTTCTATTTCTGTGTTAATAACGGTGGTAATAACTATTTCAGCATGAAAAAGAGTATTTGGAGATATTAGCGGCGGTAAAAGGGTCGGATAAAGAAAAACGTTTAGCGTCACAATTCATTGCGAAATTCTTCAACAGTTTCCCAAACCTTGCAGAACAGGCCATTGAGGCTCAATTTGATCTTTGCGAGGATGACGACGTAGCCGTAAGTACACTAATTGTTATTATTTACGTTTTAATATAAAGTGTTACTATAATTGTAAACTATGTATCAAAGGTGGTGAGATATTCAACGAGGCACTTATAAATTACACGTCAACCTTTACAAATTCCGATAAATAACATGCTTTGTGGATTGTAATTAAAGTGAATTATTCATTTTAGATCCGAAAGCAAGCCATCAAAGATTTACCTAACCTCTGCAAAGACCACAAGGAGCACACACAAAGAATTGCAGATATCCTTGCTCAGCTGTTACAATCAGATGATACTACAGAAATCAATGTTGTGACAAATTCCCTAATTACAATCTTGAAAGGAGACCCAAAAGGAGCTTTAGCAGGAATATTTTCCCAGATTCACCAGAATGTAGACAGCGAGGTCGCAAATGAAATAGTTAGAGAGCGTTGCATTAAATTTCTGGCCACCAAAGTCAAACAACTTGGCAGAGAAGTTATCAACAAAGAAGCTGAAGATTTGATTATTGCAGAGTGCAGAAAAATTTTAGAGGTTTGCAATTAGTAAGATTATCAATGACCAACCCCAAAGCCTACTTGACAGTATTAAATTTAATGTGTAAACAAAATTTAAACTTAGTGAATCATTGAGAATTTGAAATTTCTTTCTGCACACTGGGCAGACTTGGCATAATGTGGTTAGGTCCATGATCCATATGACTCTCAAATATGTTTACTATCTATTGTATAGGGATGCTATCCCATAAAACACTGTAGACACTTTATCATTGGGCAAGAACAATTTCTAAATGCTGATCAGTGCCCTCATTGGGCGGGGTTTCTATAAGGATATGTTCAACCTCAAGCTAAAACAATGTTGTCCTCTAATGTTAACAAACTCCTGGGCAAAAATGTGAGAAATAAATCTCCCAGGCCAAAGGAGATTTAGACAGTTGAAGCTAAGAAAATCTGAGTTCTCTTATTTGGTTGCTCATGGTTCTGAGTTATAATTAGTGGGGACAGTAGACCAATCATTGATTGCATTGAAGGATTGTATGGAATAAGCCAATCTAATAGTAATACCATAAAATTACTTTAAATGATAAGTTCACAGTATTAAGATAATTGTAATAATTAGTTTTTACAAATGAGAAGTTTTCTCTGCAGGATGTAGTGGCTGAAGAGTTTGAGCACATAATGGAACTGCTTACATGGTCTCGTTTGGGGAAAACACCATTAGGGAAGAAAGAATTGGTTCAGATTGTGGCAGCCCTTGCTTTTTCACCTGATGACTGGCACCCTGAAGATCCAGAATATGTGGATAGGATCATTCAATGCACTCAACATGCATTGCCTTTATTTTCGGTATGTTTTTTTTAGTATTTACTTGTTTGTTTAGGTTATTTACATTTTTCATATCATTCCAAGTTCATTTAATCACAACTTGTTATTCTGTTACACATTCTAACTGTGCAAGCTAAAAGGAATAATTTAGTTAATGCCAAATATTGATTTATACAGACACAAGTGGATTCCACACAATTCGTCAATTTCTTCTGTGATCATGTATTACAAAAATGGAATGAAATTACAACACCGGAAGGAAATGATTCTAAATTAGAACTTCTGAAGATATTTGCTGAGGTTACAGAGCACTGTGGAGATTTAGAAGACGTTCAGAAGAAAATTGACACTGTTTATGATGTAGTTATGGTAAGTTCTTTGTTTTTAGAGAGTCATACAGAATCAATTCAAGTCGGGCTTGACACTTGAAAGTTAAACTTACCTGTTGTATAGCCACTAATGATGAGGAAGGTCCAAGGAGTGTTAGATGTGCTCTTATACTCAAGATGTGCCAAAATAGATTTTATTTTTATTACATCCAACATTTTCCAGCACATTGTGTGTAATGTGAGAGTTTAAATTCCAGGAACATTAATTAATTTATGAATATAATAGACAAATCTTTATTTCATACATGTACATACATACATAATCCTTGTCCAGGCATCTCATGCTCCGAGTAAGGCCATAGTATGTACAGAAAGATAATTTACTTGCACAGACTTTCAATATGACCAATACTAGTATACATTTTCAGTACAAAATACAGCACAATATGAAGACTATACCTGTTTTTATGGAACTACCTTCAATTCGAAACTTATGTACAGAAATTCCTTTTTATAACATGTTAATTTATTTATTTATAGCCTTTATTGCTGATAACTTGTCTTACACATTGTATGACTTGCATACTTATTATATTTTACTTATTTATTATTACTCAATTTGTTGACTTGGTGCCTTCAGCTTGGCCTCTTCCAGAGATTTCCATTTCTCCCTACCTTTTACTGCTTGCTTCCATGTTCCTCCAGCAACATATTTAAAATCGTCTTCCCATCTAAAGTATGGTCTCCCTTTCTTCCTTTCTCCCTCTCTTGGGTACCATTCCACAATATCCCTTGTCCACTTATCAATTTTTTCCCTCATCATGTGTCCTGTCCATCGCCGTTTTTGCTGTTTTATTATGTGTGTGATTTTTTTAGTCTTTGATTTGCTTTCAATTGTGGTCAATTTTACTTTTGTACCAGCCACAGACGTGCCAGAATGTCTAACCCACTTCCGACATTCAGGCACGTCTTGGTACAAGCAAAGTTACAATCATGCCTTGTGCATCAGCGTAGAACACACGTACCAAATTAGTATAAGTAGCTATACAAAATGTAAACCTCACTCAGTCAACCAGACTCAGTCAACTAGACTCAGTCAACCAGAGTCAGTCAATCCTCATTCAGTATCCAGTAAACTCTCATCAAATATCCACAACATATATATTTTATTTTATACCATGTCACCATGGTAAAGTGGTGACCCCGACGAAGAACAGCCCGACGATGGTAAAACTTTATCTGTGTAAACTTTATCGGTGGCTGGTACAACTTTATCTTTCAATTTTATGTTGAGCACACTTCTTTCCATACTATTCTAAAAAACATCAAGTTTTTTGTAATGTTTTTTTAGTAAGTGACCATGTCTGGCATCTATATGTGGTCACCGGTACAATGCACATATTTATTACTTTAGATTTGTATTTTGTATCAATTTCTTTTGATTTCAGGACTTCTTTGAGTGACGAGAATTTCCTCCACGAATTTGTGACTCTTCTTTCAATTTCTTTGTCTGTTTGGTCCTTTGTGGATATGATTTGGCCCACATATTCATATTCATTCACATATTCAATTATATTGCCAGTTATCGCAACCTGTTCTTTAATATTGTTTGTCATCAATGTCGTTTTGCTGGTGTTTATAGTGAGTCCTACTTTTTTGCTTTCCGTGTCCAATTCTCGAAGCATAGTTTGTAGCATTTTTGGGTTTTTGGCCAAGAGTATAAGATCATCTGTGAATCTCAAGTGGTTAAGGTGTACTCCATCTATACTCAAACTATATTCCTCCCAATCCTGATGTCTAAATATACATTTTTTAAGACAGCAGCGAATATTTTGGGCGATAGAGGATATCCCTGACAGACACCCTTTCTGATTTGAAATTCTTCTCCTGTAGTCTCTATCGGTATTTTTGCTTTACTTTTTTGTATATTTGTTGGATTAGTCTTATATATTTCTTTTGTACTCTTTGTTCACTGAGAGATTTCCAAATTTTATTATGTTTAAGTGAATCAAAGGCCTTATTACAATCTATAAAGAATACGTAGTATTGTAGTCCGTACTCATTACATTTTTCTATTATTTATTTTATTACAAGAATATGATCTATGGTTGAGAGGTTCTTTCGGAATCCAGCTTGTTCTCTGGACTGATTTTCGTCAAGAGCATGTGTCACGCGTGCCAATAATAATTTTGAGAAAACTTTGTATATGTTAGTCATTAGACTAATGGGCCGGTAATTATTTATCTGGGCTTTATAGCCTTTTTTGTGAAGAAGAGTGATTGTGGTCTTGGTCCATTGATCTGGAATGAGCTCTTTATCTGAAATGTCATTAAACAGACCTGTCAGATATTTTAGTATAGCATCAAGAGTACCTTTTAATAGCTCATTAGTCATGTTATCCTCTCCAGGAGCTTTATTATTTTTTTGAGTTAAAACAGCCTTTTGTACTTCGCTCTTAAGGAACATGGGGCGGTTTCTCCGTGTCTTTTTCTCATTTTCATTTGTCTCATTGTCGTCGTAAAGATATTTGTAAAATTTAGTAGCAATGTCCATAATATTCAGGCGCGTTGTGATTTGTATTTGTTTGTGGTTTTTACTATATAATTTTTTATTTTTTCAATTCTCGTCTTACGTCTGAATTTCCTTATGCTTTCCTTTATATTTTTGCTTGTTTTAGTTATTTCAATCCTATTGTTTTTCCTATCTTGAAGTAGTTGCTGTCTTTGCTTAATTAAGTGTCTAGCTTCTTCTCTTACCTTATCTTTCTTTTTCGGAATATGTCTAAAATTATTATTGATATTTGTAAGTTGTTTCTCGAAAAAATCGTATTTTTCTTGAATACTTTTGAAGGCCTTCATTTTGCAAAGTTCTTTACTCAACTGATTTTACATAGATTCTGAGATTAGTAGAGGAACTTTTATCTTGCCATTGTAATGAGTTTTCGGGATAACTTTGGGCTCTTCATAACGATTTCGGCTCGGACCAAACAGTGATCAAAGTTAAAGTTAAGAGGATATTATTTACGATATCTATATTTAAAATTGTGTGTTTTCTGTTAGTTAATATAAAATCTCTTTCATCCTTCTGTCTGTTAGGTGATATCTATGTCCACTTCTTATTATGTCGTTTTTTGAAGAAGGTATTTATTATGTACAACCTGTGCTCCAATGCAAAGTCGATTAATCTTTCGCTATTGTCATTCCTCCGGCCGGTACTGAAGTTACCAACCGTGAAGTTTTGTGCGTTCATAGTGGAGCCTAGTATGCTGTTAAAATCACCCATCAATGTCATATTACGATGTGTTTTTTCTAAAGCGTTTTCCAGAATGTCATAGAAAACGTCTTTGTCCCTTTTACTCGCTACCCCTATAGGCGTAGAGCGTATGCTTGCACTATCGACCATTTATTTTTATATCCGGAAAGGTTTATGTTTAAGACGGCTATTCCCTCAGATATACCAATGAATTCCTCTATCTCGTTTCGCAATTCTTGTTTCACTATAAAACCGACACCGAATACTTCGTCTCGCTTTTATAGTAAAAATATATATTGTTTAAAATCAATAATTTCTTCTCCTATTCTTCGCACTTCACTTAGGCCTATTATATGCCTATATTTTTTAATGCTTGTTCTAATTGTAGTAATGATGAATCTGTTCGGAATGTTCTGACATTGTACGTTGCTATAAATATGTTATTTTTGTTTAGTTCATTTGTTTGCTTAGCGTGTTTCATTTTGTCTGGAAGGTGGTGGTCAATTACCCCACGGGGACTAGCCGGCTTGCGGTGCTTCCGGTTACCGTTTTCTAAACGTCGATTCTTGGTTTTTCCAGGTAAAGAATTGCTACGGTGTCTCAGGGTCGTATTCCAGAACTCTACTCAATGCTCAAGTCAGGATTTGAGCAGACTTGAGTATGATTTCAATCACTGGAAATACGACCCTATTGGCAAGGACTTGAGTCTGATTTTCAGTGCTCACTGCAATACTCAAGTCCTGAACTGAGAATGAGAACTGAGTCCAGAACTCTACTCAATACTCAAGTCCTGGCTTGAGTATTGAGTAGAGTTCTGGAATACGAGCCTTAGTGTCTCAAATGGGGTAACTTCCTGAATTTTGGCTTTGATGTGCTACATGTTTAAGGTGATCGGCATGTTGATAATTTCCTTTTCTCTGTGTCTCATTTACTAGTTTGACTTGGTTGAAATTTTGTGTGTTTGCACATGCTAATATTGTTAACATTAATAATTGTATGGACATGTGCTTTTATATTTCTTTTAAAGCCCATTCAAGCCAACTGAATTATGAACTTTTCCAAGTGCTTTAATCTGAATAAATGTAAAAAGAAGGAAAACGAATTCGACATTAAACATAAAAAAAACATCACACTATACATGTTTTCTTTTTGTATCTACATAATTATAATAACTGAAAACCGGCTTCTCAAATTTTAAGTTTAACCCTGTGGGTTAAATCCGTTTATTAGGTGAAACTTTCTCTTCTTTCTGAAAATTCTCTAAAGTTCAGAATAAGTATGAATAAATTTATGTGGCACTTAAAAATATGTTTTTGTCTGCAGACTTATTTGCCTGAAGCACCAATAGAAGGAGAAGACAAAGGCGAAAAAGAAGCAAATGGCGATAAGACGGAAGAAAAATCAACCCCTTCTCTCCAGTTCTCTCATGTGGAGTGTGCGTTGTTTGCTTTGCATTCTCTCTGCCGCAAGGCTCCCGAGGCTCTTGGTGCTGACGGAGCACGGCTTAAGGCTCTCCGCTTACGTTTACAATACACTGCCCGACTCACACAGGGCTACATAAAGAAACTGAAAGAAGTTACACAGGTAATATTGCCATTTAACATCATAATTCTCAACTTCTCTCTAATTGATGTTTATAAATGTGCTGCACATGTTGTTCATAGCTCAAAGTATTGACTGATAGCTAACATTGGGCCAATCTTATTTTACAGGGAAAAAAAGAGGACTCAGAAGAAAATAAACTCAAGATTGCAGCTTTGAAAACTACGTCGAACATCAACACCCTGATTCGGGACATTTTCCGGACTCCTCCCAGTTTCAAAAGCAAAGTGCAATTATCCTTTCAAACGCAGAAGACAGAAAAAGAGGTAAAAAATTATTATTGTAATAACATCGATAATATTTAGTGTTTGATTTTTATTGGGAATATTACAAAATATAACAATATTCTTTCTGTTGCAGCAAAAGCCAACTGAGAAAACAGAAGAAAAGGACAAACAGTCGCCACAAAAACGCCATCGGCCAATTACATTTGACAATGGTGATGAAAAGTCTTCTCCGGACAAGCGCTCTCGAAGTGGAGACAGAAATATAAAAATGTACACACCCCCATCTGGCAAATACAGCTCCAGATTGAACAATAGTGGAAGGTTTTCGGGACCTAGCTTCAGAGGTAGAGGGGGTTATGGCAGACGTGAGTTTAGGGGGAATGGGGCGCCTTTCCGCAGGCGCAGCAACTACTAAAATTGCACCAGAGCTATACTTTGGTTAGAAAACTATAATTTTTGTCTGAGTATCAGTTCATTCATACGGTTTTTTGGCCAGATTCTGCCCATACACCAATTTGTAAATGGAGTATAAATATTTATTTAGTCTTCGATTTTTTCTCTCCATTCAATTTGTTGTATTTTCTCATGATGAGACTTGATTTTTGTTTTAGAATAAGAACTTTTATATTTCACAAGACACCCGTGAATGCAGACCGTAAATACTTATTTTGCTAATGTTTTTAAAGTATCGTATGTGGTAGCTTCTCTTTAGAAGGCAGTGTATGTTGTGTTTCTGAACTTCGTGGCTGAACCACAATTTTATCTTGAGATTTCATTAGGTTTTTATATTTTGGGAAAGAAAGATCCTGGAGCTTTCAGTCTATTTCGTGTCTGAAGATTTCAGCCATTGTCCAGCAGATTTTTACAGAGACCAGTGGAAGGAGACAGGCAAGAAGCAGTGTTCACTAAGTAGGTAACCTCAAGCACGGGAATCCTATTGGTCACATAACATTTTTAGTCCTATTACTTACAACATCTTGCTTGTAATAATTACTATTCATAATTACTCACTTATATTAATGATCGTTACTCTTTAGTCTTTATACATAATTTTAATTGCTAAGTATTATTAGCAATTGCATGATTATTATTGAATACAATAATAATCATTATTCTTTGTACAGTTTTATCATTTATATCTCACACAACATTTTCACACAAAAAAAATTTCAGACACAAATTTTGTAATTCATAAAATTAATATTTAGAAATTTGATTAACTAATAATTTTGTAAAAAATGTAAAATAATGGAACAAGTTAATGAAAAATAGTCAAATCGTTCCACAAGTACAAGAACATTGCTTCCAATTCAGACACTATACCACAATACAAACCGCGCGTGCCATGGCAGTGGCGGCCGGCGAGTACCCAAACTGAAATATTAATTAGTAAGTAATTTTGAGATATTCAAGATGATGAGCATATTTCGGCAGAGCCATTAAAAGTGATAACATTATGTATAGTGTATGTTATGAATTCTGGATTTAGAAGTTAAGTTTTTATAAATACTTACGGCAACTTAATTATGAATAGTAATAATTATAAAGAAAAATCCACAGTAAAAAAAATTAAAAGAATTTTATGTGTGCCAATATGGACCCAACAGAACTTTACTGTAGACATTATTATACATGTAAGTATTTACTATTTTATATATGTTACTCAAGCACGGCTGATGCCTGACTATACATGTATTTCTGAGGCACTTGGCAGATTTAGCAGATAAGTATTTAGTTCATTAAGGAATTACTTGTAAATGACTTCACCAGAGGTGATTACGGCGCTAATTGCCTCCCATTTCCTGCAAGCGCTTCACTCGGTTTCTGGGTAAGTAGCGGATATTATAGTTAATGTTTTAATAGCCCGTCATCCACAAAGGAAGGAGGATAAATGAACGAGTTCCATGTTTTAACATATTCCAGATTTATTCAGGGCTTTGCTGGAGCAAAGGAGTCCCTTCACATGGATAATTTTAAGAATGTGTAAGGCTTTCTCCCTAATAAATTTTTTCAACAATTATATTTAATTTTCTTTCCTGACCCATAATCGTGATCAATAGCTATCTATTGATGTGCCTATGCACATTTTAAAATAAATTTTACACTTGATTGCATATAAAAAATGTAATGGAATGCATAACACAGAAAACACCTTTAAAGGTTAATTCTTGAAATGAATTGTAAGGCAGGCCGAAAAAAAGTTTGTGATTCAATAGCTGTTTAGACTATTGAGTCATATATTTTATTAAACGGTATAATAGGGCGTGATATTACTATATATTTGATGTACGTCCATTGTTTTTATATTTTAAAAATTACTGATTAAAGCAAGTCTCCGGAGAAGTAGGTAAAAATGTTTTGCTAGATCAAATGGTTTGTTGGAAAGTAAATACTATATAACGTCTACATAACGTATAACGTCTTATTTCTTCCGAGTTTGGGTGTAATTTGTGGTTGACTACCTGTGTGTATCAGTGACATCCGCGATACAGGGTTTCCCTGGTGCGGGACTGGGTGTTATAATATAAAAAATATTTCATGAAAAAAATCAAGCACCAACTCCGCGTAACTTCCGAAATAATAATTTTATAAGTTTTCGGGACATTGAAGTTCCCTAGTGCGGGACTATCAGTGTGTGTTATAATATAAAAAATTTCCTTTAAAGAACTATACAACAGAACTTTTTCTGTGACATGGGCAGAATCATCATTTTCAGCACCTAAGAACGTACTTAAGTAGCAATAAGGATTTTAAAAAAGAAGAACTTCACTTTACAAAGACAGTTTGCCTCTCCGAAAAGAGAACACATGCATGATTGCCGGACATCCTGGATGACGTGCATTGTTTCGGTACGTCATCAGCATAGGGCGTAGGAGATTCGTTACATAGTCTCTCAAGGTAGTGCCAGAGAGAGCTTGTTAGGTTTTAGTTGGTACGAGTCTGACATAACCTTCGCCTCCCTGGGCAGAGGGTCCATGAGAATACCCTAACATAAAAAAAAGGTTATTAAAACATAAATACATTTTAGGTAAATTTGTAGGTTTATTTCTAAAGGCAAACATAAAATTACAAGTTTTATCCATTCATCTCATGTTATCTACAACATTACACATGATTCTGTCTAGTTCATAACACTGGTCTGCATTGGCATGATCATTAGGGTTGCTTTCCATTTGATCCAATATTTCAGTAGGTACTTTGAAATTGCTTTCAATCTCATTTTGATCTGGAAGACTTTGAAGGGCATTTTGTAAGATGTCTTGAACTTTATCCAAATGTTTCTGGAATCTGTAAAATATAATACAAAAAAATGTTACAAGACAATAAAAAGAGGCTTCTTTTTTTCTAAGCTAGAACACCACTAAACTTTCACACACAATGTGGATAGATAATAATTATTTAGTTTTCTTGCATTTACACTACTATTATAAAGCAATAAACTACTTGATTTTTTATTTCTTTACCCATGTTAAATCGATTATTTAATTGGATATTTCTTGTTTGAAAAATATTTTGTGGCACTTCACATGGCTATTTATATTTGCATATTTCATATATTTGGCAAACAATCGCCATAAATTTAAACAGCTTATGTATTACATTTTACTTTATATTAGATTTACTTGCATATTTGACTCCTTGATGTGTGTCAAGAAACCGATCAGCACATGCTATCTACACATGGTGATTGTTTGCCAAATATATCAAATACTCAAATATAAATAGCCATGTGAAGTGCCACCATTAGGTTGGTAGTTTATGACAATTAATCAAATATTGATGAATTTTGAAATAGGTATATTTACCTCATAGCAGTTTCCACTCTTTGCCTTTTTTGCAATTCCATCATCACCCTTAAGGTTTCCCTGGCCTGATGAGGTCTAAATTCATTGAGCAAGTGGTGAATATGGATGAACAGCAGACTGAGATCTTCAACCTTCTCAGCCCTTTTGGGCGAGTCAGGACAGTGTACTAACAAATCTAAGAGATCTAGAAAATTGACCAACAAAGAATGATTCAGCTTCTTTAGTTCCCGTCTTCTGTCAAAATGCATAGGATAAAGCCTACGGAAACCCTGCAAATGTAAATGTTATAGTTCTAAGTAAACTTAATTTCCATAGGCGTATACTTCAAAAATAAATAAAAAATAAAATGATTACCTGACTCTCTAGTGATCGAATGATGGTATCATCTGTGTTAAATGTATGACCAAACATTGAATATGAATCTTGAATACGACGTGGGGGCAACGGTGCCGTATTTCTTCGCACATTCTCATCTGTGTAAAAGTTGTAATACTGCATAGGTGGCAAGGGTAAGGAGCTAACTTGAGCTGTTTCTGAAGACATTTTGTTAAGCGATAAATATTATCCAATGTAAGAAATTAATTTTATTCGAAACTCAAGCTTATAAAATACATCACAACATCCCGAAACCACCCCGAAACGGTATGCAGTGTTGCCAGTTCAAATCTGAGAAAGTCGGAACATATTGCACAGTGTTTTTTTTCCCCTAAAATCGAAGATGTCCCTGTTAACAAACGAATAAAAAGAAACGTTTCATTCCTAATGCATGAGTAAAACTCCCGTGAGTCTCACAATAATAGTTTTGGAGAAAACCTCAACCAAAGTTTACGTCCCTTAATTGATATTTTTTGAAAACAAAATTCTAGTGGTCAAAGTTTTTTGAAAAGCCATACTTACTTGTAAGGATATTACAAACGTTTTTTGGCCGCGCTGGCACATACAGCTACAAGTACATAGTCATTTAGTCATTGTCTCTTTATTTTTTTCTGGATTTATTATATGCTAGTTGGATTTGCATTTTGCTTTAATATATAGCTGCACATAAAGACTAATTCCACAAAAAAATTCAAGCACCAACTCCGCTTAACTTCCGAAACAATAATTTTATTAAAAAGTTTTCGGGACATTGAAGTTTTTGAGACATTACTGGACTTCGAAACTATGATTTTTATTTAATGATAGGCAAGCTTACCTAACTATTTACTCTATTTTAAATATGCAAAAATTACTCCATCTCCAAGTGTTCTGTTACCAATTCTTATGGATGAATGCCCGAATTTCTTTTATTCCAATTGCAACGCATCACTAATTTAATTTATTCAACTTTTTTTAAATTTAACATGAGCCATTTTAAGTGATGCTTTTTATGTTTATTGGTATTTTACAGGTTATTACCTCACGTTATCACGGAGAGTGTGCGATGGAATTACACGATTTAAATCTTTGACTTAAATCTTTGAAATCTTTGATTTCCGCCTTCCCCTTTCCATCAACGGGGGAGACTAGGCGTAGGCTTGGGTTCCACCCCTACGTTGTGGATATTACAAAGATATTAATGAATTCGCAAAAATTTACTTCTACATTTCTATGGCGAACGCCTGTGGAGTGGAATTCCCTGCCTGCAGACTTATTCCCTGAACGTTATAACTTGGGCCTTTTCAAGGCGAGAGTGAATAGGCACTACTTAGGTGTATATGCTCCATCGTCGACCTCATCGTCACTTTCCATCAGGTGAGGTGAAGGTCAAATGCGCACTTATGATTTATAAAAAAATCCATATCGTTTTCATTCAGTTCATTTTTCTGAAAAAATTGTATTTATCGAAATGCAAATTTTTCCATGACTCAACACTATTATATATTAGCTGCAAATAAAAAAGATCGAAATTTTAAAATCTTTTTCTTAATGCAAATTTCAAATCGATTATGTGTTTGTCAATCAATCAATTTATTTTTATCAATCATGTACAGAATATGCACATCGTTAAAACGTCAAAAACCGAAATGTCAGCTGTCAAAATAGCTCTTTTCGCTTGTCAATTTAACGGCAGGTATATTTTTGTTTTAAAAATCTAATTTTATTCATGAAATCTCTTCGACTTTTTCATTATTGACATCAAAAACTTTTACGGTGTTATATCAAGCAAAGTTATTTGAATATATTTTACACTTGTGACATGCGAAAGTGTTATAACCTTTGATGCTATATCGTCTTCTTGTTTTTAGGTAAACTTTCAAGATGTTGATGCCAAAACAGAATCGCGTGTCTATCTATGAATATCTATTTAAAGAGGGTGTTATGGTAGCAAAGAAGGATTACCATGCCCCCAAGCACCCAGATCTAGAGAAGATCCCTAACCTCCAAGTAATCAAGGCGATGCAGTCCTTAAAATCTAGGGGTTATGTGAAGGAACAGTTCGCGTGGAGACATTTTTACTGGTAAAGATTTTATAGAAACTCGATTATCTTTATTTCATAGGTAAGCAAGTTACGCTAGAAATCGTCATATTCGATTACTTTATTACTCATTCGCAAGTTAGATTTCCCCGAGAAGAATGACTAAGAATCTCTGGGGGTTGGTCTTTGTGAATAAATATTTGTACTTATTTAACATTTACAATTTTTTTTATTAATATTAATGTAGGCACAAACTTCGGGTGGCCTATACTGATACAGATGATATTAAATCCATTTATTTTAAATATCATAATATTACATCAATACAACCTGAAGGCTTAAAAGTCACTAGTTGTTACTAAAACTAATTCGACTCCATATGAAAATTCTACTCTTATGGTGCTCATTATAAGGTTCATTTCATTGATAAGAACTTTATGGTCCTCGCACAGATAGAAGACCAGACAGGAATATTTCCATTTAACTTTTGATTATAGTGCCCCTCTTTATCAAACTATTGTCACAGACTTCCTCCAGTGTTAAAAAGGCTAGTACCCTCTCTATTTTCCAGATAGGTACTGAAGCTGTTGGTACGCTCACTTCCTGATATGCATTGCACAACTAACAGTTGCCCCCACTACGGTGTTGAATCTAAATTCAACTAACTACCAACTCTCCTCTCTTGTGATGGCACTCTCACTTCCCCATGCCGAAATGTCTTTCTAGTTCCCATTATTCCTACGCGACTGGATAGACTAGAGGATATTTAGCTTATCCTCTCTCTCTACTAGTTATCTGCACTAGCACAGGAGATATCAGTCGCAGTGTCCTGCAACAGTATCTGGACATGGTTTATAACCTAAAGACCAATACAATTCCACCATTGAGTAGAAAATATATAAGATGAAATCATATTACATGTTAATAGACGAAACCTTAAAAAGGCGCCAAAAATTTTTCTTGTCGCTAAATAGAAACAGAATGTCTGTCGCTTTTGTTATCAAAATGCTTTTGTTAGCAACCAAATTGAGTGTGTTCATTATTATTATTTTATTATTTTTGGTTTTTTTTTAACACTCCTTATTTAATATTTTTATTTTAGCAGGCTATCAATACACTGAGCAACAGTACATTTTGTCTTTGATAGTATATATTCTTAAATTAAAAGCTTCAAAGTTGTTCTAGTTCTAGGGTGATGGGAGAATAATAAATAAATAGTTTATATTAGAACAACGAAATGTGTTAATGCAATAACTAACTTTCATGTCAACTCATCCGAAGAACAGAGTCCGATGTGATTATATAGCGAAAAGAGATTAATTACGTTTCGAGAACAATTTCATTATTCAAATTAAGGCCTATGTAAAGGTGTTTTGAGAATTTATATATCTTGTTTCGTTTCGGAAATTATAAAATGTAACAACAGTCGATGTGACATCCACAGCAAAGAAGAACGAACGAAATGTACTATGTCCTGAGAACAAGTAGTCTTGCACAAAGACCTTTGTTCTACGAATGAGTCGATATTCTTGATATTAGAAGCCTTAGAAGTTTGGGGTTCAGTAACTTTAGCCTAAGAAAATATTTATTGTTATTTAAGATTATTTCATTTTTACTTTTTGTACATTATGACAACTTATATGGACATGAACACTGTGTAATTGAGGTTAAAACCGAGAATAAGAAAAGTTGCTATATCAGCTTTAAATTGGAGTAGAAAGAAGGACGGCAAAAGCTGCCCCAATAACGATAAAGAGCCATTCATGGATTTTGCTAGTTTAATTTTGCGTTTTAGTTTATGCCTAGTTGTAAATGTATTTTTGTATAATTTTAGAAGTTGGGAATAAAAAAATTGTAAAACATTGTATTTTAGAATAGATGCAGGAATACAGCGCAATTGATTCAATTCAATCATAGACTAGGTAATGTTCTTGTGAGTATGTTTCACTTTAAGCATGATTGAATGTTTACCTACCTGAAATATTGGTTATTTTATAGTACACACATAAAACATTAAAGCTATAAAAACCTAATGAAATAATCAATTAAACAGTAATGAAAAAGCAAAAAATAAAACACAATGTGACAAAAATATTTAGACAATATTTCATATTTAAATGAGAGATAATGAAAGTTGCAAAGGAGCATTTTGACAAAAGACCTCTTGCCAATGTCAATGTCACATTGATATTGAGAACAGTGACCATTTGTGGCAGATTTAATTTTTCATTTTCATTGCTGCAGAACATGATAAGTTATATTAAATGTGGCAGTTTGGGAATATTCGGGAAGTTCTTTATTATTTTTGGGAACAAACTGAAAAATTGTTGTTTTCTGCTATTACGAACAAACAACTGAAGCGAAATACAGGACAATGTGGTAAACATAACCTGTATCAACTTTATGACTCCAGCTTCTACAGGCTGTGCTTAATTAGCTTTTTTGATGCTTTGATAATAAATCACAAGTATTGATAGGTCTCCTTAATGCACATCATCAAAACACTGAGTCACAAAATACACGGGATTTAATTACCTCTACGTATTATGTCATTCCATTGTTTCAGGTACCTGACCAATGAAGGTATTGAGTACCTGCGCATCTTTCTGCACCTACCACCAGAGATCGTGCCCGCGACCCTTAAGCGCACTGCCCGTACTGAAACTGTACGCCGCGGCGCCATGGGCCGCCCTGATGTCCCGGCGCGAGCTGCCGAGGACCGCTCCGCATATCGCCGCGCGCCCACCGGTCCCGGTGGCGCTCCGCACGACAAAAAGGCTGATGTTGGCCCTGGATCATCTGACCTTGAATTCGTGAGTTTAACTCCATCTTAGCTATGTAATGTCCTTCTGATAGCAAAGTTGCACACAGGTTCCTTATAAACATATCTAGTTCTTAGGTTTTCGCTATTGTTACACATAGGAAATGAAACTATTTCAAACAAACCCTTTTGTTGTTGGTTTGTTTGAAAAAAACAAATATACGCGATTTAAATCCGGGAAAATAGTTTAATTTCCTATTTCTTATGAATATACGAGTGCCGGCTGAAAAGTTTTGAGCCTAGGGTATTACAATGCCGATAGAAATGCGCAAAAAATCTATTTCTCTATCTAATTTCCCTCTACTTCCATGCACTTAATCTATTTCTCTATCTAATTTCCCTCTACTTCCATGCACTTTTTACATTTCCCATAAAGGGCTTTTAACCCAGTGAAATAATATTCGCCGTCTTTGCCTACGAATCTTTGTCTTCGAAACTTTGTCTTTGTCTATCCACTGCATTGTCTTTGGATCGTGATGCCGGATCCACGTTCCATCAACAGTGACAATGTGAGAAAAAACGTCGTCAGGATTATCGCCAGTCGTCAGGATTATCTCCACAAATGCCAAAAGAAGCGATTGCGAAGTTGTGACTCGGCGCTACTTGTCCAGCGGCTTGAGGATTTTCGATACCCATCGCGCGCGCAAACCTTTTTCATGTGCAAATGGTTATGCGAAATGTCGCTGATTCGTTCCTTGCTAACGCTGAATTCAGCTATCTACCACAACTTGATTCGCCGATCTTCTAGGACAACTTTTTTAATTTTTTTTATATTTTCTTCGGTAACGGTAGTGTTTGGACGCTTTGATCTGGGATCATCTTTTAGCGACTCCTTGCCATGCTTGAACTCTCGGCTCCAACGTTTTATGGTAGCAATCATGGTCCAGACTCCCCATAAATTGAAGACATCTCTTCAAATATATTCGTCGGCGTTTTATTCTTTGTGCGAAATTTTATGACGGCTTCTGTACTCCAGTTTCGTACAATCCGCGGATGACTCAGACACTGATAGTTACAGTTCAATTAATAAAAGCGTAATATGCTAATGACATGAAATTTGGTAAACGTGTGGCGCACTATAAGATTCCGGAATGAATAAGAAAAAAATACTATAAATGGTCAGAAATGAATTTATTGCTTCTCAAAATATTCTCCGTTAGCGTTAATGCACTTGTTCATACGAATGAACCAATTTTGAAAACATTTATGCCACTCCTTCGTAACAATCTCTGAAACACATTTTTCATATTCTTCGACGGCCTCTTCAGGTTATGAAAATCGTTGATCGCAGAACTGATCCATAATTTTTGGAAATAAATAAAAGTCACAAGGTCGGAACTGTACGCGGGATGGCTCATAAGGTCAACGTTGTTCACCTTCAAAAATAAATTTGTCTATCTGGCCGTGTCAGAACTGGCATTATCGTGGTGCAAGATGATGCGGCGTTTACGGTTATTTTTAAGGAGTTTGTCAATAACTTCCGGCAACCAAGTGGTCGTGTACCAATCACTATTCACGGTACAACGATTCTCCAAAGCAACAGTAGCCCCGTGTCCAGTTTTATTTAAAAAAAGAAGCAATCATCCGCTTAGAGGCACTTTGCATTCGCGCCAGTTTGGTTGGTTTCGGCTCATCTCGAAAGATCCATACGCCCGATTGCTGCTTTGTTTTGGGATCGTAACTATAAATCCATGTTTCGTCACCTGCTACTATGTCCCACACCAAACTTGACGCCCCTTCGTTGAATCTGGTAAGTATGGCATTGCATCAAGTGACGCGATCCGTTTTTTGAGCCTCAGTCAAATTGTGTGGGATCCACCGAGAGCACAGCTTTTTCAAATCCAAATGTTTGTGTAGTATTGATTGTATTTGACTCATGCCTATGCCTGAAGATGCCCGAATCTCATGGTATGTCACATGCCTGTCTGTTTTGATCATACGGCGCACAGCATCGATGTTTTTGTTGTTGACAGCAGTGTACGGGCGACCATCACGAAATTCGTCATTGAGAGTCACACGACCGCGTTTGAATTCTGCAAACCAGCTATAAATAGTCATCTTGCGTGGTACTTCATCGCCAAAAGCAGCTTTAAGGCGAACGAAGCTGCGCTGAGCTGTTAAATTGCACTTAACGTCGTAGAAAATCATACTACGAAATGGATTTAACTGGTGAAGTTAAATCCATGGTGATGTAGACAACCAATTTCTAAAATAACGCCACAATGTAAAAACAAGTGGCAGTCAGATGAAACAAACTGTATTCTACAGCCAGAGTTCCATTTTCAAATGTTGTAATTACTTTTTAAATATTGTTTATATAAGTGGCCAGTTCCGGAAACTTATAGTGCGCCTTATGTATATACTTATTAGGTATTCGTAATTATTGTCATGTAGCGCGAGCCCTTAGTGACACTTAAAGGTACTTAGGCTCAAAACTTTTTAACCGCTCTCGTAAGCAACAAAAGCAGTGCATCCTGAATTAGTATTGTTTTATGGTTAGGTTAGTTACTATTTTAATGTGATACTTTTTACACATATCTGTGGCTTGGTACAAAAGTGCGTAAGTAGTATGAAGTTGGGCACTTCTTGTATCAAGCCACATATATAAGTATAAAAAAATCATATTAAAACAATTCTCATTAAAATGAAAGATAGGAACACCATAGTTCATGTTTTATGGCAATACCAAATCAGGTAACTACTTAATTTTCGCCTCGCTTTGTTAATAATTTTTTTGTTGATGAGACCAAACAGTTTTTAGAACCAACATTGAAATGTTTGTATGAAAAATTCTATGTATATGAAACAAAAATGGCATAATTAGCTCATACCTTTTTACGTAATGATTAGAATGATTTAACACGTTGACATTTTCGTTTCAGAGAGGATTTGGACGAGGTAGCAGACCTGCACCTTAAGTATAATAAAAAAATCGTAATTTACTGCTTGTTTGATTTCAAAACTTGTAAACCCAAAAACGATAACTATTATTACACATCTGTCGGACTTAACACACAGAGGTTTCTTAATGCTATTTATCTCCATATTTCCTTATGCATACGTATTGAATTAGTTTATTACGCTATCGATATTATTTTGTCCGTGTCTGAGCAACTTAACTTTCGGGTTGTGCAACTTGTGCAAGACTGCACGATTGTTGGAATCATATAGATTAGAGAAACTGTTAGGCTTAGTTCCTTTCAGACCACTCCGCACGACAGACGACGAAATTGTGGTGTTGTGGTGGTATCTTAGAAGGTTTAATAGAGTAAAAAGAAAACCATTGGGTACATTCTATTTCACGGGAAAGATTTTTAATGTGCCAACCACCGACATATATCTAGATACGTCTGTGGGATGAACTGAGCAGTGACGAGTCAAAGTTCTTTAATTATTTTCGAATGACAGCATCCTCTTTTGATGATTTATTGGGACGACTTTCATCGTTCCACGTAGTAACGTCCGGTACTCCGGTCCGGGCGTTCTGCCGACAGACTGTAGTGACAAACGCTCCGGCGGCAATGCCGAGCTCGGCATCCTTGCCGAGTCAGGCGTAATGTGAATAGCTTCTTGTAAATTGTACAGCCATTAGCCTTTCCGGCAGATTTACCGACCCGGCAAATTCGCCGGTAGTGAGTGGTAATAGTGGGAACTAGGCCATATATTTGAGTAAATAAATTGGATTGGTTGACATTTATAATCCTACATTATTACGCGGGCAATTGTTTATGAAAACATTTATTATAATCTGGAACCTAAAGACATCCATATCTTCTAATAGTATCTTGGAAAACATAATATCGTTGTGCGAAATGCGGCCGAATCTAACAAATGGTATGTTCATATTTGTAGGCCTCGGTTCAATTCAACGATGTTCTGATTTTCAGGACGCATTCTTTCTCAGTGCGACTTGTAGAAGTCGTGAAGGATTAAAGACTGACTTATATATCAACCGTCATTTTCTGATTTGAATCCCGTCGCTAAAGAAGTACATACCTATAGCAAACTCGTGGAGTAGTGGTTAAAAATGGATAAGTACACAAATTAAAAGACGATTGCTACAAATGGGCCACAGCATATTAGATATAGAAGCCGTTCATATATTGACTATGCTAGACCATTTCATAGGAAAACCTTTTGGTTTTAACAATCACAGCAAGTAGTTTGAAACAAGAGTTTTAAGTTATTACGGCTCTCAGGAAAGTTTTCGATTATGACTGCGCGAGATATTAATCACATTTAAAAGCTTTCAGATAATTTAATATCTTATTTAGACATGTATATTCTCTATGATACCACCCAGCATCTAATGAGCAGATTGAACGTGCCATCCAGATCATCAACACAAGAGACTACCTTGGAATGAGAAGTTATGTACCTAGAAGCTTTGTATAATAGGTACTCAGGTGCACTAGTGGGTAACTAATACATTCACGGACATGTCGAATGGCCGGAGACTTCTCTTTCTGATTTCGCTGTAGTTATCTACAGCGAAATCAGAAAGAAGTACTACGTAAGTAGTAGAGGCTTCCCTATGTAAGCCGTGCCGAGCTGGAAGGACATAGGTTCCCTACGAAAAAAATTCGTTAAGGACCATGTGGTCTGTGTTAAGAACCCAATGGTCTGTGTTAAGAACCCAAGAAACAGGTCCTTGATGCGTTTTTTTTGAACGGTGTAATAAAACTAACTCTATTTACTCTACCATGGGGGGAAATCTTTATAGATACCCCTGAGTCTACCTTGGCTAATATTAGACACTTGCGGAAGCGCAGCAGCCGCACGTCTGTAGCGCTTCAGTAATTTTTAGTTCAGTAATTGTGACTGCAAAAGTGGCGCAGCAAACGCGCTTCTAAATGTTGTATGAAAATAGTAATGGTGCCATATTGGTGCAGCCCTTAGGTAAGAGCTTATGCACACGGCGTATTTTATACGCGCCGCAGACGCACTATAGCCGCGCGTATTTATCGCGCATTTTGATAAGAGATCGTTTTAATTTTAAGTTGTTTGTTAATTTCAGTTAGTTTTTGAGATGAAGCAACTACGTGAAATCTTAAGTGTAAACTCCAGTGGAGTATATAAGCTTCTAGCTTGCAACGCGATGTTTCCGCGTGTTTGAATCGATTCACTACAGCGCGTATATGCGCAGATGACGCGCGTTTATAAGCGTTCGAGAAACACGCGTCGTCGGCTCGTATAAAATACGCCGTGTGCATAGGCTCTTAGTGTCTAATTTGAAGGCTTATAGTCGAAATTCAGTGTCTGTCTGTACTTATAGATGGCTTTCAAGAATGCCCTATCTCAACATTCGTAAGGGAGACTGTTAGAAAAATTGAGATATCACGCTTAATATCATTACATCTAGGCAATATAACAGTGTAATATATAGGCTTAAAATCCCAAAAAATTTACTATTTTGGTTTGTGTCACTTCTCAAAAACAGCGGTATGTCAACATGTATGTGTCAACAAGGCTTTTTTTTATCTTTTAACTACACACATCAAAAGTGTCTAGGGATCAAGTGAATATTTTTGAAATAAAAATTATTTAAGCAATATTTACCAAATCCAGTCTTCCAGGACGACTTCTTACTTTAATGCTTATGTTTTATTTAACCGCTTACCCCTATAAGTATTTAATTAAAATAAACTAAAATTGATGTTTTTGCAAATTGTGGGAAAAAACTCAAATTAACGGCGTCAATTAAATGACAAAAAAATGGCGAAAATGATGATTTTGCTCATTTTTATTGTAAAGATAAGAAAATTAATAATCTGTATTTCCACCATTAACACGAATCACATAATTACAGCGATTTGGCATGCTTAAGATGAGTTCATCAAAATCACTTTGAGGAATGGCCGCCCATGTGTTTTGTAACAAGTCAAAATATTGTTGTAGAGTATGTACGGTATGCATACTCGGCACAGCTCTTCTTTGAAGCATATCCCATGCGTGCACAATTGGATTGAGGTCTGGCGATTGAGCAGGCCGTGTGTGGACGTGCGTTGTCATGCATTAGTTGAAATGAATCACCCAACTGGCCTCGCAAAGGGATGATAACATCTGAAACAATCCTCTCTGCGTAAACTTGAGCATTGAGGTTACCCCTGATCCAAATGAGATCGGTTCTTCCGCCGATCCAAATACCGGCCCATATCATTATTGTTCCCCCACCATATGGATGAACTTCCTGACAATATCTCAAACGTTCATGACGTCCAGATGTTCTCCAAACTCGAGTACGTCTTGTATCCGGTCTCATACCGAAGCGGGATTCATCCGAAAAGCACACATAGCGCCAGTCTTCTTCCTCCCAGTTTCTGTGTTCGCGAGCCCATCGTAAACGGGTCCTACGATTGCAGGGTGCAATAGGTGGAACTCTGAGCGGCCTTCGGGATCGCAGACCCACTTCACGTAAACGATTTCGGATTGTTTGATCGCTTATTAGCAAGCCTGAGGAGCTGTGGAGCCTCGTAACCAACATCATGGCGGTCATGGTACGATTCCGTCGAGCAGTATTTTGGATATACCGGTCCTGTCTGCGAGTCGTGATGCGAGATCGTCCTCCAATGTCGCTCGGCCACGCTGCCCGTCATGCGATAGCGCGTCCAGAGGCGACTTATGACGCTCTGTGTAGTGTTATGAGTGAAAGCCACAGCACGTTGCCTGGAACCAGCTTCCAACATTCCGACGGCTCGCATCATCACTTCTCGGGTTAAATGATGTCGTCTCTCCATAATAATGTAAATTGTTTCGGTTCCGATGCAGATATTGTAATGATTTTGTCAAAACGCTATAACTCATTTTTATACAAAACCACATTGACAATCGATTTTCTTCTTATTATCGAATTTTAAACAATATTCCTTATTTAAATGTTAAAACTCACTAAAAAGGTATCAATAGCGAAACAAAAAAGTTAATATAATTAACCCTAATTGCAGCAATACTCTTAAACTTAACTTAGACACTTTTGATGTGTGTATATTGCTATCGCCTTCAAAAATTTTACGTACCTAGGTGAAAAAAAATTTAAATACATAATACGCAAATGGCTTGTCTATGCATTTCAATTATCAAAGAAATATTTTTTTTATTATAGTTTCACATAACAACAATGGATAATTTGGTAGGCACTTTTTTCAATCAACTTGTTTTTGAATATCGTTAGGAAAATCTTGTTCAAATTATCCCGTGTACAGCGCGCAGCTCAATTAAGCGGTAACTGGTAGGCCTGTAGTAAACGCAAATGAAACAATTGAAAACATTAAATAATTTATTTCAGTTTCTACATAAAAGGAGACTAAAATCGTTGAGAATGAATTTACATGATATTGAATTACATAAAATTAAAAAAAGTATCTAAATCATGTTTCTGAAGAAGCTATTTACAAATCTATAATGGTACTGGTTTGGGAGGGTCAGGGAGAGGGAATTCTCCCAGCTGGGCAATGTAGTACTGGTTGGCGCGGTAGGGCTTGCACAACCAAGGTACCATCTCCTCCATTGGGGTAAGAGTGACACCCAAATCCTCTATCGTTGGTAGTGTAGGATCAAGCTGATCAGTTGTGGCCTCCTGGAAGTAAAAATAGTATATACTGAATACAGGCTTTTTATTTAAGATAGTTTTACTTTATTCGCACAGAAAACAATCTCACCCGATGGAAGTGAAGATCTAGTAGGTGAAAGTAAAAACTAACTTGTACACAATGGGCAATTGGGCAAAATAAGTTCCCCATGACACGATTCACGTCGGCTTGTCTAAGAAATGCTTAACCCATTCTGGAACAGTACTTAAATATAGTATCGCAAACAAAAATGTTGCTACTTTCTTGGCATAGTACTTATATTTACTCAATAGATAAAAAATGTTCAATGTAAATAATTGAAGTACGTTGTTGATACTTCTCTATAGAAAAGCAGTAGGAGGAAATTACACTGAAAAAACTTTGAAATCACACTGTAAAGCCCGTAGTTGGGTTTTTGAGGTGTACCCGTACTATCATATTCTGATATTTAATTTTTAAGAAGGGGTCAATTTAAGCCTATAATAATATTATTCTAATCGATAACATTTTTACGTTATTATTTATCCAACCTAAAGTCAAGACCACATTAATCTTCACACTTTGGACCTTTTTTACTTTTATCTTAAATTCTAAAACTTAACGTGCTCGACCCCGTGTTGAACAAAACGCCTTAAAATTTTCTCCAGCAACATAACTAAGGTCCTGCCCTAACAAAATAGCACATAGATAGTAGGCAAATGTCTTTATCCGTGTTTAACAAAACACAATTTTTGTGTGCCGAAAATGAATACATTACAATGTGAAAAATACTGATAGCTACTATAACATTGGGCTTGTGCTGTGCCTCGAATTGGTTATGTATATGTATATAATGTGTCGTAATTTTGCAATATGTACTGACGAAACTTATTTATAAGACCGGTAAAAAGATTCTAGACAAGGCAAACAGTTTACAAGATTTTATAATTGTTTGTCCATGTAAAATTTAAACATGTATGTCGTAGTGTAGTTTATGCAGCGACGGTTGGCGCGTGAAACGTCATTAGCGAAAATCACCATTTCAGCCGAAAGATAAAAGGACATAAGCCTCACACAAACACAAAAGGACATAACCACCCCCAAAGACAAAAGGTCTACAAAGACGGCGATAAAAGCCGAAAAAACCCAATGCAAAAGGTCTGTAACAAATACAAATTCGTAAGGTCTGCTGACTGGATGCGTAGCTTAGAGGGTAACCCTTCTTATTATTATCATATCGATGGCATGCAATATAATGCTTGTCATGGTGTAAGTAAGTGGTGCGCCAGACGTACAGGAAAGGAAACGTATGTTGTGCTTGCTTTACTTTGATGCACCCCAACAGTAGCCCTGGTTTCGCATAGACGCAGGTTCGAGTCCCAGAGGTCTATGGATCTTTGTATTAACAATTATAATAATTTAATAGTAGAGCAATTTCACAAAAATAAATAAATGAATATCGTGACAGTAAAAACATCTATGTATTCAATAAAATATTGCAATACGCAAATCGATACCTCCAATGAACACTACGTCAACTTTATTTTTTGGATATCTGTTATTTTTGTAAACAGCCGTATTTATTTATTAATACTTTGCTCCCCGAATTTTGTGAAAAATAAAGGAAAAACATATTCCAAAAATAAAACAATTCCAAAAAAAAACGAATTTTGTAAAAAAAAATAAAGAAATAAAAAGCAAATTAAGAACAGAACTGGTCCAAGAATTAAGTCAGCGTAGTGTCCATTGAAGGTATCGAAATATGCAACTCATACATAAAATTTCCACACGCAAAATAGGCGCCTGGACGTCGAGTTGCAGATAACAGCCCATCACACCATGCTAATCATACAGTTAATTGATACTTTAGTTAGAATACGAAAAAACTTTCAGTGAATGTTACCTTTTCAATAGACTCCCAGTGCAAACCACCGAATGGGTAGCCCCAAGATACGAGTTGGTTGAAAGCTATTTTCATACTGAATAGCGGGTCGTACTTCATATCGTAACGAACATAGCCCCAGCTCTCGTCTTTGCGCATTATTTTGTAGAACCAGTCCACAAGATCTGCTACCAGGTATCTGTCGGGACTGTAACGTGATAAAAAATTAAAGAACTTGATTGAGTAGTTAAGGTAGGTCCTACAAAAATCTATAAAATTTAAAAGTGGTGACCACCACAATATTTATTAATAAATTTATTTATATTGCTTTTCATTAATATAAAGAAAAAAATAATATGTCCCAATATTCTCTACGCAGGGCCACAGCTTTAAATAAAAATCTAGACATTGGGCTACAAGATCAACATCATAAATTTCAAAATTTTTTTTGGGTATTTTAAGTGCTGGACTTACCCAACAGCCTGGTAGGTCATGCACCTAGTATCTCTGTCACGGATAGCGTTAACGATGGCCTGGGCGACGTCGGATACATATACTGGGCGTTTTGTTGTCGCCATTCCATTCTTCCACAGTGGCATCCATTTAGACCAGATGCGCCAGCCACTTACGAAGGATCTGTATTTTTATCTTATAATTACAATTTTCAATTAAAAAATTAATTGGCACTGTTATTTATTTATTTACGTACATCCACTTCAAAGAGTCAGACTGGCACTTTTTGTTATGACAAATTCTTATAAAACAATTTTAACTTTATTTATTAGAAAAACAATACATCAAAAAAACACTTTTAAATAGAATCCAAAAACAAATAAATTAAAATACTACCTAACCAAATATGTATACAAAGTGTTCATGGCCCTACTTGTTGGGTCAGACAAAGGCTTTGAAACCACCCAACTTTAAATGTACCATAACAAACCTGCGAAAATAACCACACAAAATAACAATCTTACGTTAAAACACTTTCTATGAGCGAATTCTCAGAAATTCTACACTTAGCAATTAGAGGAAGAGTATACCTAAGATACCTTCAGCCTGAAATATAAGTAAGTAATTATTTTGATAAAGCCTTGTTTGAAAACACACATCAAGATCCCGGTTAATCTTCAAACCTGAGTCTTCTCCAGCAATGCGCTTTGAATTTTACTTCACAGTTCTAAAGCTGTCGTCGTCTCCGCTACTTACATCACTAACCCCGCTCTTATTACCGCAAGTCGAGTCTTTGTCCCCTAGTTGCTTGGTATCGATGTCAGATACATCTTGTCTCCATTTATATTTGAGTCAAAAGAGCCTCTGCCAGTCACACATTAGTGTAATAAGAGCCTTTTCCTATCCACAAACCACCAAAATGAATGCACGGATGTGCAAATTGTGCAATTGAAAGTACCACCTTGGTATTAGACACAATTAACTAGATTACAAAAATAGTCAGATATTTTATAAAAATTCCACATCAATATATTTACAAACCATCTCACACCAACCAGGATTACCTGGCTCATTTTAGTACTTATATAATTATGCTTATCAAGTATTTTTCTCCAAAAGTATGTCTAGTTGTGGGACATAATATCTTAAATATTCTGCTATATCCTTGGTTCCCAAAGTGGTCCAGGCGGACCCCCGGAGGCCACGGGAGACTCGACGGGGTTCTAAGTTCGCGTGGCAAAAAATATGGATATGGAATATGGTACAAATATAGCTGCAGGGGGTCCACTGGAACCAGCTAAATTTTGAAAGTGGTCTAAGAGAAAAAGTCTGGGAACCTCTGTGCTATATCGATATATATATTATATACTTATAATGGCTCTTATTATATTGTGCTGTATTAATACATTGGGATACAATTATTATCTCACCTGATAAACCGATCTTCTGACCCATAGATATCTGAAGCACGTATGACAGTAGCAGTTGGAAACTCCTCTCGCACTGCACATTCTCCCATAAATTTGCTTACTTTGTACATGGATGGGGACCTTCTGACAAGAATCGGGGGATTCTCAGCTTGGTTCAAGTAGGATACGTGAATGAAACGCTCAACTCCCATCTCCCGTGCAATTCTAAATTATGAAATCCTTTAATTAATGTGTAATAAATTCATTTATAACTTCTATTCAGTTACTTCTGCATATGCAACTACATGTGCAAAACAAGTATCAGTGTTAATATAATGTTAGTTTTTAGCTTTATTAAATGTATTGATGAAATGATGAGTGGCGTCTCTTTAAACATGGTTTTAGCAGAATACCAGCATAGCAGAATATCATAGAAAACTGCAACATTTTTGGTGTGCCAGCAACTTTTCACTGCCATGACTTCCAAAACTATTTAGTTTAATTAGTTATATGTGTATGTTCCTTTCGTTATAAAAATTTTATATTTTTAGTGGTTCAATATAATAATAATTATGGTGGTAGTTTTAGTAGATCCAATGTAAATAAGCTGTCATTGAAGTAAACAAATTTTTTATCGGTCTATCTAAATAATTCACACAGTCACTCAAATATAGACACATTGCATTTGCAATTTTACAAAATTTTAAATTAACATTTATCTATGGTTCTAAGTACCTAAAAAATTATAGTGTTGATGATGGACTACTGACTCCTAAGATAAAAGTTTTCTAAATTTAGGAGCCAGGGAATTGCTAAATTGTTGCAGGGTCGAATTCCATTACTCTACTCAATGCTCAAGTCAGGATTTGAGCAGACTTGAGTATGATTTGAAGCACTGGAAATACAACCCTAATGTCAAGGGCTTGAGTATGATTTTCAGTGCTCACTGCAATACTCATGTCCTGACTTGAGTATTGAGTAGAGTTCGGGAATACGACCCACAGATTATTATGATTATAATTCAGAAATACTATGAGCAATATGCACTATGATGCAGTGGAGGTTGCAACACTGTGTTGCACAGCAATTCTGCTTAGTATGGTTGAATCTTAAAATTATTTTGTTGATCTTAGTTACATTGTGTTCTGGGCAATAAGGAATTGTACAGACCTATTTAGATTATTGATCTGTCACATTCTATTTTGGTAAAAAATTTATCTAATAAAACAGCAGTGTGTTAGAGATACCAAGTAGCTTAAAGACGCTACAGTATCAAAATCATTATGGAAACTGTGTCTCTAAAAATTGTTTGCGAATGTGCGACAGGTTAACATCAATGTCATCTAATATATTACCTTGCAATACGCCTTGGCCCAACGGCATGCACATCCATGTACTTGAAGTTCTTGGTTTCATAATCACGGCCAATTAAGTTAATAACAACATTAGAGTAACGACAGGCCTTTGCAATGGACTCATCATCACGGAGGTCAAAAGGGGTGAAGAGCACCTGGCCAAGGTCTCCAACAACTTTTAACCTGCTGGCCTCATAGAAATCATTTCTGTATGGTAAAATTAGCTGCAATATTGAAAAGGGATCATATAATTAATACCACATGTAATAATTGTCTGAAAATGGTTTGAAAGTGGGGTTTAAATATTAGGCAAACATTTATGAGATCTCCATATCCATTTCCAATTAATAATAAATTAATACACTTGAGGATAGTGTTGCTATTACAGAAAACAATTAAATTATTCTTCCTGTATATTATGGGAGGCTGTACCACAATAATATTCATCAGCAGAGCTCTGACTGATGTGAATAACTAGAGTTCACCAACCTGGGTGCCTATCTTGCCCAGTTTGTTGCATACATAGCGGCCCACAAACCCTGTGCAGCCAAATACCGTAGCAACAACTCCATTGAAGCTACTGCGGCCGCCTGTACCTCGCTTATATGCAGCCAGATTTGGCGACCCATCACTACTGTACTGAGCTGATTTTATGTACAATATGCTCGCACATCCACTTTTTGCTAAAAACCAAAACACCGATTTTAAAAATATTACAATTAATACAACCTTATCAAAAGCCTTCGGGAAAAACAACCTTATTTTTGCTATGAAATTATGTAAGAGTCAACAAGCGTTGAAGCTTTTTTTATAAGTAAATAAATGATACGTACGTAAAAGTTTAGTGGCAATTTGGCCTGTTAATGCTACAGGAGCCATTTTTAGGCCAAATTAACGTAAAATAATTTTAATAGTATTATTGAACTATATATGCACGATTTCCTATTTACAAAAAGTCAATCAGCTGTCATGTCACCAGTGTGACCATTAGGAAAATAGATAATCTGCCCTATACTGGCTGAAAATCAGCCGGAATCTGCCATACAATTCTGAGAATGCCTAAAATACGTCAAACATTGGAATTGGAATGAGAAACAAAACCGTATTTTCACAACTTAAAGCGTAACATACTTAGCATGTATTAAATTAATTATCATTAGACTCAAACTTTATGTCTCAAAATAATAATGCTAATAATCATCGAATTAAAAAGATGATAAAGAAATTATTCTATCAATGGTTTATAAGAGACGGTGTATTCTTCTCCATGTTCCTTAATACCTTATTTCACTGTTAAGATTGAAGACACCTACATGATTTAAGAATCTGCTTAGTTTTATTGACGTTCATTTGTGAGAATATCCTCTCACAAATAAACGTCAAGAAAATTAAGTAGCTAAGGGTCGTATTCCAGGAACCCTACTCAATGCTCAAGTCAGGACTTGAGTATGATTTCAAGCACTGGAAATACGACCCAAATGGCAAGGACTTGATTCTGATTAATAGTGCTTGAAATCCTACTCAAGTCCCGACTTGAGCATTAAGTAGAGTTCTACAATACGACCCAAAATCTGCCCAAGTGGCATAAATCTGCCACAACTGGTCATACTGCATGTTACGTAAGTATTTTTTTTAAGGTGGCATTGGCTACAAGATATTAATTCATGCGCAGCGACCGACAATGAGCTGCACTGCTTAACATTGTTATAAAATTACTGATCCATTATGTGGTCTGTAGACTGATCAATTCAAATAAGGCATAAAATAAACTTCTATACCTAATGCAACTGATTGCAACCAAACAAAGGATGTAAGATCATTGATTTCAGCAGACCCACGTGTGACAACGTAACAATCAGAAATCGGATTGCCAGACGGTATAACTGGATTCTCGCACCACATTGTAAATTTCAGCACAATCAAGTGCACATCAAACATAACACTTAGAGGACTGTTCTTATTCACCTGCGTAGGGTTGGTTTAAAATTTGAAATGCTCTGGATTATGTCTGATCAGTCTTTCTTTGTCCACAAACAAAAGATTCGAAGGTTCTAGTGCCAGTTTTTATGCTGCAGTGTTTTTTTTATGAAGGACATTTCGCTGTTGGCCGCTGACGGCCTTGTAGCATCACCAAACAAAAGGGCGAACTGAAGGCTCTCAATTCATAAAAAAATTAAGTACCGTGTCTAAGGGCGTCCAGGTGGCCCTGGACATCGGCTCAGGTTGCTACGAGAGTTTTCCGCCAGAAGGGCATGCTGCAGGAGTCAATCTGCGCGAGTACACGGCCGAAGAAAGCTTCCAGTACATTGGTAGTACAATGACGTTCACCGAATATTTCAGGCGAATGTATGTACTTTGGACCAAAATGAAGTTACGTATTTTAAAAAAACCGACCTCAAAAGTTCGTGGAATTACATCTACTATTTGCCAAGTTTTATAGAAATCGGTTACGGGAAATTGCGCAAAACCGAGACATCCCTTAGTAGAGGTGGAATAATTTTCTTCAAATTTAACAAAATTAAACTTACATTCACTTGTATAAGAGATATATTACAATATTTCAGTATTTTATTCATCCTGGCTCAGCCATTCACCAACAGGTGGCGTTTTAGTAAAAATACTACTAGTATATAATAGCTAACTATTACACGTTAGATGGCGCTGAAACTCATTAATCGTTACACTAAGAACTCACGGAGCGGTTTTTACCCGCGTCTGCCGCGGGACCGCGGCATCTGTAGAATGTAACAGTTAAGTATATAAAATTAGTAGCACATTTCACGGCGCGTTTTACGCCTGTAGTGGTGACGGTTGCTCGCGGTTGCCGCGGTGGGGTACTAGTAGAACCGCGCAGGACACGATGACCAGCGCGCTTGGCGGCCGTCGTCGCCCGCACACTTTGGCGGTCGGTTCAGGCGCATTGTGGTGCAGGCGCACGCAGGGTAAGTTCTCTATTAACCGCGCGACTTGCAATTAGCTCCTACTAACTTCGCGGTTCGTTCCGCAATCGCAACGGTTTCGTGCCCGCAACCGCGGCAGCTACATGTCCGCACAAACTTGCAGGGTCGTAAGTATTGAAATAAAACCGCTGTCTAGCAGCACCGGCGGGCGCGGTTAGATTCCGCAGCTCCGTGAATTGTTAACCTTTAACCTTAAACTGACGCTACTCAACGAGTGATGTGGTCCTACCTAATCGATAGTTGAAAACCATGTGGCTGTTTTTAATATTAAAAAAATATTCAATTTTTTATACTTTATCTACACTGGTACTGGTGTATTATTAAATTAATATATTAATATAAATTATTATTATTTTCTTAATGGCGGCCACTAGGCTTGGACCAGTGTCAGTTTTATAAGAATAATATAAAAATACGTTACCACGGGTTACCACCACCAATTTAAATATCTAAAACACATAAATTTTTCTTCAAGCATCAGCAACATCCAAATTGAAATGAAATTGAAACGGTTGTCCGAAATATGAGTTGTGTTAAAGTTACTCGAAATAAAATGTTTAGTAATAATAATAATAATAATAAAATAAAAGAAATCAATTTAACGTGAATGCTTTTCGCTTCGATATTTTAGGGACTTTAATTACAAAAATTATAGTAAGAAATTCAAATATTTCAGTAAAAATTTATTGTCGATAAACATCAGTCTTCGTAAATGAACATCACTATATTTGAGTCTAGAAATTTCTACGGACACAAAAAGAAAACATTGAATAATAATAGAAATAGTAACTAAAAATGCAAATAGCCGGTGGAATGTTATCTCGCTGGTTTTAAAATTTTTGTTTTCACTCCAATTTTTACAAGGTGTATCGCTACAACTTGGCATTTTCACGTTTTGCGAGAGATCTTGTACAACGATCGCCTTATCAATATGTGGCGATGTTTGATGCGTGGCACCTCGATATGGTCACAGACCACGCCCCCATACCATGTCTCCCCTTTTTTTCTATATCTATAGGTAGGGCCTTAAAAATACCCACCACACTGCCAGTGGTTCGCTTAACGCTGAATTAGGGGGCTCCACAGGGGGGTGTTGCGATTTTTTTATATTATTTAATATTTTCGAGTTTCACATACGGCGTTGTAAATGAAAGTACCTATTTTGTGTTCAATATAATTTTATGAAATAAAATCGTAATACAAGATAAATCTGTCAAATCTAATTATTATTTAGGCCAATAAAACCTTAGGTGAAATTACTCATAAAATATTTATGCAGTTGCAAAAACTATGAAGATCTGGCTCAAAAGACGTATCCACGCCAAAAAACTTAATAAAAAAATAAATAAAAGGGACATTGACATACATTTATTGACAGTTGAGTTGTTAAATTCATAAATTTATAAATAGCGAGCGAGTAGGACGAGTGTGTTGTTAAATTAAGGAGTCGTATAATAGGATTTGATTAATTAAAGAGGTTTTAGAGCCTCGCAAAAAACGCCATGGACGAAGAAGAAATTGGAATTCTCAGCGATCCAAACAATATGGAACAAGTGTCCGATATTTTGCAACGATTTCTGAAAAATGTAAGCATACATACATACAATAAAATATTGTCGTGTCCGTGATTTTATTATTGTTTTTGTAGTGGAATATAATAAAGTACAGATTTAATACTTTTTCAGAATGAGAACGTGTTCTCGTTTCCTAATTTATCTGAGAATAGTCGAGCGTTGCTGTGGACGGCGCTATTCCAGCAATTGCAAAACCCTGACGCTGCTCCAGTTCATGCGCTGTCCTTAGCGTCTGTTAGAGTATTGAGGTAATAATTTTTTTTAAACATACCTAGGTAACAACTTGAGCACGTAAAGTATATTAAAATGAAATTAGTGTAAGTACAAGATTATTATTATAATTTTTTTATAATATCAAGTGACGGGACGAACATGTTGTGCGTCTGACGGTGAGTTACATGCCTGTCTGTAACAGTTGCAGTGCCACTCAGAGCTTTAAAGTGCGAAGATCTGAGGAGCACTACCACTGCACCCGTCACCCTGAGACAAGTTGACAAGTCCCATGTGCCTGTAATTTCACCAGCATGTCTACCCTTCAAAACTGGAACAGTAATGACATTACTGTCTCAAAAGACGTATTACTATATAGACGTATACTGCTTGGCGGCAGAAATAGGTAAGTTGGTAATAGGTATAAATAGGTGGGTTTTACCTAATTACCTAAAAAATTGTACAGTTTATATATTTTAGATAAATAGTATATAAGATACATACAAGAAGTGTTTTGGATTGACACAAGAGTGTAAGCTTAACAAATTTGTTGTAGCCGTGATAAAGAAGGCCTGGAAAATTTGATCACTGAGAAATGGATCACTGTATTAATTGAAAGAGCTGGACTGTATAACTTTGAAGTGCTTGATGAAGAGTCCGCAGTGCCAATCATTAACATACCTAATAAGGATGTAGCAATGGAAGCCCTGAAATGCCTTTGCAACATTGCTTTTAACAGTGAAGTAGCTAGGGCTTTGTGTGCGCACACCAGCATTGCTCAAGGCCTTGTGGCTAGAATGAGAGTGTACAAAGACATTCCTTTTAAAGAAGACATAATGCTTTATGACATGAAGCTACTGTTCATACTAACTGCTTTAAGAAGGGATATAAAGTTAAAAATACGGTGTGAGCTTCATGGTATGGATTACTTGATCAGTTGCTTGAATGAATTGCTACTGGAGGCTTCAAGGACTGAAATTGTGGGTGCGACTAGTGGTTTGGTTGAAGGGGGCCCACACTACTTCCTCAATGTATGTAAAGCTTTTTATTAATTTTCTTTTGATAGGAACAATTATTACGACACCAGCAATTAACACTATGCTAACTCAAATTTTGCCAATTAAAATTATGTAAATTCAAGATTAAGAAAGTAATAATCATATGTTTTATAATCTATGATGAATAACTTTTAAAAATAATTAATATAAAAGTAATCATGATTTTCCCTTTTATAGGCTTTGGTCAAGTTAATATAGTTTTAATTGCTGGTGTCAATTGATGAATTTAGTATCATAACAGAATTATATTTTTCAATATGATAGCAATTCTAATATCTATGTTAATATATATTATATCCCAGTTACACTAACAATTAATATTTTTAAATGACATCAGACAAAAAACAAATCAAAATAACTTGTTTTAAGTATTAAAACCATTTATAACTCAAATTGTTATAATAAGTGCACTATTACATTGGTTACCAAAGCAGGGTAATTGGTCAAAAACAAAAATAATTCTATGACTCAGGCAATATACAGGTGTGGAAATGGAGTTGCATATTAAGTAGAATTTGGTTTAATTTTGGATAAGTCAACCAGTAAATTAGATTTTATTATGACATAATTGCACATTAGGGCGCTGTGTTGCGCTGCATCGGCCCCTCTACTATTTTCATACAATTTTTAAAAGCGTAGTTGCAGCGCGACTCGCTGCTGCAGCATTTCTACAAGAGTCTAATTTGAAGACTTCCTTATACTCTTACCAAAGTAAACACTTTGTAAAGTATATTAATATTTTTGTAAAATTAATACCTATGCTTTTTTTAAAGGATAGTCAACAAGCCATAGCCTGTGAGAATCTTAAAACCCAGTTCAACCTGGTATTGCAAGCAACTACAGAAGAAGAAGATGAGGCCATGTACATGAAGATAATGCCAGTGTTAACTGCTTTGCTGTATGCTCATACAACTTGTGAAGAAAAATTGATGGAACTGCGTATTAATATTGCTAATTTGCTGACAAGGTAAGATGAACTATATAGTTGTTTAAATCTGGCATGATCAGAATAATATATTTCGGACTACTTTGAATTCTGCTGTGATAATACCAATCTAAATTAGATTAATATGTCTCTTTTCGATTGAGTATTTTAACTACACTTCCCAGTAATTTATTAAGATTAATTATGCAAGAAGTAATTAACTGCAAATGCAATCGTTATTGTCTTTGCTTTGAGATAAAATTCTAAATTTCTCATTAAAAACTTTTTATTAAATTCGACCAAATTCTGCTGTCTCAATTTTTTCCCTCCAATACAATAAAATGTACCTCAAACGTAACTAAGTCTGTTAGCATAAAAAAATGGTCGATTTTATTCATTTTGTATGTCAAACATTTTATTGTATATTTACATGACCAGCAATGAAATGATCCTTACATGAAATTGAGTCGAACAGCACTAAAAAAAAATCTATTTTATAATTTTTTATGGGCAATTCGCGCCTGATCAAAAAATCTACTATGCCAAAATTGTTTTCACAAAAAAAGACTTAATGACTACTAAGACAGTTTCCCGGTATCTCCTACACTTTAGGATTTCCCCATACTGTCCCATTAAAAAAAAAACTTTGTTTAAATGAATAACAATTAAAAATGTAGTAAATTAATATCGTTTAACATAACAATTTCGGACACTTTTAAGGTGTTTTTCCACTGATGAGGTGAGATGAGACGAGAATTGAAATCTCTTTTTAAATTAATAGCTCTCGCGAGCTAGCGATTGATATTAATAGCCATCGCGACCTGGCACTGAGATTGTGGATGGTAAAATAAAAGTATTGAAATACCAATAGAGTAAATTACTTTGTTGATAAATTTTAAAATTTCGTCAGCAGGGTACTTTGAAATTATTTGCAAAAAGCCATCCTTTTTAAATTTTAAATCGTACGTACCCCACAATCTCGCGATTGATATTAATAGCCAATGTGACCTCGTGAGCGAGGCGTCGTGAGAATTGTATTTCTGTTGCTGAGTTAATAAACACTCAATGTCGGCAGCACTACTATTCCATATTACACCAAGAAATATTTCAATTCTCGTCACATACATCTTCGTCAATCCAGATCATTTTCATTGAAGATGCGGTACGAGAGAACTTTGCCATACAAATTTCAATCTAGTCTCGCTTCGTCGCGACAGTGGAAAATCATCTCAACCTTGAAAAAAAAAAAATGGAAATGAAACGAAATGCATTTTTTTTGCATAACATTGATTAACTCAATATTAAATAAATAAAAAAATTCAATTTAAGCTTACTACGAAATTCACAAGAACGCACAATTAGTCTCGACCCGCTCCATAAACCTGTATTAGTAAGAAATTAAAAGAATTGAACTAAAGTAGTGACAAGTCGACTTATTTAATTTTTTTTTAATTACACCTTTTTTAATAAAATTTCTTCTAGCATGCGGTCAGTCAAACCGTCTACCTATAAGCAGCGGTTTCTGATGGTATCTAGAGTGTTAAGCAGTCCCTTCAAATGTTGGGTTGCCTTCATCAGTCACTAGGAAACAATGTTGTCTAGACAAGCGTCTTTTGCGGGAGCAACTCGGTCAGAACTGATGCCAGTTGATTTTTGTCTAATTAGACCTAAAATAAAGAAATTAAAATAACCCAGTCTTTTCACAAGAAAATGTTTATTTTGAAGTATTTACTAGTGTTTCGCTAAATATGACTGTGTGTGTAGTGTGTCCAACGTCTTGATAGAACGTGTTTGGCAAGAGCTAGTAGAGTTCAAGAGATGTAAAGTAGTAAACCGAGGATACGTTGTCCTAAAAACGGTGCTTAATGCGGCTTAATGCATGTCACAACAGTTAGAAGAGTATCGTTTCGTTTTAGAAGGTTAGTAATCCCTGAGGCGAATAAGAATGAAGATTACAGCCTTAAATAAGGTTCGTTTTTCAATAAGACGAAAAATACTGTAAATACGTCGGTCTAGTTCTTAGGTTTTCACGATTGTTACACGTTGGAAATGAAACTAGTTTATTAAGCGTATATTTCAGTCACCCGTGACTATGGGACCTATAAAGGGCCCGAAATGTTAGTTTGGTTGAAATAACAAATATACGCGATTTAGATCCGAAAAAATAGTTTCATTTCCAATGCTGTAAATACAATAGGTACCCTTGATGACATTTTCTTTGAATGTCCTAAATTGACTTCCTCCTTGTATGACCTCCTTCCTTCTTCCATTCCTCGTCCTATTAACCTTAAATCCCTCTTTCTTCATGTGTACTCTCCCTCTATTAACATTTTGTGTGATTTTATACGCTCCAATAATATAATGCTTTCGTCCGTTGTTTGTCCACGATTGTTTTTTTTTACCCCAGGTATGATCTCCACAACAGCATTCCGTCGAAGAGACTCATCTAAAAATAAATACCTTGCTGTTATTATCTATATATTGTTCAATAACGTCAACGAATACTGTTTATATTCAAATATTTGCTGTCGCGCTTGACAAGTTTTTAACAGTTAACACTTCTTCGCTGTCGTTGAATTATACCTTTAACGGCATAAGTCCCATTAATACCTGTAGTGGTATAGGCAGCACTAGTTTATCCCATTTATACCATTGTATTATATGGTATAACTGGGATAAACTAGTGCCACCTAGATATACCATTACAGGTATAAATGGGACAGGTTAGTACCACTTATACCGTTATTGGTATAATTCAATGGTATAACTGGTCCGAAGACTTGGTCCAAGATCTGTACTGTAAGGTGGTTGGTGGTGAAGGTCAAGTTTCTTGCATTCAAGAATAGAATTATCTCACAGTCGTATCTCACAGTCCATGGGCGACTCAATTTTTTAAACATTGTAAACTTCTACAGCTCAGCACACAGACAGACGACATGCTTGCAAATGGTGTACTAAAAGTTTTATGTTGTCATTTGCACTCCTCAGAGCAAATCGTCGTCATCGTCGATGTAGCGACGGTATTCTTCGACATGCCGAGGATAGCCGCTACATATTTTTCAGTGTGCCCTTTATGAAAAGATGCCAAAGGATCTCTTGCCGTTCTGTCGTCCCGCCAATGGGCGCCGGCCTTATAGTCTCCAACGGACCTTATTTAAAAATAAGCTATTAATTTAGAAATACCCTGTTCAACGGTTAATGATTTTAATGATATGCTACAAGTTAACTGTATGAATACTTCCCATACATTGTTTGATAATCAAGGTTTTAATAGTAAAATATGTTGCAACATTTATCATATTATGAATGTCAATTTCCAGTGTGCCACTTACTTTCTACCCATTCCTGACACCACAACTAAATAGTGGAGAAAAAGCGCAATACGTATTTGATGGAAGGAACATGGATGCCTTGCAGGCTCTCGTGCAGCTACTTCAGTACAAATTGACTAACACTACAGTGAGTTTAATATTAAACGTAATTTAGATATCTATAGATTTTTCTTTTTTGCTTAAAGTTGAAGGTGTTTAAATGTAATACATTTTGTACATATTATCTATCTAAAAACTTCTTACAGCTATATGATAAGAATGGCCAAATATAGTCATTATGATATCGATCTATTTAATTTTACGGGCGTGCGTGTGTGCGTGCGTGCGCGAAACTTACTTAAATTAAATATAATTTTTACTATATATAATTAATGTTATATATAGTAAAAAGGAACTTACCCCCAACTGGCCTGTAATTTCTAGAAATACTATGCTTTATAAACAGTTCGGTTACATGATTTAACTAACTGGTCAGAATTTTATGTGAAGTCGAGCACGTGAGCTCGCTTTGAAAATTTAGTAGAGAGTGGCGAGGGAAAGAAGGAAAGTATGTGACGAGGAAGAAAGGGAATTTAAGAACGATCCAAAATTTCAAAGTAGGTGGCCAGGAACCAGGGAAAAGGGTGGGATGACGATAAAAGAGGTCGCATCGTTTAATTGATTTATTCAAACTCTTAGAAAAAAATCATTCGATCCCGCCGGATTCGAACTAAGGCACGGAACGGACCTGCGGACCTCACAAATTGTTCTATGTGCTTGTTTGTTGGATCTTTGTATTTGGTTTTTCAACGACTTTTTGGCCGTAGCGCCATCTGTCTATCTATCATCTAGAATTTTGTTCTAAGTGTTCGATCTTTGTGTTAATAATTATAACAAACTAGTGGAGTAATTTGGTAAAAGTAAATTTAGTATCAATTCAACACAAATTTAATCATAATTTTGTAAAAAAAATTTTAAAAATTAATTACATTGTAAATTGTATGTAGCGTAAATTGAAATGGTCTTTTATCAGATGGCCAGGACTGACTGAGATAGTAAAGTCATCAACCAATATCTAATGTTAGTGCAAACACCCATAGGCGCGTTCAAATTAGATGCTTATATAAGCGCTCCAGTGGCGGAGTTGTGGAGCTGTGCGCACTTTTGCAGTAACAATTAGTGAAGTAAGATGCAACGCGCAGTTGCCGCGCCACAATTGCGCCACTTAGAGCTGCGAAGAACCCGAAACGTAGGTTTGTTTGAATAAACAAATATAGGCAATTTTGATTAGAAAATATAGATTCATTTCCAATTGTACGTGTGTCTATTGCATTTCAGAACACAAAGTATCAATACGAGAACTTGTCACCAATCTTAACTGTGATGAACAAATGTGCCCGCGGCTGTCGAGAACAGAGGAAGTACTTACGACAGGTTGTTCTACCGCCACTGCGGGACGTCCATCGCCGTCCTGAACAGGGACATACCCTGAGGAACCAGATGTGCAGACTTCTTACTACTCCTGTGACTTCGGTCAGAGATCTCGTTGCTGAATTCCTGTTCGTTCTTTGCAAAGAGAAAGGTAAGTTTATACTTAGAGCAAGGTATAATTTGACTCGACATTTTTTGTTACTACAAGCTGTTCTGCTTTGGTAGCCTAATGGCTAATCTGAGACTCTTGAGTTTCTCGAAATTTATGTGCGAAATTTAATTAGATTTAAATCCGTATAAATATATTAATTTCCTAAATTTAATTAGAAGTTTTCAAAAACATTGCGAGGCCTAAACTCTCCCCTGTGAGGAGGTCCGTGCCGAGCAGTGGAACTTATAAATGGATTGATGATAACGATCACAATCTAGTCTGACATGGACATGTTGAAAACGATACCGAATTCCTTTGATATAATAATAAAGGTTCCGAAAAACAAATGAAATTGCAGCGCACTATGGCTAACTATAATGAAATATTGAACTTGGCTAACTATAATACTAAGCTGCGTTTAAATGCATTACTTTACACAATTATAACGAAATTCAATTCTATTGTCATATTCAACCATTACCTTATGCCTGCTTTTTAATAGTAATGAAAAGCATTATTAATTCGATGTACCTCAAATACGCTATTGCGCATTGTTTAAGGGTGCGTACAGATTTGGCGAATGCGTCGCAAATGCGCCTGTTTGCAAAAGACTGGCCCGTTGTGCAATCTGTAGGGCTAGCACGATAAGGCGGAGCGACAGCGCCATAAAGCGTGAGATACTGCTATGCAGCGCGTTCGCGGCGCTCTGTACGCACCCTTACTGACGTGTTTCATCGATTCATTCTGTATGGAAATTTTAAGCAACATTTGATCAAAAAAAAAACTTTATAGCGTTTTAATTTGAGTTAAAAGGACGTTTCGTATGTGTGAATCAGGTAAGGCATGCAAATAATTTGGTAATTTTTCCTATTCACTGTTACCCAATCTTTTTCTTCTTCTTGGTGTTCTATCTCCTACCGGTGGTCGGCTATCATTGTAGTCACTTAGGTCAGAGAAGTTGCGGTTGAGAAGAGTTCTGTGGTACTCAAGTTTAACCGCTCTGCAAGGTTTGAAGCTATGTGATTTTTCTACGGTTCCGTCATCTGCAGCCCTGATATTTTCCTTACAGAATGAATTGCATTAGACAGTAGTTCCTTCCGATTTATGGTTTTAAAGAGCTCCAAGCCTTTGTGCATCCTCTGTTTAACGTAACAAATAAGTAATAAAAACAATCGTATTCCAATTACAGTAGGTCGAATGGTGAAATACACCGGGTTTGGTAATGCGGCTGGTCATCTAGCCCAAAAGGGTCTACTAGGCGGCTCTGAGGGCGCCCTGTATTCTTCTAGCAGCGACGATTCGGATACCGACGAGTACTTGGAGGCCCAGCCCAATATTGACCCCGTTGTCGGATGTACTATGCCTCCTAGAGTTAATCCCTTTGAAGGCATGTCAGAGGAACAGGTAATGTGGATATTCAGTTTTTAGATTTTCGCATTTATTACACATTGGAAATGAAACTACAAGTATATTTTTTCGGATCTAAAATTACGTACATTTATTTTTATTGAATATCATGACGTTTTTACGACCACGTTAGTTGTCTATTTTTTTTTTGTGAAAATACTCCTGTAGTATGTTATTATTATTGACACAAAGAAAATGTTCTAAAACACTGGTTCGAGTGCAGTTGGATGGAAATAATTTTTCTTTTGTGTTTGTTCCATCTTTTTAACAATAATATTTGCGAATAATTGTTCTTGGAGTAGCCTTTATTATTTATAAATATACATTTTATTTACATTTATTATTTATAAATATACATTATACCTGTGTTCAAGTACTTTTCACTAGAAGCTACATATGGTGCATTTTGGTAAGTTTCCAGTAGAAGCTGAATATGGTGTTTTTTTGCGCCTTTCAATTGTTGCAAGCAAAATTAGACAGTACTGCAATGACATTACAATTTAAATGCAATGTTTTAGCTTTTTTATATTCCTTTACATGTCACTACGTTTAAATAGGTTGACCTGGGACATTTTTTCGTGGTTTTTGTATTAGACCCGTCGTCCATTTATTTGTAAGTCAATGAGATGATTACTTAGAATTACACAGCCAACAGAAATAATCGAGAGACTTATTACTTATTATTTACCCTTTAACGTTCATACCATTATGAAATTATGATAAAATATAGTACAATTTCAGCAACTACATGTATATATGTATGTATAATATCAATGCACCTGACTACCACATTATGATGTAATACGATTATGTTAGTCCTTGCATTTGCGTTTTGTGGTTGCAATTGAAATTCATCCTCCTTGCAATACATAAGTTATGTATATTTAAAGTACTAAATTCTACCCATTACACACTAATGTTTGGAGTTTTGAAAAAGGACAGATAAACATGATAATACAGGTATACACTTCCGGACACATAATTCGAGCCACCTTGCATTTTTATTCTAAAAGAGCTCGACAGCAAAAATATTGTTATTATCTAGGGCTGTCAGGCGTGAAACCGAATAGCCAAACAGATCAACCAGTTTAGTCGGATATTTGGGTAAAAAGCTGGACTACCTACATTTTTAAGGACTTTGTGTCGTGCTTTTAATACTTAATTAAAGGTAAAACCTGGTCTTTTTTAATCATTTATCAAACAATGTTTTCAAATTGTAATGAAATAATAATAAAATTGAATAAATCGGAATTGCTTATTGTTAATCATCTATTATTGCATAGAGACCCGTTTCGCCCGAAGGACCACGTGACTGGTCAAATATAAAAGTCTAACAAAAGCCGGACATCGTCTAACTTGGCCGGACATGCATACAAAAAGGCTCAACTGTGTCCGGCTTTATGTGCCAACCAAAGGCTATTATCATCTATGAAAGAATTTTCCCCGGTTTTACAAATTCAAATTTTAAAAAAATGGAAATGACGTTTAGTAGACCAGTTTTAAAATTGCATAATAGTTTGTGATCATAGGAAATGAAACTATTTTTCCAGATTTAAATCGCGTGTATTTGTTTTTTCAAACAAACCTTTGATTTTGAAACAAAGTTTTTGATCAATCAAACACTGTTTAAGATTTAGGACATTTAATACTGATAATGTAAGGTGGCTCGAATTATGTGTCTGGGAGTGTTTCAAGGTTTTGTGGTTAGGTACAGTCGATGTCCTAAGATATCTTACTTACCCTAAGCGACCATTTGGTTCTAAGTAGATAAGTGTGTAAAAATAATGATAGACAAACTTAACCTTTAACTTGTGAGCCGTATAATTTATATATAGTATAGCTTCCTCATTGCGTCTCTAGTGAATGTTATTTTAAACCATTTTTTAAACTAATTTGATCTTTAACTCATACTTTCTAAAATACAGAATACAAATTTCAACCATAAAGCTCGGTGCAGCGGTCAGGTATCTCAGGGCATCGATTATGCATGTGTCTTGTCCGTACCTATGGTTGCTAGTAACTGAGATATTAAGTTATTGTATTGTCTTACAGAAAGAATACGAGGCAATGAAGCTTGTGAACTTGTTTGACAAGATGGTATCTGAAGGTGTAGTGAAGCCTGCGCGGGTCGGCCCGGACGGTCGCCCGCAACCAATCGAGCACGTCCTCGAGTTCCGAGAACACACGCCGAATAGACCTCAGTCTTAAAACATTCATGCACGATTTTATTTGAAACAATTATGCCAGCAGATGACGGAAGTCTCTCGTCGTACGTGCCATTTACGACAAATTAAGTCAAATGTTAAAAAGTAAAATAAAATTATAGTAATACAAGTATGGTAACTTCACATAAATGTGCAGCGCGGTTTATACATGTACACGGCCGCTGCGCGTCGTGTACGGAAGCACACATTCGCATAATCAGGTCAACGTGAATGCACCACGGCATTCACGTTGCATATCGCGGGTCATTCCACGTGCCATCCATTACATAATTTAATCGTTCGGTCGGTGTTTACAAAATGACATCAAATAGTATCCGTGTTTATTATTGTTTGAATGAGAGTGCCTCAAATTCATAATTGTTCAGCATTTAATTTATATTTTATAATCATACTATAATTGGGAAACCAAGCGATACTTGTATAAAATTATCATTACGTAAGTACTGCATTTGACAAAGGTTATTTCAGTATAGAATATAGTGATGAACACCTTAATTAAAAAAAAAAAAATATTTTAAACTTCTTGGTACAACTAAAATAATAATGTGACAACCCATTGCTTCGAGGGAAGTGTAGACATTTTCTCGCCATACAGGCGGCAGTTATAATTATCATTGTGTACAAATTGCATACTGCCGTCCACTTACTAAAAAGCGGCTAAGTGATAATATATTTTTTTGAGATATCATAAAAACCACAACTCACTTTTAGAATATTGAAATTGTTTAATGGTATTTCAGATAAGCATCGTTAGGGTAAGTTCCGATAAGTCGAACACGTTGACTAATTTTAACTGTTTTGAAATGGATTTTTGTGCTCGTTTTTGCTTTTTAAAACTGATATTTGACCACTTCTCACTTAAGTGCGTTTTAGTTATTGGACGGCAGCATTCTGATGGGTACCTTTATCTTAAATTGGCCGCACACAGGCTATTCGCAACAATCACTTATTTGCGATCTATACTTTCGAGGTATATTGTAGGAATTCGCCGCATAGGTGTGCAGTGTAGCTTATACCCGCTAAGTGGCAGCGACACTCTTCTTGCGGACGACACTCGTCATTCATGCATTGTTTCACCCCACTTTTCGCTAACGTACTGCACTAGCATTCGCGGTAGCCGTCTTAAGGCCACCAGATACAGACGATTCCTCGCTTCAATTGATCGTCACGATAATTGTATCGATCCGTTGCTACTCCCTTGGCGTTCAAGTTAATCGTTAACATCGAGTATGTAACCAGAAATAGAGATGAAATGTCACTTAATTTGTTTAAAAAATTCTGCCATAAAGCAGAATAGTTTTCAAACAAATTAATGAAAGCCAATCGGAACGCAGTTGTCATAGTAATGATATCATTACTATGACAACTGCTTTCCGATTGGCCAGCCCGAATTCTAAAGAATTGACGAGTGTTGTCAATGGGTATCGTCAATTGTTTCACTTCAAATCGAAAAGTTAACTTGAGCTTTACTATATTTGACGAAAATTGCAAAATTACATATTTAATATTTAATTACCGGTGAAATTTGATTCCGTTTGTTTTGTAATTAGACGTTTTGCTGTTTTTGCCTACAGCACCGAATAGCACAGCACGCCATTGTTAGAGATATTATCTTTATTGCGATAAATACAGAATATTTTTCGAATATTCGGGGACGACACACAGGTCAGTTGTTGGCGCTTCTATATTTCAGTGCAAACGAGAGTTGATGTTTATAAGTAACGTATCGCTGATGGGTTACCAGGAATGTATGGCCCTTATTTCGTCTCTATTTCTGCTTATATACTCGATGGTCGTCAACGACACATACACACACTATCGATACATCATTTCGAAGACAAATCGTCCCGTATATGGCCATTAAGGCCTATTCAGATGTAAGCGATATTCGGGTAGTGAAAAATAACGCGCGGTATCCGGATATTTCTTTGAAGTTCCGCGGCTAAAGTGAAACTGAAATACCGAGTCATACCACATACTACATAGCATTTTTTTTTCCGCTTGTTTTCTGAAATTACTTTCGCGGACGGCGTGGTACTCCGCACACCCGCAAGTCAGTTAGTAATTGGTAGGTCAATGGTTAGTAACGATTAGTTGATGTAATAAAACAGTGAACTGTTAAATTTATTGGGATCACACATTATGCACGGTTATAGTCTAGTCTTATTCACTGACGGCACAGAAGTGATTATCTAGACAGGTTAAAATTGACAAAATTTCGCTACCCGTAACGGTAACGATGTCCGCTTAGGTTTGAAAAGAAGGAATACCGCGTTCCCACACACGGCGTATATCTGAACAGGTCTTTAAAGGCTCTACGTGAATGTAGTACAATGAAGCGGTTAGTCAATTTATTTTATTTTCGTCCGATAATATGCAAATAAAATGTATTTAGGTTTGTAAACGATGCTTTTATACGACTTTGTGTTAAACATGAAGTCGCTTTTCCTATGGTATCTTCACAAAAATGTGAATTAAACTAAATAAGTGTGATAAGGATTTATGTGATAAAGATAAGATCTAATGAGTAGAACATGTATCCGCGACATATATACTTCCCATAGCATAAGCAACTGAATCATGAAGTTCATTATGTTTAGTCGTCGAACAATAGACATTCCCTACTTAGATACGTAGGTACTTATTTAAACAGCTTTAATTGACGCCCATAAGATACCAGCGCCCTGTAAAAATTCACAGTTTTTGAAATCATCGCTGGGCTTACACTCCTTAGGTTTACGGAATCGTAGTATTAGTAAAAACGTCTAAATAAGTTTCGCCTAAAAATGTTTCTTCTAGATAAAAATAATTTTAAAAATAGTTTTGCACTTTACGACTTCAATTCATAGATATTTCATTGCAGTGCAATTTGCTCATTCTGCCTGGATCTAAGAGTGTTGGGATTGTAATAATGTAATAATAATGATGAACCACAGACAACCACACCAATTGCCTGGTATCATACTAGAGAATTCCCTGTACTGTGAGTACTAGAGCAACGGAATTAACCCTGGGGCAGTTCCCAGAACACCCAGACCAGAACCAATTTAGAATAATTCATTTCCAAATTAGGTGCTGTCGGGAATCGAACCTGGGACCTCCTTATCCAAAGCCAGAGTATAAAACGTGCCACCGAGGTTGTTATTGTCAATTGAAATAGAGTACAAGTTTTCATATATTTTAGCACTGAAGAACTGCTCTTTTACAGATTTTATATATCCAAAAAAGTTATTGTTGGGAACACGACTATAGACATCAATCGTATTGTCAGTAGAGTAAATAAAATGTTTGTTTTTAATTCTGTGAACTAACGCAACTTGGCGACGACTACGGTTCACAATGTGAAATTCGTCAACCTTTAGCTGTTTTAAATTTCAACGGTAAAATCACCTAACGAAATTTTTTTGCTGTCATGATTTATCACTTAAGTAAAATGTATTGAATTTATTTCTATAGTATAGTGTTATTTGTGGCCGTATTACGCCGTGCACGGTATATCGTTACGTCGACAAAGAATCAAAAGCGTCTTCCTATAATACCACGCGTTTTACTTATCTTTAAAATAGTGAAAAATACCATGACTTACCGGTTAGAGCGGTTACATCCGCCGACAGCGATGCAAATGCGATGCAGTGGCAATGCAGTTGCTAATCGTCTACCTTTACACACGTACGAGATTTTAAGCAGCGATGTAAACGCGCGTCCGTGAAACGCGCGTCCGTGAAACGCGCGATTGCATCGCTACACTTACGATTTATAGGTGATTGCATCGATGCCAAAAGTCGCCATGGTAACCACTCTAAGACAGAAAATTGTACAAGCAGTTCGTGGTAAAGTAATTTGGGGAGTTTTGGTTGTAAGTATATCAAAAAGTCAAGGAATTTATAAGTATAAAATTTAATGCGTTCTTCACAAAATGTAGTCATAATAACTATTTAAATACACTATTTCTTTAATTAGTAACTTCCCTATAACATTAGATGATATGCCAAAGTTTTTTCATCAATTTTCGAATCTAGTTCCATCGTAGTTATAGTGCTCTAGTTAGTTAATTATGGATTATATTGTTTTGTCAGGTTAACATCGGAAAACAAACAGACTTAACAAACAGAATTATTATATTTAGTTACCATTACATTATTATAAGCAAAACATGTAATATTATAAGTGTGTAACGTTTAAATGCTATCAGGGCAAATTAAATTGTTTTGTTTATTTGAGATTTATTATTATGTATCGTTTTTAATATTTACAATAAAATAATTTATAAAATACCGGAGTTGTGTTTATTTATTTATAACTTATGATAATAAGAGTTTACTATAACCTTGTTATGACGAGTCTTGTGGTTTATTACATTTATCATGTTCATAAAAAACAATGGCAATACGTCACGTAAATTGAGCATCAAAAACTGTGTTGGAAGTGAAATCGCCGTCTTCAATGTTCTAGCGAATTAATTATTTGTTATGCTCGCTTTTTTCGCCCAATATCTATCTATCTATCACAGATTCGTTAGATCCCCTATTTTAAACGAACCAGGGTGAGGGGTAACAGGGGCTTCCTTTGTCTGGTCTGTTATACATAGGCATAACCATGTATCTACAGGCGAACTTCTTGAGGGCGGGCGGACAGCTGATTTAGTCTGTCATTCGCTTGGATTTGGGTTATAATTTAACGTAGATAATTTAAAATATCCGATTGTTAGCTCCGCATGGTTGTGATGTGTATTTGTGCGTGTATAATACGATGAAATTGTCGAGTAAAATTGTTGTTTCGGGAAGATAACAATTGTGTACAAATCCCTTTGTTTACGTACGTGTTTCGCTATGACGGGTGAGTCCATCAAATTTTTAATTACAGTTTGCCTACCGTGCTTCTTTTGTTCCTGTTACTTTTCTCAAAAAGTTATGAAATGAGTAGGCGAGTGACAAAATATCTGCCAAATCCTCTCCTATATCGTCGGTGTTTTGTAGAATGGGCGAATGCGCCATTTCGAGATATTTTTCAGGGGAGCATGTTCTATGGGTTTTAACGAATGTTTTAAAATATTTACGTCCTGTTTCGAAATAAAATTTGGTTTTAATGAAGTTTATGTTTTAAAATTTAATTTAAAACAGGACGTATATATTTTAAAACAGTCGCCAAAAACTAAAATCCTGAAAAATTTATCGAAATGGCACTTTCGCCTTTCTACAAAACACTGACGATATACAGTTATTCATCTATATTTAACTACCACATTTTGTTTACCAGTTCCTCATCCTACTTAAGAGTCGAGCTCTTGTCGGTGTAGCCTCCCCACGGTTCACTTTGACATTGTTTATTTGTTCACTGTACGCTATACCAATGTCTATACATATACATGTAAACTACGAGTAGTTGCAGTGCATTTCACTAGTTTTGGCCAGTTAACATTAATTAAGTGAAAACATAGTGAAAAGTAGAAATATATTGGTGTTGAAAGTATTGAGATTTTTTTTCAGGCGTCCTATTTACTTTATCGCTGTTTAGTGTGACCGTTATAAGAGCAACCACAATACCTACAACAGCAGCGGAGCTCTGTGAAAAGGCACCACCCCACGCGCAGCCGGCTGACGCTTATTATAAGCTCGGAGTTGCTGGAGACCCTGATCTGTTTCTTCCTGGTGAACTCTATACTGGTAATGTTTAAGTACTTACTCACTTTCATGATGTGATTGTGGATATTTACATTATAACTAACTAGACGATGAATATTTGTAAATGTGAGTATCACTTCCAATTATATAGGCATGGTTTTTCACCTTGCAGTGTCTCTACAAGGCGTGGACAGTGGTCAAGGTCCAACGCCTTTTATAGGGTTTACAATATGGGCTGAATTAGAAGAGGTCACTACGGAAGTTGATAAAGTAGCTGCTATTACGACGCCTTTATCCAATCAATCTCTAGGGACTTTTCAGGCATATGATGCCCACGCCAAGTTACATGAATTTTGTAAACCTGGCGTAGAAAATGCAACTGCTCATTCCAAAACAGAAATTCAGGTTAGTTGTACTACTTTCGGCTAGTGCTTCAATCACCTGTGATAACGTAACACCAGAGAAATGTTTCAGGTAATATGGAGTGCCCCAGCTAACGCAGCTGACATATGCGTTCGACTGTGTGCGCTAGCAAACCAAGGAGAAAACAAAACTACCCCGTCAATATTGGCCAGGAAGTTGTGTGCTGCTCCAGCAGCTCCGGCGAGTTTTACCAGGCAGCCTCCCATAGTTGAACCGTGTTGTGCTTGTGATGAGGCTAAATACGAGGTAGTTGATTTATTAGTATTAGAGCCCCGTGTTGGGCGCCAAATATTTTCGAATGGTGGTTAAATGGTCAAATGCCTAGATATTTACTAAAGTTGATTTTTTTTTCAGGTTACTTTTGAAAGCATATGGTCTAGGAATACGCATCCACGAGAGTTTCCACCGGAATCAGCCAGAGCACATTTTAGCGACTTAATAGGGGCATCGCATACTGCTCGATTCAGAGTTTGGCAAGAAGGACGACTAGCTACTATGGGTTTACGGCGGCTGGCAGATGACGGAACTACCACAGCGCTTGAAAAAGAGTTAAAGGGTGAAGTAAGTAAAGTCCCTCAATAATAATGAACGGCGTTTTAGACGTGACTTTACCTTGATTTCTTATATTACAGAGTGACCATATACGAACGATTATCAAAGCCCGTGGTATCTCCTGGCAACAAGTGGCCGGTCGCGCCGGAATACCAAACACTTTTGCTGTATTCCGTGTTGATGCGAAACATCACCTAGTGTCTCTCGCTGCTAAACTCGCGCCTTCTCCTGACTGGATTGTGGGAGTATCTGCACTTGAATTGTGTAATGTTAACTGCACGTGGAGGACATCTATCACCTTGCCTTTGTATCCTTATGACGCTGGAACTGATAGTGGACTTGGTTATACGGTAAGTTGCAGACGTATCTAAGTGGGTAACAAGAAAGTATTTTAAATATTTTAATTTACTTCTAGTCTCGTCGACAACCAACCGTACCACCAGCACCAGTACGCGCTCTTCGACCAGACTGGCCTCGAGATGTTCGCTCGCCCTTCTTCAGCACCACTGGGGAAATGCGTCCATTTGCCAAGCTACGACTTACCCGCTTACGTCTGTATGAGAAGAGTTGCGATAACTCAGGTGTGTTTAATGTTTTTGCATACCGGAGACGTGCTTAAGTAATAATGGTTAACTTACGGTTTTAAGTTTTTGTAAATAATTTCTGAACGGTTTAAAACCATCAATGTTTTTGAAGCGTCTCTAACTGTTGGTCTAAGAGTAAACGTTCCAATGTGGGCGAAAATGAAAATACCCTTTTAGATACTATTTCTATCATAGATACCGGTAACAATCAAGAATCGCGTGGCAGTAATGGTGGGGCTTGTGCTTTACACGCATGGGGCGAATGGGGCCCGTGTAGTGTTACTTGCGGGTTGGGTCGAAAGACGAGGCAGCGCCATTATGTGTTCCCGGCACGGGCCAATGCTGAAGCTTGCCGCGCTCCGCTTACGGACTACAGTAGCTGTTACGGGCCTAGAAGACATTGCAGGTTCGTAGGTTCAGACATTTTGTAATGAAATGCCTAGAGATAAGAAATAAATAAATAGTACCATATAGTCATTACACACACATACAGGGTTATTTGTAAAATACAGTTTTTGTAATATGACTTTTAAAAAACATAATAAATTTACCAAACATAAACTTTTTAAGTTTTTGTTGTCCTGTCTGACACTGTTTAGATCTACCTGCTGCTTTTTAAGCCCACCCCCGCTCTTACGTTTTGCATCGAACTGGTATTTACGCAACCAGATTCTTTTGTTACCACATAGCTATCACTGATTAGAGCGATACTTTTATTCGTCTGCTTATTGCAAGAAGTCATTATTTGCCATATGAATTCTATGGCAATTAATTACTTCTTGCAATAAGCCGACTATTTAAATATTTTTATATGGAACAAAACGTGTTGTTTATGATGTTCGTTTAAACTGCCTCCGTAGCCGAACGGATACCATGCCGGACTGCCACGCAGAGGTCCCAGGTTCGATTCCCGGGCCGGCAGAAATAGTTGTATGGCCAGCAATTATTTCTCTCGTGAGTTTGGGTGTAATTTGTGGTTGTCTATGTGTGTGTCCATGGCACCCGCGACACAGGGTTTCCCTAGTGCGGGGCTATGTTGAGTGTGTGCGTTATTTATTTATTTATTTATTTATGTTCGTACTATTTATGAGAGGTTGTTAATATTTTAGACATAACCCTGAATATAGAAAATTACATGATATTTGTACAGACGACAATACATCAAGCAAGCACATTGACGGATCTTGTTCCGTTGCCCCGGAGGCGACATTCGAACGTGTATAGAACAAATTCGAAAAGTGTACCTATTGCTTGATGTGCTGTTGACTGTACCTACTTATAAACCATGAGGTACTCTGATTTCTGTTACTAACATGTCGATGAAAAGGAGGGGAGCCTCATCATAGTACTGTTTTTCAATATCCCCTGTGTTCTCTGTTGAACATTGTCGCTACATGACTGCCTTCTAAAATTCTAAACAAAAGGCCTACAACCAGGACAGTCATCGTTAATCTAACTTAAATCTAACTATTTATTTATTGGTTACGAGTGATCAATCAATATGTAATTCTAGTATGCAGTTACAACATACAAATACGACAAGCAAAACTGAAATTATACCTTGTTTATATAGAACCTAGGCTACATGGATGATTTCTTAGGGCTGTATCCGAATACGAACCAGACCCAGCCGAGGCAACAGGACCGTGTGCGGTGTCGGAATGGTCAGAGTGGTCACCATGCGAGGGCTGTGGTGTGCGCGCGCGCACCCGGGAATACTTGGTACCGCGTGCGCGTAAGCGCTGCCACGTCGGCTTCCGCGCAAGAATGGTCATGAGTCAAGCCATGCCATGTGACGCCGGGCCATGCGAAAGGTAAAAAAGATGCAATTTATACTATTATCTACAATTACGTCAAATTATGTTGAGATGTGGTATTGGCATTGCATACTAAGGATTTCCTGAATTGCACATCCAACGAACATGTCGGTAGATGGGTGTCAATGTAGAAACTAACTTTTTAATATTGTCTCGGGTCTGGATGTGTGTAGTACCGTCTCGTTGTTTCCGATTTCCATAACTCAAGTGCTTTAGTTACTTGCTTTGGGATCAGCGCAACGTATGGGATGTTGTCTAATATTTGTTTATTTACAGACCAGTTGGCGCTCTAGAAAACTCTACAAATTTCGATTGGTTTTTCGTGGTATGTATGTGATTTATTTTTATTACTTTAACTATAGTCTAGTACTCATTAAAATTGATGTATCTATTTATACAGCTACGAATTTTCGTTTGCAATTCCTAAAGTAGTGGGATGTAGGAAGACTAAATATATTTTGAGATACCTACAAAATAAATTTTCGGATTAGATAAGGGCGATTATTCAAGTTAACCGATTTTTTTTATTCTGGGGATGCCAGACTTAAATTATACTTATCATTATTATACGAAAATGTTCACTTTCGTATTCCATACTTCCAGAGGAAAGAGCGCGAAAATAAATTTTTAATTTTCACTTTCAAAAATCATATAAGTGACGTTTTAAAAAAATAAACTCATATGAGTTCTCTTACAGAAATGAAACTAAAACTGAAATATTCTTTGTTTCATAAGTAAGCAAATTACACTTGAAACCGTCATATTATAACTATACTGCTTGTTCGTAAGGCAGATTCCCCTGTGAAGTACGAGCGAGAAACTCTTGGGGCGCCTTTCGTATAAAATCTAGCCTGTAAAAGCGCGTGCGCGTGACGCGACTGAGTCGTTGCAGCTGCACTTTATTGTATGAAAATTAGTAGTGGAATTAGACACACCACTGCAGCCCTTCTACAAGCGTCTAATTTGAAGGCGCTCTGGGAGTTGCACTTTGTAAATGAACATTTGTACGCGTTTATCGTTCACGATATTTATTTCAAACATCATAGTTTTCATATCTCAAATCTCTCATAGTCACCCAAGTAAGTACCTACATAGTCGTAATTGCACTGAGTGGTACTATGTAGGATATTCCGAGGGGCGAGTGCGCTGTATCTGCATGGAGCGACTGGTCGCCGTGTTCGGCGCAGTGCGGGCGTGGCCGGCGTCTACGCACTCGCGTGTATCTCACACGGGATGCTCGTGTGCAGCAGCAACTCTCGCGCCGACTTCTGCACGACTGGAGCCTGTGGTATGCGAGGCTACGGGAACTGGTGAGAATTGCACACGAAATTGTCATCATCATATTAAGCCTGTCGCCCATTGGCGGGACGGCACGGCAAGGGAGCCTTCGGTATTCTTACATGCGAGCGCATATTGACGGCAATTGTTCTACGGTATACTTATGCATGACGTGGCATCCTGCTGTGTCTGCCTCCCTTCGCGTCGCACACCAACCACACGCACGGTGTCCCGAAGCCTGTCGAGGCATTCCGGGGACTGCTGGCTCGATATCCTTAATTTTACCGCTGCTTTGTTTTAGTAACTACGATCATTCGTCATTCAAATATCAACTATAAATGCATACGGTTAAGGTATATTCGTCACATAAAAATCCCTTGCCGTGCCGTATGGTCAGAAAGCGCGGGGCCTAGGCATCCCGAATTAATGCTACAAAAAACCGACCTCAAAAGTAATGCATTCCCTAGTTAGCCACCCTTAGAGGTGGAATATTTTCTTCAAATTTAAATGGGACAACTTCTGAGGTAACCTCTTTCCAACAAAAAATAATTGTCAAATCCAGAGCCGGAGATATTGCGTAACATACATACAAAAAACATACAGTCGAATTGAGAACCTCCTCCTTTTTTTCGATCGGTTAATAAATGGTCCTCGGCCTGTTCCATCGATTCTCTTTCAAACACATACATAAGAAAAGTAAACCAATTTTCTCTATTACTCTTTCTAATGTTACAATAATTATAAAATAAATAACCACTTAGACACATTGTTGTTGTTGGAAAAGATGGAATCGAAGAGAAGAAAAGAATTATTGGCATAGAACTGCTAATTCCTTCCCGGCAGATCTTAGCAGGCAGGTGATTCGTACGTTACAAATTAACATTATGTCGTAGGACATGTCGGTGGAAAACATAACATCGGACGACCCTGAGGTAGAATCACAAGTGGAGAAACACCTAGAAAGGTGTCAGTTCACATTGACGCAACAGGAGGCCCTGTGCGACGCACTCGACAACACTTGTCAGAACACCACTTTGCCACCAGAATGTAAGTTTGTATCAAATTTTTTTTTGTGCATTCGTACAATATTTTTTTACAAAAAACGTGTTGTATACGTGTTTACGTTTAATCGATGTTATGACGACGTGATCGTAGATGAGCGTAACTCACCACAACACAATAAAATCATCTCACTCAACCCTTTGTCAAAATCGTTGTCCTTTCTTTTACTAGAGAAATAACACGATACACGTACCGTAATAAAAAAATATATAATAAGTATCTTAAGTTTGCCGAATCAGAAAAACGTGTTATGATGAAATATGATGAGTTGCGATTCATACTCCAACTCATCGGAAGAACAGAGTCCGATGTGATTATATAGCGAAAATAGGATAAGTACGCCCTAAATGGGCCTTAGGAGAAGGACATACGTTACTTCTCGTCACAAAAATATATCTGGGGGATGAAATTTTGTATGGAAAATAAAACTATGAAAATTAGTATAATACAGAGTACAAGTAGGCTACTCGAAGTACTTATACTTGGCAGATGAAGTCTCGGGAAGTTATTAATAATAAAAATGATAATATAATTTATTTCAGATCTATTAAAATTCATATTTTGTTAGTATACAATCATAATTCTTATATAACTAGTGTTAGTAAATGCATCTTAGTTTAATGTTTATGTTGGCTCAGCCAATGGTAAATCGCTGAATAATAAATATGATTATTATTTATAAAAATGGCGGTTCAATGCCAGCAATAATATTATTACACTATCACAATGGTTGGAACATCCTATTTTAGTAGCAGTAGAGCTCCTTGTGAAAGAGTTCGTCCAGGGTAGTACTGCCACCTTGCCTATTTCTGCCGCCAAGCAGTAGTGTCAGCAGCTTCTTCGTCCGGTCACTTAATATTATAAAAAAAAAGAAAAATAATGTCTACGTATGGTTATTAATTAACTAGATACTTTGTCGAATTCCGGATTTCCGGAAATAGATTTACTGCATCGAAGGATAATAAAAGTAGATATTGTAGATACAATATCCGCTTTAGTTAAAACAAACTATTGATTGCAGCTTATTAAAAAAATGTTTCTTTTTTTTATAAAAAATAAGTGGTGGAATTGATGTTGAGGTCGGCGATGTAGCATGCACACCTAAATAATGCCTATTCACTCTCGCCTTCAAAAGATCCAAGTTGTAGCGTTCGGGGAATCATTCCACTCTCTAGCCGCTCGCCATATAAATGTGGAAGCGAAACGCTTCGTGTGAATCCTGGGAATATCCACAACATAGGTGTGGAATCCCAGCCCGCATCTAGCCTCGATGTTGGAAAGGTGAAAGGTTACCTACAGCATCTACGGCACCACTAGAATTAGTTTAAAATCCAACTTCAGTTTTCTAGACGAATAATTTAAATTTATTAATATTTGTTGGTTTTAACCACTCTCTGTTACTCCTTGTATCTACATGTAGACATTTATACTCATTTGGAACACCCTATTTCAACCTTATTATTATCTATCATCAAAACGTTCATATCAATTAATTTCATTTCGCAGTATTTAATAAAATGAATTTATTTGTAATTCAAATGTGAATAAAGCTTTCAGTAATAATTCCGCCTTATAACGTACTTTGTTAGACTATACAATTTCATTCACGTGTTCCTGAGATATTGCTCAATAATTTAGCAGCTCGTGAATTTATACTACACGTGTTTACTCCCACAAGTGTGACGTCTCGACTGCGTGTGAAATAATATGGGCTGAAGGTAATATAGGCAGGTAACAACACAAGATATTTGTTATAAAATAAGTACTGAATTAGCTCCATTTATTTATTTAATCTTAAAGGATACGAACAGCTTTCACTATAACAGAATAGAAATTAAAATAAGAATAGTAAGCAAACAGTTTCCTGCTCATAGAAGCTGAATAGTTAAATAATCATTGATAACACAGGCAAAAAAAATGCAAATGCGACATAGTGATTTTTTAAGCTGTCGATAAGTAAGGTCGTACTAGCGTCATTAACCTATTTAAAAATGAAATAAAATTTAATTATTATAGATAAATAAGTTCATTCCCAGAATCCAGCCATCATATTATCATTCTTCTTTAAAGAAAAGTAACATTATAACTTTTTTATAAAAAAAACAGAGGTCAAAACTTTGTGGAATTATATTTATTTGCCAAGTTTTATTGAAATGGGTGAAATCTACGTGAAATCCAATAAACCGGATTCATCCCCTAATTTGCCACCCATAAAGATGAAATATTTTTTCAAATTCTTTCCAACAAAAAAAAAAATCATCGAAACCGGTTCACAAATGTCGGAGTAATCGCATACAAAAAATACAGTCGAATTGAGAACCTCTTTGTTTTAAGTCGGTTAAAACTAATGTAATTTATGTGTATAAGGGTGTACAAATATGCCGAATGCGCTGCATGCGCGCTGTAAGTGCGCCTCTGTAATTACACGTAAGGCAAGCAAGCATATACTATGGAGCTCAAGTGGCGCGCGTAAAGCACGCTAACACATAGCACAACGTAATGCACGTGTGCAGCTCACGCGCCTTTCGCGAACAGGCGCATTGGCCAGATCTGTATGTACATTTAGTCGCTGTAAGAGGTATTAAAACGAGATCGCATTATTGTTTTGCATCTTGCCAACTGCGCCAATGTTTATTGCTACTCGTGCTTTTGAGACATTCCTCGCTTTATACTTTGTAAAATATTCTATTTCTCCAATAATTCTTTGGTCTGGTTGATTATAGTTTAATATTTTCTTTTCTGTACTTTATTTCTTCAACCTCCTTGTACGACATACACTATCTCTTTTATTTATTTTTTTATTGTAATGGTACAAATTACAGAAAAAGATTAAAACATTATACTTTAATATCATAATTAATTTTTTTTTAATCAGTAAATCTGCGTTCCAATTACAACTGTGGGTACCTACACAGCACACAGAAAATTGTGTGTTCTGGATCTTACGAAAAAAAATAGCAAAATTTGAAAATAGAACGGTGTTAACATATGATTAAAATCTTCGATGTATAAAGAGTAGAAATGACAGAGTTTTTGAATGCAGAAAGACTTCACGGAATATTTATCATGGTTCTAACAAATATATCGTTATTATAATTCTACACATCCGGAAAATCGGCCTATTTGCAGAAACATTAGGTACTATTCATAAAAGCACCATTAACTCTATGTGTACAAGGTTATTTATCAAATATTAACAATCTCGCAGGGCTATAATATTACTAATATAAACAACAACTTTTGTTCCACGACTTTAAATATATTTAATAATTCATCAGATTTTACTTTCGTACAAAAATAACAATATTTAAATTGTTCGCTTTAAACAGCGGCGATAACTCTGTGTGGTAACAAAAGAACGTGGGGGTCGGTCGTCGGGGAGGTCGCTTGCTCATTTGAACTTACTATCAAATACAGATGTAGAAAGTGTCATATAGTACAACAAAGATTTAAAAGTTTCTTTTTAGTAAATATATGTATATATTACGTTTTGTAAAAAGCCATGGAACAAAAGTTGTTATTTATCACGTGTATAGGTAATATAGTCCTGCGAGGTTACTAGTATTTTACAAATAACCCTGGACGTACTTAACTCATTGAAGCATTTATATGATATCATAACAATTGCTTTAGCACAACGTTCATTTCGTCTATATTTAATAACAACGTCGATAGATACGTCGATGCAAAGTATAGAAATCTTCGCTAAAAAAAAATACTGCTTACGTCGAACATTGGCGGTTTTTACTTTTGAACTTTATAATAGTAGGTATAAGAGTTTACGTATATATTGTCCCACTGCTGGGCACAGGCCTCCTCTCACGATGACTTAGCTTGGGCTGTACTTCCCACACGACCCAATGCGATTGGGAACTTCACACACATCATTAAATTGCTTTGCAGATGTGTGCAGGTTTCTTCACGATGTTTTCTTTCACCGAAAAGCTGTAGGGTTAATAAGCTTTTGGAGTGGAGTGGTAAAGATCTTCGAAATCAAAGGGTTGGCGAATTACAAGGTAATTTACATTTATGTAAAGGAAATAATTTGTAAGTGTGTAGTAGAGTAAGAGTGATGTGGTGTGTAAGGTGGAGACGTGGAGTTGAAGGCCTCTGTTCTCGGATAAAATTGATTGTCCGTCTCTGATCGAAAGTATAAACTTTAACACCCCCCTTAAACCCACGCGTCACGCCGTAATGCATTGCTCACCTGCGCACCGGACAAATTATGATCAAAGTTTTATTATTTCGTGTATTGTGTGTATTAAGACAGTATTACCAAGAAGTTCGTGGACAGGACCCATTTTGTAATTCTAAGGCAAATTTTAAAAATGAAATAATAAAAACATGATGAGCACGCACGCACGCACTTGTGCGTGTGCGTGTGAGTGTTTATTGAATTTAATATTTATCGTGCTAAATCTCACTCCGAATTAGAGATGGCTTTTTACCTGATAAATATCCGTCTAAGCATAAATATCTGATAACTATCCGTTTTTACTGTGTATTTATCCTAAAACACGGATTATTTTTTTGTAGTGTTTTTAATAATAAAATTCATTAGAATTCATTTTTTAATAAATAATTACATTTTTGCCATTCTTTTATGTAACAGTACTGTTCTACCTATGTTTTTGGAGTCGAGTGGTATAAAAAATTCGATTGATAGAAAGATATCAAATGAACTGTAACCCTTGAGCTGATATATCCTGCGTAAATAAAGTGCGACCCAACTTTATGGTGTTGGGATCTACTGCATACTAAATAAAGTCATAATTGGCCTTGAAATAGCCTAAGGATTCTCTTTCACATGTTCACACATAAAATCTATTACCTAAAACACATGATATAAAAAATAAATGTTTATAATTGTGTAGGTACCTACACAAAGTGTTTTAAAAATATACTTTGTTTTACTAAATATTAATAATAAACCACGATTAAAAATATTTATCCACGTTTTTGTATAAATATCGAGTAAAAATGGATATTTATCCTGAGTATTTATCCCAATGATATTTATCCATGACCCATCTCTACTCCGAATAAATATGCCATTGTATTAATGGGACGATTTTTAGTTTTAATGCTCTGTCGTTGATCACATTGCCATTCCTCATCAGGTGAGATGGAGGTCAAATACGTACTTATTTAAAAATAAACAACAAAATATTAAGATGTTCTATAACGGGTAGTTAGTTACGCTTCTATCGAGTTACAGACGTTTTGCGAACAAATAGCGGCGGTCGCTGTGTCTAATGTAAAAGTAGATCTAAATCTAATTAGGTCGCAGACACATGGCAACACCAACTGCGCAAGGGACATTCTGATGTTTCGTCGCAATTTTTAACCGACTTCAAAAAAGGAGGAGGTTCTCAATTTGTCTATACGTTTTTTTTTGTACTTATGCTACGCGATAATTTGTGAACCGATTTTGATGATTTTTTTTCTATTGGAAAAAGGGTACCTCAGAAGTGGTCTCATTTATATTTGAAGAAAATATTCCACCTCTAAGGGCGGCAAACTAGGGGATGAATTACTTTTGAGGTTGGTTTTTTAATACTTTCTACTGATGAATGTTAAAGTTTTGGTTCTTTTGGGTGTTTTCGTCTAAAAGGGTATATTCTTTTAGTTTATTTATCGTAGATACTGAAAATGTACATATTAAACCTTAATTAACCAAGTACTCAATTAACAATAATTATAATTTTAGGGAATTGAAACTAATTTTATTTTGATTTCTGACTTTGCCATTGTTCCCTTTTTTTTTTTTCTCTTTTGTTATTTTTACACAACACTAGTTCACGTTAGGTTAATACTTACTAGTTCTTGCAGTTCTTGTCGATCTCAATGTCAGCTTTTCCGATACAAAAATTGTTCTGTCTAAATTCCAAGTGCTTTGATTTTGATGTACATGTTTTATTTTGTCGTATGCTTACAGATGTGTGCACACTTCCGGCATCAGTGGGTCCATGTCGAGCATATGTCGAGCGTTGGTTCTACGACGCGATGAAAGCGGTCTGCGAGCCTTTCGGGTTCACTGGATGTGGTGGAAATGCTAATAATTTCCCTACTGAGGAGGAATGTCAACGAAAGTGTAAAGGAATTATCAACGTCGCTACCACTCCTGATTCTGCTATCTCCACTGGTATTTTTTTATGAATATTTAATGTGCGAGACAATCACACCAATTGCCTGGCCTCAAACTAGGGAACTCCCTGTACTATGAGTACCAGAGTAACGGAATACACTCTGGGGCACTTCCCAGAACACCTAGACCAGAACCAATTTAGAAAGATTCATTTCCCAGTTTGGTCCTACCGGGAATCGAACCCTGGACTTCCTCATCGAATGCCCACAGTATAAACCGTTGAGCCATCGAGGCCGTCATTAATAAAAAAAGAAAGCTGTGAAAATGCCACTTGTTTTAAATTTTCCAATTTATAATATTAAAAGCTTGTCCTAAGTTATAGATTCCTACGGTATAAGATCTCGATGATTGTTGCAAAAACAAACTATGCTTCTAAATTAAGTAAACATTTTATGAAATTTGGCATGTATATTAGAAGATTATTTTTTATTTTTCTTAATGTACTGATGGGAGATAGATCACTGGATGTCAAAATAATTGTATTATTTAATATTATGTAATTAATTAATCTACTAAGCCGTCAAACGTTGTTTGCACAGCTGCTGTGGCGCCCGCGCCTGAAATGAGCACAAAAAAAGTGAAAACTACACAGTCGCCGGCCGACAATGAAGTATTGCAGAACGACGCACCTGGACTACAGGGTAAATAATGTTAGGGCCATAACACGCAGGTGAAATTTGAACGTAAGCATTGCAATTACACCAGAGTGACGTATTAACAATGCCGCGGCAAGTGTATACTCACCTATTTTGAAGTGTGTACATAACATACAGTTGCGACTTTTAAACATTTTTAGTATTAATGGCTTTGCCTTCGCATTTAGCCAATGAAAGGGTTGGGAAAGCAGAATTACAGATTATGGAAAAGTTGCGGATGAGAAAGGTTTGGTTATAAAAAGGATATGGTGGGTTGGGTAACATACCCACATGGGTAGCTATTATAAATCGGCATGCATATTAAAGCTTGTAAAATAAAACCCATAACATATTTCTTTTATTTTATGACAATAATAATAATACTACTATTAATTATGATAATTATGTGCTACAGAGTCACGCCAATTACCAGGTGTCAAACTAGAAAATTCCCTGTGCTATGAGTACCCTGAACCAATTTAGAAAAAAATATTTCCCAAATTGGTCCTACCGGGAATCGAACCTGGGACCTTCACGTCTAGCGCCCATAGTGCAAACCATTGGCCCACTGAAGTCGTAATATAAGGGAATCATCACATTTATCGACATTCAATCGCATTAAGCCGGTTAGAAAAAGCTTTATGTCCATTATAATAAAACCGAAAACGTCGTTGTGCGTTTCGCGTCGGCTGCCCGAGCGGAAGTGAAACGCGGAACGTCTTTTTCGCTCCTATTACCAATGATCGGAATTGAGGGAGTTAACTTAGCTAAACTAAAGAAAAATGTCAACATTCCTTTGTACAAAACCCGGGACATCTGGGAACTCGTTATATTTGAATATGCGTATTATACCTATACAGAAATTTGAGTACATTGGCGAGAAATTACTATGTCATAATAGGGGTTAAAGTATGAAATTGCCGATTTGTACTGAAAATCTAAATTGTTTATTTTTTAAATTTTTAACAAATTTATTTAATCAAAATAGTTGCCATTATTATCTATACATTGCTGCCATTTAATGGGAAGGTTATTAATGCCTTTGCGATAGAACTCCGACGATCTAGACTGCACAAACTGTGTGAAAGCATTTTGTACTGCCTCCTGGGAAGAAAACTTCTTGTCACGTAGATAATTGTCCAAATCACGAAAAAAATGGTAGTCCGTTGGAGCAAGGTCTGGTGAATACGGAGGATGACGAATGGTTTCTAACTGCAGTTCCTGAAGGGTCAAAATGGTTTCTCGTGCTGTGTGAGGTCTCGCGTTGTCGTGGAGCAATAATGGTGAAGATCGATTCATGAGTCGGGGCTGTTTTACTGCTAGTTTTGTCAACATGGTTCGGAGTTCGGCACAATAGACATCTGCCGTTATTGCTTGACCAGATCGAAGAAAACTATAGTGAATAACACCATGCTGAGACCACCAAACAGTTACCATTACCTTTTTATTGGTAAGTTTTGCTTTAGGACACTGTTGTGGCATTTGACCTGGAGTCAGCCATTGCATTTTTCTTTTCCGGTTATCATAAAGAATCCACTTTTCATCACATGTTACAATTCGATCCAATATTCCTTCATTTCTGTACCGGTTCAACAAGGCAACACAAGTTTCAACACGCGTTTCTTTCAGCAGATCAGTCAAATCATGAGGCACCCATTTTTCGTATTTTTTTATTTTATTGATTTGACGCAAGTGAGTCAATATTGTGGGTAAGGTAACGTTAAACCATGCCGCTAATTCCTGGGTAGTTTGACTAGGATTGGCTTCCACTATCTCTCTTAATTCATCGTTATTCACCTGTGTGGGCGGTCTTCCTCGTGACTCGTTCTTTAAGTCGAAATTTCCATCACGAAAGCGTTTAAACCAAAATCGCACGGTGCGTTCATTAGTAGACACCTCTCCAAACGCAGCATTGATATTGCGGGCTGTTTCTGCCGCGTTAGTTCCGCGTCGGAACTCGTATTAAAAAATCACTCGAATTTTCGCAGTATCCATCTTTCTTGTCTAAATTGAATAACAAAAACAATTGAAAGTCGATATTCAAATGTTTCAAATTTAAAAAAAGAAAATCACAGAAACCATTTGAAACAAGTTTCATTCGAAAACCTCAAACCATGAAGATTCTATGAAAATTCAAAGAACCTATTGCAATAAAACGGCAATTTCATACTTTAACCCCTAATATTAAGTATTTGTTACAATTGTTTCAAAAAATAATATTCTAATTGTGTTTCTATTGGTGTATTTCTATACTCACGTATTTAAATACTTGGCCCACTGAAAAAATAAACACGAGACAACCTATATTTTGAAATGTTTAGAAAATAGACAGTCAAGTAATCTCTGTACGGGGTACTAAAAAAACCGACCTCAAAAGTTCGTGGAATTACATATATTTGCCAAGTTTTATTGAAATCAGTTACCAGAAAGTGCGCGAAACCGGAAAATATATTCCCTCGTTTGCCACCCTTAGAGGTGGAATATTTTCTTCAAATTTATACGGCACCATTATCGAGGTACCCTCTTTAAAACAAAAAAAAGAATACCAAAATCGGTTCACAAATTATCGCGAAACATACATACAAAAAAAATGCAGTCGAATTGAGAACCTCCTTCTTTTTTAAAGTCGGTTAAAAATAACTTTTATACGCATCGATGACGAATGTCTATATGAACATGTCCATACTGACAACTAAAAACGTTCATAGGTAGATCCTTTTTCAGGTAGATCCCTCCGATTAGAGCTTATTATATAGACATAAAAATTTTTCTGACCGGCTTAATGTTAATTTATGTCGTTAGGTGAGGTGACTCCCTAAAGAAGCAAATTTAGGGCTAAACAGAGACAAAGATAGACAATGAACAACAGGCGGCGGCGAATTTCAATTGTTCCACGCGTTTTTTGACCACTAGATCGGCCGCCGTGGTCATTTTAACAGCTAAGTTGTGGGACTACATGTGATAATGCTATGTGCAGACGTGGACTGCGAGATAGGCCCGTGGCTCGGCTGGAGTAACTGTTTTGGTGAATGCAACTTTGCCATCAAACTCAACTACCGTCGAATTGTGGTGAGTAACAGGATATTTTATTATATTACCTACTGCGTTTTGGTGCTGGGGCTTCACAATCCTCTGAATAACAATGACTTGTGACGTATGTGGCTTGAACACCGCCGCACGATTTATTCCGCCTTCGCCTTTCCATTATCGGGGGACTAGACGGAGTCTGAGGTTTCATACACAGAACAATACACTAGAACTAAAATAATTGAATTGAATTGAAGTGCTTAGTGAGCGTGGAACATGTGGCAACAGCACGGAAAGCTCCACATACTTGAGCTGAGTCAGCCATTTTCACTTTGTATGTTATGGTCGTGTCAATTGTCTCCCGCAAAACCTCTAAAATCATAGAAAAATGCCTTATTTTGCTACTTTGGAAAGCAAAAATGATAGTGGCACTTGTAATATTTACCATGGTGGTGTTCCTCGTATCATCGTTAAAGTGTTATTTAATTTAATTTAAATAAATTATAAATTGTCTGTTTATCGTAATATTTTTTTTTGTTACAAGAAACGAAATTAAACCTTATGACGCTGCAATATGGTCGCTTCTTTTTTTAAAGAAATAAGTACATATCTTGAATTAGTAGTCGTCGTTCAGCTGTAGACCGCTAGATGGCAGCACATTGACTGAAATCGCAATATAAAATCAAAACATTGTACTTGCAATAATAGGTGCTGAACTTTCAACGTTACAGGCTACAGTTTAAATTATATTATCAGTCCAGAATTTGCTACATCTTTTTAAATTAAATACAATGACCAATTATTACCAAGATTTCGAAGTGTTCAAAACATTTGATTGTGTGAGTTTTGGCGACAGCGGTTCTGATTGTGATGCTTAAGGCACTTTCAAAGACTTTTTTCTTCCGTAGTTCTGCCCCAATATTGTGAACATTCCAAAGATTCGAATGAAACGTTACGGTTCCAAATTTAGGCTTTGGAATGGACTTCCTGCCTGCAGACTTATTACCTGAACAGAACATTAGAACATTACTGCGTGCCGGGTTCGAAGGGCAAAGGCGCTGGCGAAATTACAAGCACATGGGACCTGTTAACTTATGTCTCAAGGTGACAGGCGCAGTGGCAGTGCCCTTCAGATCTTTGCGACTTAAAGCTCTGAGTCGTACTACAACTGTTATGGATAGGCGTGTAGCTTACCATTAGGCGCACGACTTGTTCGTCCCGTCACTTAGTATTATAAAACAATATATATACATTTATTTGCGCCTTAAAAAGCGCCTTAAAATTAATAAAAAGCGTAGTCGAAACCATTTAAAGTCGTGTTCAATCAATTGTTTTGAGTTTCTTCGTGAACAATCTACTATACTGCCCTCCTTGTTATAACTAACGTCTTGAATTAGCAAAACGAGATCTACAACCCCCTATTAGCGGTTTTTTTATATCTTATTTAGTTTCAGTTTCATTGGCACAATCAACTTAATTGACATCTTTCAAAGAAAAATCTTCAGGTGCCAATATCTCGAAGTTACCAAAATACAAATGCTTTAGATATTACAAGGAGGGCAGTGCACTGCACACTGTAATATACCAACGAAACGGGGCTCAAAACGCATGTTTCTTTTTTAGCGCCGCAACTCTGGAACTGGTAACAAATGCCCTAAATTGATAAAAAGTCGCACGTGCACACCTGACCTGTGTAATCACACCTTTACCGTCACACCGACGCCGAATGACGGTTTTAATGTCGAACTTCATTATGATGACGATTGAATTTTTATGACGAATTTTACGATTTAATTAAATTTTATTATTCATATTTCCGAAAATTAATTGTTATTTTTTAGTATCAGAATCGTAGTAGGCTGTATTGTATTAATTTTAGACCCTGAAACGTAGTTATAAGTTTGATTTTTGACATGAATTTGTTGTCAGCGTTAAAGATAGAGGCAAGTTATAAAATTGTATAATAACTTTGATCTTTAATAATAAGTTGTTGACACAGCCAATAAATTTTCAAAATAAAGTATTCGCAAATGAAAAGAGTTTTTCATTTGACTTTGATATATAGATACTTATTGCTTCTAGTACGATTTTATATAAGCATTATAATATTATTGACCAACGATTGGTTCTTCGAGTCGTAGACCAAAATTTAAAATAAGATTAAAAAAAATAAGACATCCTTAACACTAACTAACCAGCGTTATCTTTTATATCAAGTTGAAAATATTAATATTTTATTCCCACCTGATACCCTGGTACTTACAAGTTTGTTTTTGGTAGGTACTATGACATATGGTAGACTCAACAAGAAAATGTATTAGAGGGTTATACTGTATTGTATTTAGTTTTTTATGTATTAATTATAACATTAAACTTATATTTTAAATATTACTTAAGACTCAGTTTTTGTTATTTGTGATTTGCAATGTCAATATTAATGACCTGTCACAAAAAAAAACAATTGTCTGTGATAATTACAACTTTTGATCACAATTTATCAATAAATGAATGAATGAATTTGATTTCAAACTTCTTTTTCTCTTGACTGTACTTACCTTATAAATGCAATGGGGGATCCGTTGGGAGTTGTAAAATATAGAGGGAATCAGTTGGGATATAAAATAGGCGGTGGATTAGGGGATCAGATAGGAATAACCACTAGCTCAACCATTTTATTAAATAACATTATACTTTACTGCACTTCTAGTAGAGATTGAAGATTGTTGAAGGCACTCGTGTAATATACGAGCGTAATTGTGACATCAGTAATGAATGTAAGGTAAGTGATTGGCGTCGCGTCGATGACACTTGCAGATTATGTACTTCGCTTGTAAGTGCACCGTTTCCGCCATACTTCCATCGCATGTTATTTATCGTCCACGCACTTTAGAATACAATATTGTAAATATGCTTTATTTTAATAACTTAAGGTTTAATCATCAATATATTTATTGTTTTCTTGCAAATAATCGATACCTAAAAACGCGAATTAGGATCAAATGGGCTCGATAGATGTTGCAACAAAAAAGTCCGTTAATATTTCAACTGGCAATCGTTCTTATGATAACAAACAACATTAGTAAAAAATACTTTAAAAATAAGCAAAAACTTGAGACCCTCTTACAAATTATGTGTACATCTCAAATTAATAGTTAGTATAGACTGTTACGGTAGCGTGTTAAAAAAATAAATGAACTGGTATACCTTACATAAGATATGTATTATATTTGTGTTTAAAATAAATTAATTTATTCCTTATTGTTCTAAAAAGATATCTTGTGTGTACAAACAATTAGGTATACCTACTTTTATCTGTTGTTAGCATTAACAGGGGTGATAAGAGAAAATTCTTTGTTAAAATACTTTATTATTACAATCAATTTGTCAACAAAACTTTGTACACAAAACACTTAGACTCTATTATTATTTATCAACGTCGTTATTCAATTACAATTAAGATAACCTACATTGTCGTGTAATTGCTTATGTAGCTTTCCCTAAAATAATACTGTCTAAGGACATCACAGTCTCTTTGTACGCCACATATAAAATTATGTATCGTATCGTTCACCAAATTCATCTGTTATTAAATATTTTGACTCATCAATCAATCTCTGTCATATGTACCTAATACATAATAATAAATAGTTTACTAACATTAACGTTAAACTTTTTTTATATCGTTTTCGTCATTTCATATTTTTCAAATCACTGTTTTTGTACACGTTCAAAGTTATTCAAGGGAAGCTTAGTTACGTATGTACAAGAAAACTTAACCAATTATATCTTATATTTAGTTTACGTTGAGCATTGCTCCTTGTTTTGGGATATCATCTCATCTGTAGCTTTAGTATAGTTGTTACAATGGGTGATTCAAGTTTAATCCAACTTGTATTGTGTGCCTGAGTGACAATAAGTCCATTATCTGTCAACGGCTGGATGAGATCACTCTTTTCGCTATAACTCACAACCAAGATCGTTATTGAAGATGCAGTATAAAGTGACATAATGACGCATCGCAGCGCGAAGCGCGACACTGGTTTTATTCATTACGTGCCAACACTTTCACCGGCGCGGGAGCGGCGCGGTGGGCTATCATTACTAACTTAGAAACCCGCTCGTTTGCCTCTACGTTCGAATGGAACTTCTTTGCTTACATCGCTGCCACAACTACTAATTAGTATATACTGTGTAGGGTACAATCCCAAAAAACATTCTCAAAGAGCGTCCACCTAATAATCAGTTTCTGTCATAAAACTAGGGTAAGACTTATTCAAACGCATGTCAAAAACACGATTTTCCTTTATGGAAAAAGTGCAATTCCACTTATTTTTAACTCGGTATGAAAAGTTCTTGCAAGAACACTTTGGTAGGGCTAGACGCGCGTGACTGGCGGCTTTCCTGGGGGCTCACAACACCTAGGTGCGTTACATTCCTTCGCGCAGGGACACGAGCATGCCAAATTGGCGAAGTCTAGTAATGACTTTTTCTCTTCTTCATTATCTGTGGAGACACATTTCAGATGTTACTTAGGTACTAAGTTCTTCTTCCGAGGGAAGTAACTTATTATTGTACGTAGATATTTAGGCTAAAACGAAATCCTACCCGTCTTTCCTACCGCTGAGGCCAGAGCGAACTCAGGCTGTAGAGTCACGAGTCCGATCCCGTGACGTTTGAACAACTCGCATACGAGAGCTGAGCTGCGCATGTAGTCCTGAAAATACAGACAATTAATACTTTCAAGCAACGTTTTACTTGTTTAGCTAGTTTGTTTTTAATGAAGAACCAATTTACAATAATTAACTATGAGAATGAGGAATAGTAGGTAGGTATTGCATATTTAAAAGCAGTTCTAAATACTTAATTACCTATATATTGTGTATATGTAATGTATTGTTTATATATTTATTATGTATATATTATATACTTATATATATATATCGTTATCACGTCACTTACTGAGTTTTATTGTGTATCATTTGGTAATGTAAAGTGATGTAATCAACTATTTAATTGACCTATGTTTTGGGAGAGCGTATTCTTCGCTGAACCCGCGAAGTGTATTCTACTAACCTCATGGGAACTGTAAGCAATGTGCGCAGTGGCAACGACCCTGTCACGATGTAGCTGCCATACGTGTAGTTCGTGAATAGCGAGCACACCAGGTACTTTGAGCGCTGCTGCGCGCAATTGGCATGCGCCCAGCCCTTCGGGCACCGTCTGCAGGAGAATCAATCCCGCCGAACGCACTGAAATTTCGATTGAACTCTTTATGCGAAAGATACTACAGGTAAGCTTACATAATATGCTCTTTCATATGAAGGCCTGTATTTTAGGGAAGTTGTGTTGTATTTCAAACATGTAAGAGCGATGCCACACGGGCATTGCTACGTTGCAACGCTGCTTCATTTTAATAAACTAAGTTGTTTACTGTAGCGTGCCGTTTCAACGCACCGTTTCTGGCATGGCGTTCTTGTTTATTTATAGTACTTGCATACAAAGCAACGTCGTCGCAACGCTGACGCAACGCATCGTGTGGCATCGCTTTTGGGATCTGGACTTAGCGAGGAGCACAGGAAGTAAAGGTTGAGTTGATCATATCAGCGCAATCGATAATTTATTTATTTAATTATTTATGGTACAGAAAAAGAAACAAAAACACATTTAGTAACAAGAAAAACACAAACAAAAGGTACTGCTTATTTCTAATAGAAATTTCTACCTGCAGACTCCTGTATTTAGGAGACAATAATTACAATAACGGATTTACGTGCACAACAAACCAAAAATTATGAATAAAAAAAACAATATCAAAAATATAAAATTATTAAAACTATACAAACTAACTATACAAATACTTAGATAAAATACATATTTCGTACTCGAAATACCTATAAAATGGATGGAACAGTCGATAAATAGTGCTGCTTAACTCTCATTTTGAAAATTGCTAAGGATTTGCTATCATGAATAGTAATGGGAAGTGCATTCCAAAGTCTGACCGCATGAACAGTGAAGGAGTGAGAATAAAAACCGGAATTGAAGGATGGAAAAGATAACTGGGACCTAACGAGAGAGCGACAGCGGCATTAATTTAAATTTTATTTCGTATTGCTGCTTGTACGTACTGCGATCTTGAACGTTGTGGAACAATCATCATTATCTCAACCTTACTAATTGTTTATAAAGCAGGAAGTTTGATAATGCGCAGCTCATTGTTAAATTGTTAGCTTTCAAATTTGAACCGATTGACGAATCGAGGTGCATGCTGTGCAAACTCGTAATTGGCGTAATGTAAACCGTGACGTAAATATTTCCCCATTTACAAATTTGCATAATGTTACGTTTGTTGTTTCGCTAACTGTTCCTTATCGTTGCCTTTGTTTGATATCACGCCGCGATTTAAACTACACGACGTTAAAAGTGTGAGTGATGGAGGGAAATGGTTTTAGGAAGTTGATGATATTTAGGTATATATATTTATAGATGGGTGGAAAACACAAGCACCTGTGCTTGTGTTTTCAAACCACTTGGCCTCTGTTTTTTTAGGCAATTTTCGTCTGGTACTTACTGAAGGGATAGTTAAATATGACGAGCACTATGGCGGCACAAGCGGAGAGTGCAGGATCGGCGATCCGCGCGGCCACTGGCTCCCACTCAGATGTTAGTCCAGCACCCATCACGAACAGACTACCTGATATAACAAAACTTTATCAGTACACGAAAGTCGTACTTTGTTGCCTTTATCAATATATTTAACACGTGTCTCCTGACGCAGAAATAACGAAGGCAACATACATGGTGGAACATTTTTCGTCCTTATAACCTGTGCATCGGAATAAGCAAAGTATGTTTGTCTAAACTTCCAAGTAATTTTCACAAAGTGAATAAATAATACCTGATTCTGAAATTCCGGTATTATTCGAAATAAAAATCAAAAATTTTAAATAGTTACATTTATTTGCAAATGGAATTATTTTTTCGGATCTAAATCTGATTAAATTGCGTATATTTCTTTTTTCAAACAAACCAACATTTCGGGTCCTTTACAGGTCCCACGGTCACGGCTCGACCTGTAAACGACTTTTCATTTCTAATGTGCAACAATCGCGAAAACTTTAACAATCGACTTACAAGTTTTAGAAAAAATATATGCATGATCATTATAATTATTTCTAATTGCACACCAAAAATATAGAATAAAATACAATACAACAATAATTCCGGGTTTTCAGAGGGAGGCATTCCATTCAATGTGTATTAATTCCTCAAAGTTAAGGTAAATAGACTCCGCCTATCCTGATCTCTGCTTCTAACATATTTAACATAAGATTGTAAACAAAAAACAATTTGTAGATTTTATTGTTATAGTTAGGCATTTATATATTGACACATGCATGACTACTCGTAATTTTTTGATACCCGCTGTGATCTAAATTATTGATTTAAGAAACAATAAACATATATTGTTTCCGAATCGATTGTGCACTAGTTATCAATGCGATCTTTTATCCTCGTAGGTACAATTGGTAGCGCGTGTCAAGATTTCAAACATTAAACAGGAACTTGCTTTTTCCCCATTATTCGCTTGCTGTAGTTATAGGTATAGCTAATCAGCACTTGCGATTATGTGTTAGGAAATACACGTGTATGTACGATAGTGTTAATATAAAAACAAATCATTGAGGTGAAAACAAGGTGATAATTTATCTAATCCCTGCCAGCAAAGTAAGAATGTTTCAGTGACAAACTATATAGGGATTTCTTTATACTATTAGTATGAAATTCGAAATTGAAGGGACTACCCAGTAATAAGACTAGATATTTACAAAGTATGTAACTGCTGACGATTTGGAAATGAGGATATTTATAATTATTTTCGGATCTAAATAAAAAAAAAATTATTTCAAATTCAAACCTTAGTCTCAGATATTCTTGCCTTTTAAGGTAAAAAATAAAATAAAAAGTCGTATTTTTACTGATGAAAATGAAGCTGCTTTTTTCAGATCTAAATCGCGTTTATTTGGTTTTTCAATTAAACCAACGTTTCGAGCCCTTCATAGCTCCTATGATCAGTAGAGCTAGCACGACAGGCGCGACTTGCGAGATACTGCTATTTTCGCATGCAGATCTTGCGCTTTATGTCGCTCTCGCGTGAGTCGCGCCTTATCGTGCTAGCTCTACAGGGCTCACTGAGACCATGAGACCTATGTAACAATCGCGACAATCTAGGAACTTAATACTGATGATTTATTAATTCTGGTATCGTTTTCTTACTGGCAATATCGGTAGGAGCGTGTGCGAGTATTGGTTCTCCTGCTCCAGTCTTGAGGATAACTCCACCTCCTTCTGTCATACTCAGCCGACGACTATAACTAAGCTCGCGACCTGTGAATAATTGTAAGGAATCTTTATTCATCACATCACATATTCGGAGAGACGTGATCACCCCTGGCTGGCTGGAAACGATTAAATGTTATTGGTTGTTGTTTTTAAGTCTGAGAATTATAAAACGAAGTTTGTCTTCGACTAGGTAAAAATGGCGAGCTGAGCCAGTTTTTCATATTTACAAAACGCACTTTGAATAAATTTAAGCAAGACATTAAATACTAAACTTAAAGAAGTAATTTGTTGCTTAAACTTCGTTTTGTAATTCCGAAAAACTTGCTTAGCTCGCCATTCTTGCTTAATAAATTCAAAGTTCGTTTTAAAATCTCAGACTTAAAAACATCAACGAAGAATACACTTATCTACTCATATCTATTTATAAATTTCAGACTGAATAATCCAATGCCAAGTTCGGGACATTGTAATCTTTATAGTCGTCACCAAATAAGAGGCCAAATTTGACGGCTAAAGAAGGCGATAGTATGTAACTTTAAATGTGATCAACGGAACAATAAACAAACAATTACTAGCATAATTGAGTGTAAAAAATACATACATTTTATTGAAACATTACATAATATGACAAAACATTTGAAGTACTGTTTTCGCATAAATTCCAAAATAAGAAGCAATTTGGAGTTATTCCGAAACGTCCTAAAAACTGTTACGTCCTCAAGTAATTTTTTCTTAAATAATAGTGTTGTAAATAATTAATCGCCGAATTTCACAGAGTTACTCCGATTTCTCGGAAAAAATATTGACTTATGTAGTTGTATTATTGATGAACATACCTACTTATTTACACTAAATTCTCATAATGAACCATTTATGAATATTATAAAATTAAAATCAAAAGAATATCCAATTCATCGGAATGTGGGACAATTTTACGAAAATACGAGGAATTGCTACAGATTCAGTATCTTAATTTTAGTTTTAATTTATTTTTGTCTATTATGTACAATTTAAAATTAATGATACTGAATAACATTTTCTTTCCTTAAATTGCAAGGAATTCTGTAAATGAATTGCTTTTAACTGAATTGCACGATTTGGCCTTTCAGGCCCCCTGAACAAGAATGAACCGAAAAATAGTCTAAACAATCACAAACTCTTAAAATTTTGAATCGATTTCTCGTGAAAAAAAATGATTAGTCCACATGCCTATTCGCATCACGATGACAAGTGTCAAATTCGGCCTCATAATTGGTGACGACTTTCATACACGGAGGTCTATAAAAATAATTTCTGAATTTGTCATCGTGTTTTTTGCAAATTTAACATCAATAGGTTTGTATAGGCGAGGACAATCTCATGGTACCTAAATGTAAAGAAAAACTAAACATAAACCAGATAACCGAAGGTGTTAGCCTGCATGCAAGTTTTCTTAAAAAGGCGTTATTAGAAAGTGTATTGAGCCCTTTCAAGTCTGTTGCCTTGCACCCTCGAGGGACGTTCTAGAAACTCGGTCTAACTAACTGTTATTCAATGACTTTTTCATCATATTCCACTATTTACCTCATTTGTAACGTCATCGAGGTATGACCGCGTGACCGTTGGGACACTCATACATTTTATTCAAATTTTGCTTTTGGTGAATCATATCATTTAAAATTTAGATCTTTGTTTTTAAGTTGTCTTCGTGTTGTTGATTAAAAATATTTAAATGATGCATGTACAGTTGTTTTGATGAACGAATTACCAGAAAATTACTGAATTGTCGTTGAATGTTATGGTTTCTACATAGGTAATCAACCAAAACGTGCGACCGGTTTGTATAAGGTTTATCTAACCAAAACAAATTTGTTATCCGAACTGTGACATCGAAATTGATCCTTGTATTATATTTCCTATTTATTATATTAGTAAGTATACATTTATTATCACTATTTTATGTAATACTTCATTCATAAATTTTTAATAAAATTTGAAATTGCATATACATGAAGTTGTTTTTTAACCGACCTGGAAAATAGGAGGACGTTTTCAATTATATTACATTAAAAAAGTTTCTTTATACTTTGGCAGAATAATTCTTTACTTATATAGCTTTTTACCGGCAAAATTATCTCCTATAGTGCCTATATAATGATTAGATGACATAATAACATTAGTAATCATTGTGACAAAATGCTAAAGGTTATATACTTCATTATGGATTTAGTTTTGTGAATGGTAGTGAGATTGCACTTTATAAATGTGTAAGGTCAATGCCGGCTCCTAGTAATGTTTAGTGGGTCAGAGGAAACGTCCAATCTTTAGTATTAAACTGGTTTCTCTGTTGTTTTTTGTACTTATCTAATTTTAATAAATACAGGGCGGAAAAAATCAATAGGGCTTGATGGGGAATGAAATGTTACGTAATGTACGCTTAATATATAGCTAATTTTACTTAAAGGATTTTTTTATTAATTTTGTATGTTTTCATTGAAATAATATAGAAATAAGAAACAACTTATATTGCCCGGGTGATCGAACGCTTACCACACTGGACTGCCAGAAGAAGAAAGTAAGAAGTAGGAAGAAATAAGAAGTAAGTTTGAAAGGAAGAAAAACAGATAGCTTGTTATCTGTTTTTAGAATCTGATTTGGATCTTCTGTCTGACTATTTCAGATGGTGTTCGTAGGTACTTAATATTATATCAAACAAACAGAGTAAAATAATAAAAAAAATCGCAAAAACAATTTTATTATTATCCTATATACCTATTCAACAACCGGGCCCCGCGTTCACCCCTTATTTCGTTAGAAATCTCAGGTAAGGTAGATTACAAATACGATGGCTCCTATTGCCACGAACTGTTGACAACTGTAATGTTGATGTTGACTATTTCAACCGCTTGGTTATTATCAGGTAAATTATAATACAATTGCTTTTGTTTTTCCCAATAGTTCTTTGTTGGAGCGGCTTGTATTACGTAAGTTTAGGCCGATGCAATTGTTATGATGTTGTTTACATACTCAATAATCACAAACAACCTAGAAAATTCGCTGTGAATGCTATGCTAGTTTATCATAACCGTAGCTGTTTACAAATCTATTTGTACGTTTATGTTCAGACAAGGATGTCATAAAGTTATACATTAGTTGATACGTATACATTATGAGGTTGATATAGATGATATGAGTTGCTTGTTTTTAAGTCATGCACGAAGCCCTATCCTGATATGCCACAGGTTAAACTTTTCAGGACTCCTATAAATAAAGTACTTAGTCAATAATCCATTAGCAAGGGTTTCCGAAGACCTAAGGGACGATTTAGACATAGAACGAGAATTTAGGGCGTTGTTAGTCAGGTGCAATGCGTTGGCCCGTAGATGTAAGTTCGCTCGAAGTACACTGCTTACAGCATATTGTCAGTCTTTTTACACTTGTGGTCTATGGTTCAAATATTCACAGGGCGCGTAAGACCCTCTGCGTGTACAATATGCTTTCAGGGTCTTATTGGGGTTGCCACGTTTATGTAGCGCCTCCGGGATGTTCACCGAAGCGCGAATAATAAGGCTTTTATGCCATCATGCCAAAACTGATGCGTATCTGTTCCGACTCCATTATCACATGAATTATGTAATTAATTATACACTCCCGGACACGTAAATCGAGCCAGCTTGCATTTTCAGTATTAATTGGCCTAAGTTTAAACAATGTTTGATTGGTCGAAAACCACTTAGCTATTTTGAAATTGGTATACTAAACGTCATTTCCATGAGTCCTTGTTGATAATTTTAATTTATAAAACCGGGAAAAACTGTTTTCTTCGGTGATAACAATATTTTTGTGTACTGCCCGTTAAGAATAAAAATGCAAGGTGGCTCGATTTATGTCCCGGACACATAGTATAATAGATTAAGCAATTTTAACTCTATTATTCGATTTTATTGTGGACCTATATAATAAATTATTCTTCTTGTTACGGACAAAGTCTAGCAATACGAAAAATCCGTAAACTTTTTTGGATTGTGTAGACTTATAAACTCAACCCGTTCTTCGTACATTTAAAGGGTGGAAGTGGTAGTTGGAAACAGAGAGTTATAGGTCGTCATTTACCACGCTAGCCTAATATGGGTTGTAGACGTACTAGGTCTAAAGGTTTGATTACAATGGTTTTCTTCATCGCTGAATCAAGTGATAATTTCTGACTTATATTGCATGTTTATGGATAATCACTCTTTGATAAAAGAACTGTGTAAGCGGATGCTGGACTGGATACAGGAGCAGGCTCCTCCTGACCTACAATTGTACAGAACAATTGTAGGTCAGGAGGAGCCTGCTCCTGTCAGAGGTTTAGTTAGTGTTAGAAATAGCGAAGAAGATGAGAGATGTTAATTATAATATTATATACTTATCGTAACACATTGCACAACACATATCATAGAAGTTGGAGAAAAAATAAAAAAACAATGCTTATAGTCGTACAGCTATTGACATATGTTATATAAAACAAACTAAGCGGCCAGTAGATATAAATCTATACGTATAGAACCTTAACACGCGTCATTAGATTTATACGGCAACAGTAATCAATTATTCACTAGGCTGTTCATCTCACGGTCCATAGCCTCTCCATTGTTTAGCCTCGTCACACGTAGTCGACTCCTGAAAAGTATCTGGGACCGTCGCGTCACAATAATTAACGGTTGTACAGTAGTAGCCAAAGTCTGCATCAAATTGATGTGGTGCTTTAATTTGTCTCTTAGAAGTTCTTATTATTCATTATCACTTCATTAACGTTATTATTAGGTATCGCGTCTTCTGTTTCAATTTCATCTAGTGTATCTTCCCATTTTTCTTCATCTTTTTTATTTTCTTCTTCATTATCATCTAAAGCAATAAGCTTAACATCGTCCTCAATTACATCCACGTGTCTTGCAATGACTACTCTATTATGGATCAATACTTTGTATCCAACATCTGTATATCCCAGTAAAATGCTCATTACTGCCTTTTTGTCCCATTTTGACGATCGTCTTTCTTCGGGTACTCTTACATAAACTTTACTACCGTTCTCAAGTATTTTGCAGTTGGTTTCTCATGAAAAGCTATTTCAAATGGTGTTTTCTTTCTTGGGTATTTGTATTGTCATTACATGATTTTTTAAATAAGCGGCGGTCTTGATAGCTTCTGGCCAATAACGTCTGTCAACCTTTACTTCAGCTAAGAGACATCGTGCCATATCCATTATCGATCTATTATGTCTTTCCGCTGTGCTATTTAATTCATGAACATATGTTGGGCTAGGCTTGATCATTATACCTTTTTCTCTCGCGAAATGAAATATTCTGGTATTTATGTACTCCTTTCCGCAAATAGTATACTTCATATAATCCATTTCTATTTGTTTAGGTAATCCTTCTAATATTTGGTTTTTACACATTATGTGAAATACTTTTACATAAAATACTTTGTCTATTATCACTTTGTTTTTATTCCTATAAACAGGAAAGTAAGTTGTAATGCTTCCAACCTTTGTCCTTTCAATACTCTTCCATCTCCAACCCTCACGTTTATTGGTTCTTTTAATGTTACACATTTATCGGAATATTCGTCAGTATTTGTTATATGGTCTGTACATCCACTGTCTAAAAGCCAATTTATTTGCCCGGCCTTTACAATACATGTGGGGAAGCTCTTTTTATAATATTCCATGTTATAGTAATTGCCTCTACCTCTGTTTGGTGCAAAATTGTAGTGGCCACGTTCATGACCACGACTTCGACCATGATGTCCGCGTCCGCGACCACGGTTTCCGTTCCAACAATCTCTTTATTTATGCCCAATTTTTTCAATACATGTTCGCTTATTCTCTGATGCCACTTTGAATCAGTTCGAGGTACTCGGCATTTCTTCGTCTACATTTTGGATTTTCGTCTTTCTTATTTTACTTTTTAAATATTCTACGGTTCTCTTTTTCTGGCAAAACATCTATTAAATCGCTAATGTATTGTAATTTCCGGGCAACGCTTTTAACATATAGTTTAATTTTTCACTTTCCGATAACATGGCGCCGGCCTTTTTTAAATCGTTGACACATCGTTCGAATCGAATCATCGAAGAAAATATGAACATCCGAATAAAATATTCGCTAGCTTTATATTTTCTAAATTATTTCTGCATACAATTCGTAACGCTGTAGATAGTTTTAAATACATTTCGTCAAATTTTAAAATAATTTTGTATGTGGACTCTAGCTACTCACTGATATATTCCAACTGTTGATTGGTAATCGCGCTGTATATATAATTTGTAGCTTGAACATCCAATTCGTCCTACTGAGTAGCGTCATCTGTTTCCTTTTTTTATTTTAATAACTACTTCCTTACATTTCTTAAATTGAAGAAATTTCAATAGTCGAATTTTTCAATTGGCATCATTGACTTACAATTATATGTAAGTCAATGATTGGCATAATCCGTTCCGTCAAAAATTGGTATTACGATATTATTACTCATTTTACTTACTTGTTTTAAACTTCTTGTTGAAAAGCTCTGCTATCATGTTAGAAATAGCGAAGAAGATGAGAGATGTTAATTATAATATTATATATTTATCGTAACAGAAATTACACAACACATCATAGAAGTTGGAGAAAAAAATAGAAAACAATGCATATCGTCACACGGCTATTGACATATATATATATAACAGGCTAAGCAGCCTGTATAAATCTATATGTATAGAACCTCAACAGTTAGGACTGCCCTCCTCGGCTTCTGCCCAACAGAAAATCGGTATAATGTTAAGGTCCTGTCAATCTAGAGAGTCTGTCTTTGTGATCAGTCCGTTCGCTGGTCATGCATGGAGGCTGGACGTTGGTAATCTATCGATATTGAATGCGGCAACTGTTTAAGGCCAGAGGGTTTTTGAGAGTTTATAGACCTTAAAATTCTTACACTAGCACATTTCACAGTACATTTATGAAAATGTAATTTATTATTAAGAAGAACATTAATTTTAAGACATACCTAACGTTAATATGAGAAATAAAAATAAAGTAGCTGTAGTCGTTCTCGCAAAGTTACAAATTCATTTAGGGGGCAATGTATAATACGCTGCTATAATAGGTAAGATTCCGGTTGGTATTCAGAATTTGCCATTCACGAGGTTTAAAACTACAGTGAAACAAAAATTTGAGACTCAAGTTTATTGAAACATTTAATTTAATTCTGCGTACTTGGATGACGAAAATTTGTAGTGACACGTTTATCTCTTGCAGGTAGTCTCTATCTACGATGTTTGAAATAAATATAGTAATTAAATGTGTAATAACTTTTATTTACAAAAAGCAACTCCTTGAGTTTCTTACTTATTTTTCTCAAGGGAATCTATCTTACAAATTAGCAGTTTAGTTATAGTTTCATATGCTTACCAATAAAATAAAGATTATTTGAGTTTTGTTTTAGGTAAAATTAGTAGGTATAGCATATACATACCGGCAAGCAGCATATAGTTAAGGGCGTGCAGTAGTAGACCAATCACGGCACTGCCAACGATGACGCGAGGGTATCTTGGGGGTTGGCCATGCGAAGAATGGACTCCTAGCTGCAGAGCATTTACTACCAGCGCCAACGTGAAAGAGGCGAATAGTACATGGACGCATAATCGGCCCACGACTTCTATTCGGGCCCAGCCGAATGTGTTCCGAAGTCTGCCTTCTCGACCTGTGTTTTCGTCAGCTCGTTCGTACTGTTATAGGACAATAGAGAATTGGAATACATGCCTCCAAAACACTTTAACATTGAAATCTTCAGGGTCTCTGCATTCATGAGCGTACCCAGGTTCTATTGGTCAAATCAGTTTTTTTTTCAAGCCGGTTCCCGCGTGCATGTATTGCCTTACACACTACATGAACACACCTACAGTAAACATTAAGTACATACGGAAAACACGCGCAGGATATCCTGTTCATTCTTTATAGGTGCCTAGTCAAATAAGTAAACAAATTAAAATAGGTATTTTTTATTTTAATGCTTTAATTATATAGGATAGCTATTTTAAAAGTAACTTTCGAGGGTCTTCAGCAAAACGTTTTACGACGTCTTTCGTGAAAGAATCGCCCACAGCGTTAACAAATTTTCTATGTACACTGAGTATACAAAGGCCATTTAATCTGTCTCCGATCATAGTTAATTTCAGCCACGTTCTTACGCATCCGAGTGTGCTGGATTACCTTTTAATTGTAGCAGTGGAATAATTAATGAACGCATCTTATATTGTATTGCAAAATAAAAACTTTTATCGAACAGTAGATAGTATGGCGGTATCCAGAGTACGCCCATGTCCGCATTGTTTTTTTTAATGAAAATAACGCTTTATTATTGAATTATGGGAAGTTGATGAAATTACTGAATGTCGTAGTGCCACTTTTATTTTTAGAAATACACTATTCTAATCTTTTAGAGGAACGTTTTATTAAACTATTTCATCATGGTTGATTTTTCAACCATTTGGTTGAAAAATCAATTTCATACATAATCGAATGATTTGAGCACTTAATGTTAACATTAAAACGATCTTACATTCAAGGTTCTTACTATGTTTACGGTTGAATTAAAAACACAGTTTCAATTACAAATAACAGAACGATTTTTTTGACGATTAAGCGGTTTTCCATTATTAATAGACATTAGTTTCCCACGTGTGTGTGAAGTGCGCTCGAGATTCTCTTTAAAAGTACCCATTGGAACAATTTTAATGATTCTTTTACTGATGCAATTAGTATCAATTACATTTTTATTAAGGCCTTTAGTAAGTATAAAGTACATGTGGAGGCACAACTACAAAGACCATTTTTTATTCGACCGTAAATGTTGAAATTGTTGTAAATGTTTCTTTTTATTTTTGTGTTCGTTCATATTACGTATAAGTAAAATAATAAATAAATAAGATTTTTTACTAACATCTAAGCGGGATAATACGTATCTTTATACGATGCCTGTTTAGTTGTATATGTTTGTAAATTGTGTAAATGTAAATAGTTTTTAGAATTGCTGTCATCTGTTTTTTTATGATACCATGTGACGGAACAAGTCGTGTGTTGGATGCTAAGCGACAAGCCTGTCCATATCAGTTACAATGCCACTAAGAGCTTTAGCTCGTAAAGATCAGAGGGATACTGCCACTGCATCTGTCATCCTGAGACAACTAGAACGAGAAGTTGACAAGTCCCATGTGCCTGTAATTTCACCAGCACCCTTACCCTTCAAAAGCGGAAAGCAGTAATGCTCACATTGCTTCTTGGCGGCAGAAATAGGTAAGGTGGCAGTACTTTCAGGACGAACTTTTTCACGAGGAGCTCTATTGCTACTTGATAAATCATGTGTGCCTGTAATTTCATCAGTATTCTTATATTTCAATGCTTGAATTCAGTACCTAATATCTGTCTATTCGGTGTCTAAATGCTTCGAAACAGCTGAATGAATAATGATGCAACTTTCAAAGATCATAGCGGGTCTTTCTACTTACAAACTTCTCTTTATTTCACCTCAATGTCTCAGAAGGTTTCCGAGTGAGAGATCGTAATTTGATTTAGTATGTATATGTGTATTTATGATTGATATGGGAATTGAATTTCTTTGGTCTGGGTATTGTCTGGAAATGTTGTGGGAACATTGTTGAAAGGAAATAACACAACACGTATTTCGTGAGCTTTTAAAAACTGTAAACACTTGGGAAAATCGTATTTATTATACCTGTTATATTTACCTTAGTATAAAAACTATTCAAGTAAATAACCAAATACACCTACGTATTTCTCAAAAGCAACAGGTAAAAAAACTACGGGGTAACGATCTAACGATTATAAACGATTGTCTTCTGCGTAGATGTCTTGGTTACGAAACTAAAGTTATTTACATATTTCTACGGAGATAAATAGGTTTATATGTATATGATTTAATAGTCATTAATGCGTATTACTCGAACCAATACAAGAGTTTCATATTCTACTTAGGTATAGTGTATAAGTGTAACGCTTAACCTCATAATAATAAGTGTGAATGACGTGACATGTAATTTATTTTATTTTATTCACTAGCAGTGGAGTTCTATACTAGTACTGCCATCATACCTATTTCTGCCGCCAAGCAGTAACGCAATAATTAATGTAATTCAGGAACGCAGTACTGCCCCATTATACTGCGTTCCCGAGTTACAGGCACATGGGACTTATCTAATTATGTTTTAGGGTGACGGGTGCAGTAGCAGCGACCTTCAGATCTATGTGATTTTAAGCTCTAAGTAGCATTGCAACTGTTATGAGTACGTGTTTCTTACCAGCGTACGCCTTGTTCGCGTTACTGGATATCATAAAAACTATATATTTTTTATATTTTTGGAATATACATGGACTATTATAGTTATACTTAAAAATAAGTGTTCAAATGCGATTAACATTTGCACATTTAACAACTTTCGATAAAGAACATTGACACTGTACATACCTTATAAGCGAGAACGGTAGTAATGAGTCCCACAAGCCTGCAGAGCGAGTGACACGTGTCCACCAGAAGTGTTGGTGAGTGAGTGACGTGGGATGCGAATAATCGTCCACTGAATCCTGCCGCTGCCAGTAACAGAGCCAGTAGCGACCGCGGCGGCGGCAGCCATTGTAGCCATTCCTTCATTGCCATCTCTGATGCTGCTTTTCACTCAACACTGTGAATTAAATAAAATTATGTAAATTAAAATAATAAGAGTATGGTATATAACTGGTGTGTGCGTGTAGTACAATCAAAGACGGATATCATACTCACGAACGCTATTACTTGGACTTTTTCAAGACGATAGTGTATTCACTATCGTGTATTCCGAGTAGCTCCGTCGTCGACCTCATCGTTACTTTCTATCAGGTGAGAAAGTAGAGGTCAAATGTGCACTTACCTATTGAATAATTTATAAAAATACTTGATACCTCGTTGTGATTATATCGAGGTCCAAACTCATTCATACCTAAATCAGAACTACTTGCAGCCGAACCCATGCAAAAAAAGTTCGATTTCTCAATCAGCAGGCTGAATTGCTGAATTGCTTGTGGCGAAAAGGTAGATTGCATAATGGAAATATGCAGTACAAGCCAAAGAAATATACAAACGATTGATATAGAAACTATTGGGGGCCTTATGTGGACTGTAGTTATGATAAAGAATAAGCTATTTTCCGCTTGTTAAATCTGTTTATTGTAACTTGTTCGGAGCACACATATTACACTCTCTCTTGTAACGTTGATTTCTCATGTAATCTATGTGCTCCGTACAAATTACAATACACTGATTTAACAAGTGCAAAATAGCCGATTATTTACTTATGTCCACTTGCACTAAACCTAGGTACGTCTTAAACCAATAATTGCAATGCAAAAGAGACTCTTAATACATTGTGTTAAGAGTGTCTTATCAATTTAAGCATTGGTTTAAGACATACTTAAGTTTAGTGCAAGTGGACATTAGTGTTTTACTTAGTATTCACATAGGGCTGTGCTCCCAACATATGCTATGTCCGGATCAAAGATAGGAACCTGGGGTACATTGCTTGTAGATAAATGTTAAGCACGATATATTAGTTACGTTAGATATTGCATATTGGCTTCTTCATCTTGCTTGCATTCCTAGTATAATTTTATAATACAGGTCAATGGTGAGATTAGTAACAGTAAGATTTTAATGTACAATAAAGGACGTTCATTCGTTCATTCATAACGTATAAATATGTATATTTATTATATAAGATCATTGATACTATGTAATACAAAAGTTTGCGCAGTGAAAACAAAAAAATATTTTCAATTCATATCTTCAAATATAAAATGCATGGATTATACAGCTTGCACGGATGTCTTGAAAAAAAAAAACTTGTCATTGTAGTCGAAGATTATGTGATATTTATGCTATCTTATTAAGAACGGTGGTAGTCTCATAGCAGAACGATTATTTTTAATTGAGAGGTTGGCGCGCGGCATGTATTTATGGCTTTAGTTTCTAAAAATTGACATTGTCAATGTTTAATAGAAATGAATCTCTTGTTAACGGTAAAGGAAAATATCGCGAAGATCCTTGGAAAACGTGTAAAGTCCTCAACATGTATTGGTTAGCGTGGAGGATTATAGTCTAAAACGATGATTCCCAAAGTTTATGTCGACGCCTAGGGATCCACTCTAACCTGCAAGACAACCAAGCCACCGAAAAAAAGAATTGGCGATGCATGAGACGTTAATGCGGTCCACGAGAGTGGAACCCGTTTATAATCGAGATTTCGGCTTTCCATAAATGGATACATCATTATTACTAGATTTACACTACAGACTTTTAATAGTCATTTAAATTACATATGAGGTATTTGAAAATCTCACAACAAACAAGATATTCGATAACCTCAAATTGTTTTTTTTAATATTGTTTCTCACTAGTGCTGTGTCAGCTGTCTTCTCTCTGTCTGTCGAATTTATTTGTGAAAAAATAATATTAGAATAGCGTCTACGCAAAGCAGAAAAAATGGGCACATGGTTCACCAGACAAAAGTTTGGGAACCTCTGGCCCAAGCCCTCTCCTAAAAAGAGATTCGAATTCAACAACGAGATGTGTTAGGATGATGCTCTACTATTACTGTTTAAATTAAAACTTTACGTCAGTATATATATATACACAAGGATGTTGCTGGTGGTCGTCATAAATAATATCTGGATGATTTAAGCAATAGTCATCAAGTATGAATTTAGTTACAATGTTAAATATGGACTTTTATACGTATGCAAAAAGAACGAACATTAATGCGAGTGATTGACCCATCGCAAAAAGTTTACAACAAGTCTTTGTAACTGCATATGGGGTGTATCTAAATACGACTGGACTTTAAGTAAATATTTAACTTTTTAAAACAAAGACCACTAACAAAAATACCTTGTGATAATTATTTGATACACCATTCTTATCGAACAGATACTTTTTGCATATATAGTATTTTGAACGTAGTTGTTTGTTTTCTTAAGTGCAATCAATAGCTTAATAATTATTATTTAAATTGAACCTTATTCCATTTTATTATAACAGAATCCAAAGTCCTTGCTATAAAAATGTGTAAGGTATGACTTATGACAATCAACTTTATCATTTATTTATTCAAATTACCAAATTGCGGTAATACAAGACATACTCTGTAGATCTTAATATAAGATTGGATTTTGTGAGTAATAATTCACTGAGATTTGAGTGTGTTCCAGTTAGAGCTTAACGAAAGTTTCTAAGGCACAATGCGGGCTAACGGTTGTCCCATAAGTGGAAGAACGAGTGGGAGCTCCGGACTCGTTCGCCATACGTATAGGAACCTTCTTATAATTTCATAGCTAAGAATGATTTCATTATACAAATTTATGTAGGTATATACATTTTAATTATAGTGTTTGTTCGTTCTTGTATAAACATTATTGAATTGCAGTCTAATACTCTCAATTTTTTTATATGATTAAGATTCAATACAAATATAAATCACAATACTATGAGCATTCCCTTGGTAAAGTTAGAATAGAATAGAATAGAATCGTTTATTTCATGTTATCAATGTCACAATATTACAATTGGAAATACAATGTCAAGGGATAACTATGATCGTCAGTAATAAAATTATAATAATAACATTTAACAACAATTCCATGTGATCATACGTGAAAAGTGCTTTTATCACATTTTGTTTACGATACCAAGTGACAGGACGAACAAATCGTGCACCTGATGGTAAAGGACACGCCTGTCCATAACAGTTGCTGTGCCACTCAGAGCTTTAAATTAGAGATGCCACGAATAGTGATTTGGCCGAATACAGAATATTCGGCCACGCTCTCGGCCGAAGCGTCGAATATTCGGTTGCCAAATGTTCGGCGTAAAATCTGTGCATTTTACGCGCGACCTATTACGGCTGTCTTATTGCGCTGCGTGCGGAGGTAACGGCGGTGGGGTGTTTTTGTTGAAAAATGATAAAGATGACAATGTGGAGAAAAGGTCTATTGCACATGAGATTGATTTTTATTTGAAAACTGTTCGCCTAGATCGGACGGCAGCTCCTTACAAGTGATAGTCAGCAAAAGCAAAGGTGTCTTCAATCTAAGATTTTAGGGGCATTGCCACTGCGCCCGTCACCCTGAGACATAAGTTGACAAGTCCCATGTGTCCGTATTTTCACCAGCACCCTTACCCGTCCAAATTGGAACGCAGTAATGCTCATATTACAGTCGCGATGCGCTTACAATACAGATACAGTTGCGATTACAGGTCATTGGACTGTGCTCTAATAATACTGTCTTAGTATCTTCAGTTGTGCCGTCTGTTTGTTTACTGGTTTGTGTAAAATGTTAAAATGTGTCATTACTAAAGAAAGTATGTTTAGTTGTCGCACACAACTTCTGTAAATTATTGAGGCAGCATTATAAGCCGCTTAGTAGAACAGTGAAACTTTAAATCACAGATCTTTATTAAATTGACCTTCTTACAGCCCGGGACAGTGCGGCTATATTAAGAACGGAAGAAACTTATTGCTTTTTGCTACTAACCTATACGGTCCCGTATTGTTTTATCTAATTATTTCATTCACATACGAATCCCACGAAAAATCAATGTAAAAGAGGGGTTACAGTCCATTTATAGAGCGCACGAGTGTACCTGTTCGGTGCAAGGCACAATGAGTAAATTTAGTTGCAGTAGAGCTCCTTGTGAAAGAGTTTGTCCAGGGAAGTAAGTAGCTTACCACCTTACCTATTTCTGCCGCCAAGCAGTTATGTAGCAAGGTGAATGTAAAAATAGAATATGCCTGCACATGGAACTTGTCAACTTTTTGTCTCACGGTGACGGGGGCAGTGGCAGTGCGCCTCACATCTTTGCGATTTATGCTGCAACTGTGATGAACAGGGGCTTGTCTGTTACACGATCAGGCGCATTACTTTTTCGTCCCGTTACTTGGTTTCATAAAAAAAAACGACCACCTCGGTGGCTTAACTGTTTGCATTGTGGGCGCTGGATGCGGAGGTCCTAGGTTCGATTCTCGGTTGGACCAATTTGGGCAAAATTAACTTTTTTCAATTGGTTCTGGTCTCGGTATTCTATCACTCGAGTACTCATAGTATAGGGAATTGTCTGGTTAGTGACCTGGTAGTTGGTGTGGTTGTCTGGCACGTTCTGGGTAAGTTAGGTATCTAACTACGTAAGTTTTCATCTTTATTGCTGTAGTACATCAAAAGTGACATTTAAAATACTTTTTGGACTTAGATAAAAACTTTATTCACTTCCATGACAACTTATTTACATAAGATCCATTAAAATTAATACCATAATGATTATTATATTTAACCACCTAAAATAACAAATTGTGTAACAAAAGGAATGTATAACTACACATATAATTAATTAAAGTAATTAGTGTTGGAAGTCATGGCAGTGAAAAGGCGCTGGTTCAGCATAAATGTCGCGGTTTCCCACGACGCTGCCAGAACCGTGTTTAGAGAGATGCCACTCATCATCTCAGACAATCCTCTGGCTTTATCTTTAATTAAATAAAGATTTTATATATATATTATTATATATATAATATATTATTATTATATTTTATTATTATATTATAATATTTATTACTTACCATCTATGACTATCACATGTACTCGATGACTGTCAAAAACAATAATCGCTTCTAATTAATTTGATGCAGATACCTTTGCACATATAAATATGTATAAGCTGAAGTTTATATAATATGAAAATTACAACAGCAATATTTTCTAGCGCGAAATTAACATAACCCTATCATGGTTACTTAATATCTGTTGTTGGCCTTAAGTTGAACTTATTTATATCGGAATTCCACGTCAATATAGATACGACGAATTTGACGCAGAGTTCTAAATTTAGATGTTTTATAAAAATAACGTTGACTATGATACTGTTTTGATTAGCGCTCGTGACCCTCCATCATCATCAAGAGGACGGAGGAAGACGGTACTCACGCTTGTTATAGTCGTTACTCAGGGAGGGACAAAACGTACAGTTCAACAGGGCCCAGGGTTTTCGGGGGCCCTGTAATACTTTATATATATCTTCACAAATTAAATTTGATACTTTCAATAAGTTTGTATGTTTTGCATCTATATCAATTTATACTGATAAGGTGCACTATATTAATTAGACAACTTGATCACAGAAGTTACAAAATATAGGAGTTTGACACATAATATTGATCATCGGTGCTCGGTGCAAATCGGTGTTAACATTAAGCGTTAACCTAATGCTCGCGGTGTAGGAGCGCCCTTACATTTGAATCAACGATAGGTTTTTTTACCATACAACCACACCAATTGCCTGGTCTCAAACTAAGGAATTCTCTGTACTATGAGAACCAGAACAACAGAACCAGACCAGAACAAATTTAGAAAAGTGGTCCTGGGAATCATTTCAAATCGAATCGTGGCAACATTGGGCCACCGAGGTCGTCAAAACGTAGTCGTCAAATATGTTCAAGTAATTGTAAAGTAAGTAAGGCCCACCTGAATTAAGAGCCGTGGACCCTAACATCTTCGAGAATGAGCCTGGTTATGTGCATATTACTCGTTTCCGGTTATCCAATTGGGGCAACGTCAACTCTTTTCTAAAGTTAATGCTCCTGGTTCCGAATGCTACAATGTTTGGCGAGTTATGTTTTGGAATCTTCTTTTTGCCCAGTGTTCACCGACTGTGTCTAGTACACTATCATTATTAAAAAGTAACCGAATTTACGACTTTACGACGAATTTTTATTGAAATGACATCTATTTGCCAAGTTTTATTGAAATTGGTTAACGGAAAGTGCGTGAAACCGGATTCATCCCCTAGTCTACCACTTTTAGAGGTGGAATATTTTCTTCAAATTTAAATAGGACCTATACGGAGGTACCCTCTTTTAAAACAATAAAAAGAATTATCAAATTCGGTTCGAACATACACAAAAAAAGACAGTCGAATTGTGCACCTCCTCAGGCGGTTAAAAATTGATTACTATTTCTGTTTATGGTGCGAGTACATTTCATTATTATGTACGTTTTAGGTTCAATTCCCGGCGATACATGTATTTAAAGAATTTTCTCTAGTTTAGCTCGGTTTTACTTAAAAAACATTACTGAAAGATTTTTTAGTGAGTCCTTGTGACGGAACGAACAAGTTGTGCGCCTGGTGGAGTGTCACTCAAAGCTTTAAATCATGAAGATCTGAGGGGTACTTAACCCTGAGGGTCGTATTCTAGAACTCTACTCAATGCTCAAGTTAGGATTTGAGTATGGTTTAAAGCACTCGAAATCATACTCAAGTCCCTGCCATTAGGGTCGTATTTCCAGTGCTTGTGTTTCAATTGCAATCCTGACTTGTGCATTGAGTAGAGTTCTAGAATATGACCCTGAGATATAAGATGATAAGTCTCGTGTGCCTATAATTTCACCAGCACTTTTACCCTTAAAAACCGAAACACAGTAATGCTGACACTATTACTTAGCATCAAAAATAGATAGGTTCATGTACTTCCTTGGACGAACTTTTACACAAGGAGACACTTCTTTGATTTCATACCAAATGTTCAGTCACTGTTTGTGATTGTGTATTAAATTATGTACGTACTTTTAATAAACTCAGCAGTTTTTTCTATTGGTACGATTTTTTCTTACAACTACGAAATCGTCAGAAAAAAAAATTGGTATCGTGTCGGTAACTGTACACGACTACACTTTATTGCGGCAGCTTTAGCGTGGTCAACTTGTTGTGAAAGCATTCGTGTTTTGTCAATATTTTTATGTTTAGAATGGAACAATTTTGTTTTTGTAACATAATCTGACTAATGTCGCCATAGCTATCTACGTTATTTCAAAGAATATACCCATTATTTGCTTACTTATTTTTAACAATCAATTGAAACCAACAACGTATATATTTACTATTTTTAAACGACTTCCAAAAAAGAAGGAGGTTCTCAAATTAACTGTATGTTACGCGAAGACTTTGCCATTTGTGAACCGTTTTCGATGTTTTTTTTTATTGTGAAGGGGGTACCTCAGTAGTGGTTCCATTAAAATTTGAAGAGAATGTTCCACCTCTAAGGGTGGCTCCCGTTTATTGGATTGTACCCACTTTCCGTTAACCGATTTCAATAAAAGTTTCCAAATAAATGTAATTTCACAAATTTTTGAGGTCGGTTTTTTAATACAAAAGTTTTAATTAATGATGTGATCGATGGCTTAAAAGTCAATTGACGTAAGGGATATTTGGCTGGTTTTCAGGACAAACAAAACACATATTTTTTTATAAAAAACATAAACAATTATACCTTGATAAACTTTCTACCTACTGCCATCATAGGTATAGGTAAAAAATTAAAAACAAAAAAAATTTTTTTTTCTTGTCTGTAAAATCAGCCAAATGTCCTTTAGGTCAAATAATTTGTAAATCATCGTTATTTAAGAAGTTAATGGCGTTTTTAAAAAGCTAGTTGTGTTCGCATTCGCCAATGCTATTTATAAAAAAAAAAGATTTCACGTGGGCTTTACATTAACCTATTTCCTAGCGCCGTTTATATTCACCGTTCGCAAACGAGACGCCGTTATTCTAAACAATTAAAGATAAGTAGTAGAAATATGTTTACCCGGGTACGTTTTCTTCTAATATCTCAATTTTCTCCGCTTATCATAATGTGAAGCTATAAAACACGGTTCATTTGCTGGTCAATTACCATGACCTTCGTAGAAAGTTTAATTAACGATCCCAGTACTAATATAACAGGTGCTCGGAAAATACATCAAAACAAGTACATCGTAGGAAAAACATGAATCTTCAACGGTTATTTAACGCAGTAATGAGGCAATCAGTCTGTAATACTGAAAAGGAATGTTTATTTTACATCAACAATAACATATTTATTATGGTCAGACACGTTCTAAAATACGCCAATGACGCCAGTCAATGATCAAAACATTACCTTAATTGTTAAAAATTTAACATTTCACTTTACCTAGTGATTCCTTTACTAAGGAATCATTCCACTTTGCTTAGTATTAAACACGCTTCGTGTTCAGTATCACACACCGAATCGAAAGATAGTAGTAATCAGTCTGATATTGGTTTAAAATTATTGTTGACTGTATAATAATTTTAAGGTGAGTACGAAATCCATTTTATTGCAAACTGATCACGAAGGGCACAGTTTATAGTTTATTAAATCAATTGCCAACAAAAATATACATATAGAGTACATGTAAGTGAACCGAATGCGTTAAACCACGTCTTTTAGCAGTAACTATTTGAAGCAGCTGTTATTGCATTCGTAAGATGAATTATATAATAATACAATTACGAATGACGAATGGAATGTTAATAAAACGTTGTATATATTTTGTATGTAACGTATTTATATTTGTAATCTTGTCAATTCTTGAGTGATAACTTATTTGATGCTCTTTATAATACAAATAAAGATACGAGCTGACAAGGTATTGGCAAGTATAGTAATAAAAAAAAAAAAATCATTTTCAGTTGTTCTGATACATAATTATATCGGTAATGATCTGGGACTAGGAAAAGAAGATTCTGGGGTGTAGGTATACATACAAATATTCCTTTTTAATGATACTCAAGATATGTAATTCTAAGTACGAATTGCGGATGCAAGGCGAACAATTGTAGGTAACTTCTTCCGTCAGATTCGTGAAATTAGAAAGGTCAGAGAAAACAAACGCGCAACTGATCCAACTGAGTGCGCAACTCGCTAGGTAATATTACCTTTGCGACGGTACTCGGTAGGTATGTCGATAATAAATCTTTAACATTTTTGATACCATGACTTTGACAACAAAGAAATAAACGGTTGGCCGTAAAGATAGAGATATGATGCTGACGTTACGGATAGCGTTTTTCGTTTTGTTGTAAAGCAAATTTGGTTAATAGCTCCGAGAAAATGTGGTGAACTCGCTGTGATTATATTTACGCTTTCCGTTCTGAATAATGCTCACGGCCCCACACGTGAGCGTTAAAATTGTTTTTCTCTCACTTTGTTGAAAATTAAAAGAAACCTTACCCGAATTGAAGGGAGCTACTCGTTTTGTCTCTATTCGCACAAGTTAAAGTAAAAGCAATCCTTGTCACAACACAAGAGTTTACAAAACACTCGCCGGCAATCGTGGTTCAGGCTCATAGCACTTGTATATATTGTTTATAATTTCAAAACAAGTCACGACACTCCGTTTTCAGAGTTTAGAGCGGCGTGTATCCGAGTGAGCTGATGCGCCGGCGTCGATCGCGGCACTGACTGGCAGCGGCGCGCGCGTACTACGCCTTATCGACGAGTCTCTCACACCCGATAAGAGAACTGTTGAACTGTTAAGCATTATGGCACGGCAAACTAACCTACGAACTTGTGCCGGTGCCGCACGGACGATTGTGGCTATTTAGATCAGTTGTTCGACAATTAGACGCAAATATCGGAGCAATACGACGAATCATAAATTAATTTTAATGAAATTTAGGGTTCTAGGTCGTCTCACGCTGCGATTTTTAAATCTGAGTTACAGGTTTGATATAGCTGGATATTTCATTGAAAGTTCCGCACCAATGGTGGCGGAGCTTAAAGCGTTACGAGTTCACGGTCGGTCGTCGATATTTACGTACTGCCGCTCAAAATAATCTTCTCTTTCTCTGTTACGAGTTAGAGAGTTCGCAGTGAATTAAAACGCCTCATGTAAATGTCATAATATGTATGCATCACAATTGCATTATATTTGAGATCATTTCTCATTTCAATGAACGCTTTTTTATTGTAAAAAAATAATTGGAATTTTTAGAAGGCCCAATCGTTTGTGTCACCCGTGTGCTTCTAGTCATGGTAAATAAATGGTAAAGTATTAGATGAATATAGAAGAAATAATTGTATTGTGCACTTAACAAAACATCATTGTTTACGTGTTTCCTATTATACGGGGTTATAGTGCCTAGGGCCCCACACTTGAACGTTGAAATTGCTTTTCTCGTAGGAATATTGTTTTCACATTTAAATGTGACCAATACTGAGGTACCCTCCAACATAATAAGTATCATCAAAATCGGTTCACAAATGTTATCGCGTAACATACCTACATATCCTTTTTTCAAATTAGTTAAAAATAAACCTTAGCCAATTTGAAGGGCAGTTAAAATTCGTTTCGTCTCTGTTCGAAAACATATGCGAGACGTATGTTTTTTCCGCTGATTACTAAATATTAAACAACAAGTTTGTCACATTTACTACGGTGATCAAAGCGGACTGAACGAAACTGTCAATACCTTTACCTCTACCTCTACCTCTGGCCTCGTGAGTATCGATTATTTCCAGTAGTTCTGTGGAACTACGTGGAACAATAGTAACCCAAAAATTCCATTCGTAGTCACTATAATAAGTAAGTAACAGCATGGTAACAGGTCGCCACAGTCAAATTGTTATAAAATATTTAAACATTAATGTTCCTGTTCAATAACGGACGATTATCTCCAAAATCTTTAGCAACCAAGTACCTATTCACTATAGAAATCACTAGAACTAGGTATTTTATCAAACGTATTTTACTAAGCTTTTTTACAGTAAATTCAAAATTTACTAAACTCAGTTTATATTGTCTCGTTTCTTGCATAAAACATAATCCAATGTTTCTTCGACGGCATAAGCAACTTCTGCGTTTATTGTTTTTTAAGCGCCGATTTATCTCGAAAGTCGTTCGATAGTTGCAATTCCATTGATCGCTTATTAACAGTTAACGCCCGTGTCGACCGATTTCTGATTACCAGTGGTTATTATAATCGAGAGCAGGCAGAACTAACATTGAACAAATTTCATTTTTCATGCACCGGAATTGCGTTAGACACGTTGTACGTTCAGCTTATAACATTTCATTGAGCATAGTGTAAATAACAATCATTTTAAATCATAATAGTCTGTGATGCGGGTGCCATGGATACACAGACAACCACAAATTATACCCAAACTCACGAGAGCGAACCCGGGACCTCTGCGTGGCAGACAAGCATGGTAACCGTTCGGCCACTCAGCTCAAATTCCAATTTTTCTCGTACTAATACGGTTCATTCATTCACGGTTCACATTCATTGCCATTTAAAAAAGTATATCATATACTATACGTGTCCTATTGGGTTCAGGTGATATAAAAAAATCATTGATATATGTAAAGTACCTATTGAATACAGCGGTTTTCTTGTAAAATTTCGAGGTAAGTTTGTTATCATTTTCGATCGTGAATATTTTTAAGAATCGCGTTTTCACACTGTATACCAGGGGTTCCCAAACTTATTTTGTCTACTGCCCACTTTGAGAATAAATTATTTTTTTAGCGCCCACATTTTTTCACCTACTTAAAAACCACTATAACTTCAAATTAAATTAATTATTGTCAGCTATATTAGCGGAGATTAAACATTCATTCTAAATGAGACTTTTACTATAACCTGCAAGAGTTAACTTGAGACCTGAGCGCAGTAGGTAGTACACAACGGCACTCAGGTCTCAAGTTAACTCTTACGGGCTACACTCGCCAATGAGAATGATTATTGAAACGCAACTTTATAGTGTTCAGACAGAGTATCTTTTATTAAACAAAACAAACATAATCGATACTAATATAAAAACTAATGTGAAGGATGAATTTGATGCTGTTTAATAAGTTTGATGATATCAGGTTCCAATTTACTCAAGAACGGCTGTTCTTGAGGCAAGTCACCACGTTCGGTAACATGCAAACGATTTCTCTTTTTAGTAAGCATCGTTGTCACAGCACTAAAACCATGTTCACACAAATATGACGATGGGAATGCTATCAAGAATCGTTGAACGATTGACCACAATCGAGGGTACAATTGCGGGATCTGTTTTTGTAGCCAAAATTCTTGGCAGCATTTTTTAACTTGATTTTGATTACCTCATTCGTTGTTAATTCTATAATTTCTTCTTCCAGCTGAGGTGATATTGCTGTGTTGACATTTGAAAACGGATCCAACACGCAGTGTGGTATTTCCAAGTTCAAAATGTCCTGGTGTCGTTAGGTGAAGTCAATGTGGAGGTTTTCCAAATGTTGGCAGTAGGCAAACAAGTCGTCGTTACTGCAGAATACTGATAAATTCGGAAAATTGTGAAACTCACGTCTGCCCATATTCTTTTTGTGTAGAAGCAGTTTGGCTGCGAAAGCAGAAACGACATTTTTTGTTTTAATTAAATTTAGTTCATCGCCTTGCTGTTGGAGATGTCGTTAACCAATTTATACAGGTCTTTCTGTACGCTATATCCTTCTTTGATGTAATAAGCTTGTTGCGCAATTCTGTATCTTTAGTTTCCAAGAACTCTATCACAGAGTCAAACAGGTTGTAAAATCGAGTCAGACAATTGCCTCTTGGTAACCAACGAACTTCAGTATGAAAAACAACAAGCGGTTGAAATCTTCGTCATTAGTAACACAAAGCTGATGAAATAATCTATCATTCAAAGAGCTGTTACGGATTTCATTGACTGCTTTGATGACATATTGCAGTGATTGAAATAGTCGTTCACTTAAATTTCCAGCAACCAAATGTTGTCTATGAATAACGCAATGTACAACAAGGACATCTGGGATTTTATTTTTTAAGTACGCTATGAATTCTTTATGGCACCCTGTCATAGCAGGAGCGCCATCCGTAACATCTGATATACCTAATATTTTGCAAGGGAATCTGTTTCTCATCACGAAACGTTTCCAATGTATTGAATATGGTTTCGCCTTTGGTATCGATCTCTAAATTTCTAGCAAACTATAGTTCTTCACATATTTTCTCATCTTTAATAAACCTCAGCTTCGTAAGACAGCAACAATGCTTCATTAGTTGGTAAAGTGGGCTCATCGAGCTGAATTGAGAATTGACTACTCCTCAGATGATGGCACAATGATTCTTCAATGTTTTCAGCCATTTCATCAATTCGTCTTTTCACAGAATTATTACTGAAAGGAATTTTTCGGATAATATCTGCGGCCAGTTTATGAAGAACAGCAGTTATTACTTCCTTTATTGCTGGCAAAATTAACTCTTCTCCGATGTTGTATGGTTTGCCTTTTTGAGCAATTAACAAAGAGATATTGTACGAAGCTCGATGTCCGTCGTCTTCTTGCTTAGCCGCCGAAAAGAGTTTTGCTACACTTGGTTGAGTATTATGCTTCTTCTCTAGGTCTTGCAAATATGCTACATTCTTGTCTTTCTTATCTGAATGCATTTTATTCAAATGATCTTGCAGTCTTGAAGGCTTCATTGCTTCATTTGAAAATGTTTTTAGACATAGAAGGCACATAGGCGACGATGGGTTTGTGGGACTTTCTATGAATCCGAATTTAATATATTCCGCACAGTACTGCTGCCTCTTCTTTTTAACTTCCGACATTGTCTTGTTTTGAGAAATACGTAAGTAAATGTTGAACTTAAGTACTACTTATCTATTACTCGCGAAACCGCAAATGAAAATAAAATAAATATTATGTTGTTTATATAGGATTGCATAAGCAGCACGCACCGACAGGAATACGACAAACATGCATAAACTCGTTTATTTCATTCGACGCTCAATCGTACTCAACAAGTAAGAACAAGTATTCTATGAACCAGCCGATTGATACAGGAATGCACAAATCGGGTTATTTAACAAAAACTTGTTAAAACATGATTGACCGCTGTCTATTATCTACAGACATCTAGGAACACTAATAACTATTAAAATGCGAAACTGTGTCAGTTGCCTTTTTATTTGTTTGTTTGTGTCTACTTTCATTTGGAATCGGAGCGACCGATTGACATGATTTTTATTTCATTTAATCAATAAAACAGGACAGATATATGAACTACACGGAGCGAAATATCGAACCGAGTTAGTTTGAGCAATCTCTTAATTAATATTAGTTGATGTTCACAAGTTGTAGTCGAGAGTCGAGAGCTCAGTCGGTGTCTCAGGGTCGTATTCTAGAACGCTATTCAATGCTCAAGTCAGGATTGCACTGGCAACACAAGCACTGGAAATACGACCCTAATGGCAGGGACTTGAGTATGATTTCGAGTGCTTTAAACCATACTCAAATCCTGACTTGAGCGTTGAGTAGAGTTCTAGAATACGACGCTAAGGGTCGTATTCTAGAACTCTACTCAATGCTCAAGTCAGGATTGCAATTGAAACACAAGCACTGGAAATACGACCCTAATGGCAGGAACTTGAGTATGATTTGAGGTGCTTTAAACCATACTCAAATCCTGACT